AAGCGTGCACAAAAAAAATTGCTAGTTTAAGGTTAAAGAAGCAGACATTTTATATAAATTAAAAATTTTGTCACTCTTTAATGTAAATTTCGCAATTTTTAGTTTTACATCCAATTACTTATAGAAAAAAATTGTTAGAACGTTATTCATTCTATAGTTTATTAAAAACAGCTTTTATTTTATTTATTTTTGAATAACATAGTTATAACTTGGCTATACAAAATACTTTAAAATGGTTGTTTATATCGAAAATTGTATAATTTTTTGACTAATTTGACTCCTAACAATAAACTTTTTAAAAATTATATCTTTTATAGCCTTAAAGTAAATTATATTTGCTTTAATTAACATAAATAAAAAGAACGTAAGTTTGTGAATCATAATGAAAAAACAAAAAATTTGATATGATTTTAATATACCCAAATATATTGGTTAATATTTGATTTTTAAAAAAATAATTACCAAAAGAAAGTTGAATGTCTCAAATATTGCCAATAAAAATTTCGTTATGATTGTCAAAGTTTTAAAATAGTTAATTATTTATAAAATGTAAACTGAAAATATTAAAATCAACCATTATCAAATTTTAATTTTTAGGAACATTTGAATGCATAATAGGAATTGAAGAAATACTTTCAAATGTTAACATGTTAGCTTCAACTAAAAGCGATTTGTGATTTTTAGGTATCTAGAGCAAAATTAGTCAAGTATTAGTGGAGTATAATATGGTCTCATACATATGAGTACAAAGAGATACACGGCATAGTAAAAAAAAGCACTTTCTAAAATATGCATCGAAACTAAAAAAACACATCATAGTAAAACTCATGTAAAATCATAGTTACTAAGTAAAACACAACAACCTTTTTTCAATATCGTTTTCATTTTGTGAGTAATTAAATAATTTATAATAAACAGATTAGCCTATATATTCATTACCATCAGATCTTTTAATTGATACTTTAAAGCTTTTCGTATAGTCAAAACTGCATGAAACAGCATAAAAAAAATATGTTAAATAGATTATTTTGTTTGTACCCTTAAATGTTAAAAGTAGAATGATTGATGAATTTTTATTCTTTGTTTCTAATCATGTCATAGACATTTAAATTACAAATTTATAATACCTGCATTTATGTTGTTCTCTTGTCAGTTAAAAAAACTCTTTATAGTTGTCCCGAGAGTAATAAGTATAATTATTGTCAGCTATTGTTATTCATTAAGTTTTAACTTTCAGTCATTCAACCAGCTTGAAAATAATTATTTTTTAAAACAATTTTGTCATTATACTGTAATTAGTAATTTTAATAATTTATCAGTAATAATTTGGGAAGTTACAAGTTACACATACCAAAATTATTGAGTCTTTATAGCAACTAATTTATTCAAGAGACTCTTAAAATTCTAACATTTAGTTGTAGCAGTAAAAACTAGTTCAACTCATATTAATGTATAAATGATATAATCATTTACAATTTTATAAATTTTCAAAAGATTGACCTATATTTGGCGTCACCAAAAGTAAAAAAAGATTCGGCTATTTGATAGTTATATGAATTTTAATTTAAGTCTGATAAGTATCTCAGTTAGGATGCCTGCTATATAAACCGTTCCAACAGTTTACACAATCAGATTGCAGACATACGTGTCCTAGTTTAATTATGTATTTCACAAATGCTAACAAAACATAATTTTTTTTTACTATAAAACTTAAGTGATTTAGTGATCCTTCTCATATCACCAATCTAAACATACTGTCACATACTAATATGATATGTTGATATTGATTACTTAGAAAACCCCAGAGTATTAATAGTTAAAAATATACACCATATAAAGCATCTCTAGAAAAATTGACTTTGTAGAAGAACAATCATTATGTTAAATATAATTTAAATAAATGGAGATCACAATTAATACAATTAGCTAACTTTAATAGTATAACTCTATTAAATAACACAAGCTTAATTTTTATTACATGCAATACTTAAATAGATTTTATTTATTGAAATATAAAAATATAAAATTTAATTTAAAACCCCAAATACTTCATTTAACTCGAAAAATATATTTAATTCTACATTTATTTCATCATTTTATTCAAGCTATCTTTAAAATTATTTTAAACAACGATATTACAATGTACAAAAAAAAATAACAAATAATACAAAAAAATTATTTTAATTACACTTAAAAATTATAAAGGTACAAACAAAAAATTTTGAGTAAAAATCTAAAATGCACAATGACTACATAATTTAATTCAACTTTATGTTAAGTGTAAATTCGTTTCATTTTCTCTCAACGTTAACAATTTAACTGGGAATGTAGAAAATAATTTCTATTATTAGAAATTATGTAAAAAATATTTTTCTGTCCCTATTTTACTATTTTTTTTTATTATATAATAAATTGATACTTATTTGAATTAAAGCTAATATATCAGGACAATCAATAGACCCAGATATTATCTATTGTAAAAATTGAGAGTATAGTCATGTACGCCTACCAACTAATGTTTTCAAATTAAGGAACTCTAAAACCACTACACAAGTACCATGAAGGGCATGATTAATTTTAAATTTAAAAGCAAATTACCTTAAGAAATTACTTTGGACTTTCTCAAGATCAGAAAAAACTAACTTAGTTGATTGAGTAGGTTAATATACAATATTTCAACTTTGATGGAACTAATGAACAAGTGTTTAAAAGTAATAGGACATTGAAAAAAAGTACATATACGTTTTATAAAACTTGGAAACTTCATAGCATTATTTTTGTTAGCTATTTTGTAAGGATGAAAAACAATTGTGTAACAAATAAAACTTCTAAATCTTTTGATGTTTTAACATTTAAAAGGCTATTATTTGAGATGGAGTGATAAAAAATTATAGATAATATTTTCAAATGAATATTCAAAGCATTTATTTATGGTTAAATAAAAATCATTAGTTTCACACAACACATTTAAATTGCCAATTTTCTCAATTATTTTTGTATCATTGACAAAAAAATTGGTTGGATTAATTATTATATTTGGTAGATCATTAATAAAAAATTTTAATAATGGTGTAGATGGATTTCTTATGTATTGAAGAGAGTCTTTTATATACAGCAATTAATACACCTCTATCATTATTAAGATTAATATTTAAAATTGACTTAGTACATCTATAAATTAAATAGTTATTAAAACCTAATTTTGAATTATAAACATTTGGTGATAGACATGCTTCACTTAAAATTATAACAATTATAATATCAATATCAGAAACATTAATATTTAAAAGAAGATTTATTTATTGTTTAGGCTTCTAACATTTTAGTAATAAATTCCAAATTCTTTTGTTGATGGGGAATTAGTTTTGAAAAACACTAAGGAGTTTGAACACATCATACATTATTGAAGGAATAATTTTTTGTAATTTTGATTAAATACCATGATTGTCCAAGTTGAATTTTTAGAGAAGCAAAATTAACACCTAACAACTCAAATAATATTCTAACTGTATTATTATCAGCAATGCAGAAGAATCCATATTTTCTACAACATTAAATAACAATTATTGTTTACTTTCCCGTCCATTAGTTCAGATAGTTAAGTATCTTCGAAATTTTGTGAACATGGTTAGATTAGGATAATAGCTACTTTGTAACTTTAGATTACTAAAATTAGTTTTTATTTGGTAGATATCATCCTTTAAAGAAATTATTCGAATCTTAAGAAATGATAATTTGGCAATATATAAATATATAAGGAAAAATGTATTATAATAAATACAAATCTTTATCACAAAAATTGGCTTTGAAATATTTTATAATTTATATTTTCACTTGAAGAAGATGTTATTTGTCATGTGCAAAAAATTACAAGTCAATTTCGTCTAAAAGGTGTGTTTTTGCATTTAATAATTTTGATATGTATAAATCAAAATACATTTTTAAATTAATTTTTGCTCTTCAAAAAAAATTGCTAAGATTGACATATCAGCCTTAAATAACCACAGAAATGCAAAATATTATTTGTTTTACATATTAATAGGGTCATGGCGTGTTGCAGTGAATAATTCGGCCGCCGCCTTGTCGCTAATATTCAGCTACACGATGTGCATTGGTTCTCAGATTAGAGAACCTACGAAAGCTTTAACAGTAACACATATATTACTGTCTTACTGGTTCATTCAACTATAAAAAGATCGTGTCAGGTCAATAGCTAGTGTAACAATTCTGCCAACTTTAAAGTAGAACCCCAAATAATTGGAATAGTGGTTAAGGGATGATGATGAATTTTTTTACATATTCTTTGATTAATATTATTTTTGTTCCTAAATTTTTTTTAATTTGTTTCCAGTTTATTGAGTGGTATTTAAGGGAATATGCTTTATGAGTCCCTTATATATAAATAAAAAATAGACCATTATGATTGGTTAAAAGTCAGTACGGTCTTTGTTGCTCTCAACCTGAATCTTTACGGACACCTATGCTATGTAAAATTCAATGATGAAAATTTAGTTAAAATTATTCAAAAGACAAATATTCTAATGACTTATTATTTTAAGAATATTCATTAAATAATAATGCATTAATTAATACTATTATTTTAAATGTTTTTTTTTTGTTTTAATGTTTTGCGTTTTTTGGTTTAATATTTAGAAAACTTACATCTTTTAATTTACAGTTAAAGCTTACATAATAAATTGTTCATTTTATTTAATCTAAAATTAAAGCTAATATGTTTAGGAAAATTAATAGAAATTTTCTATAAAAATTTACTAATATTAACTAATTAATTAATGATTCGTAAATACTATTTTTGTAGATCATCATATGAGTAGCGCGAACGTTAACCTAAGAATGTTTATGTTATGATATACTTTTCATTAGAAGGTCGACAAGAAGAGCCGAATTTCCAACAATATTGCAATATTAACCTCGACCTGTTTTAAGGCTTTTACCAGCCATAGTAGCATAAGTTAGCAAGTAAATATTATTACGTTTAACGAACTTGTATGCTTACTATGTCTAAATTGATTTTATACTCGATTCTCACTCTCAGTATACTGCCGAATGTTGATAACAACCAATGTAAAAACCTTTGTCAAATTTACAACCAGAGATATTGATTGCAATACTTAGTAAGTTTAAATTACTGTCATTGTTTATAAGGTAATATATCATGAGCACAAATATACAATAAATAAACCTTAAATTGTTTTTTTCGCTTGTATAGAGTTATCCATGAGATTATGATAAATCTAATAATTTTTGATCTAGTAAATATTTTCCGTTATTTATTATTCATTATTATTATTGTACTTTGAAATATAAATATGATCAGAAATAATGTATTTTAATATTATATTATTTTTTAATATATTGAAAAAATAATTTTTTTTTTTTAATTGCGGAAAATTAAAAAAATATATCAAAATATCTATTTTTGCAATAGATTTTAAGAAAAAAATTAGTAGCAAAATAATTTTTGATATTTTGTAGTAAAGTTTCTACATTTTAAATGTTGTATAAATTTGAATATTTTAATGTTTATTTCACGATTTCTTAGGTTATATTTTTGGACTAAGTACAGGTTAAGAATTACTTGATTTTTTTCATGGAAATTATTATCGTTCATATAAAAAATTGTTATCGATACAATAATAATTTTCATGGAAAAAGTTACATATTTCCGGATGATAAAATTGTCCAATAAGAACCCATCTTTTTTTTTTAATCAAACTTTCATTTATTTGCATGCGTATACTTTTATTTTCTTCCCTTGGTGGGATGTGTTATATATAGATGTGATTTTATATACTTTGTGTAAATGTTCTGATGATGATAAATGTTTAATTTTTGTTATTATTGTTAAATTTCTATAATTGGGCTATTCCCGTTTTATACATAAAATAATACCTATATCCCTATAGTTAGCGTGAAAAGCATAAGTTTTTAGCTTCGATGCGAAGCTGAGAAGGTATTGGTTTTACTAAGATGTGTTTTTTTTTTTTTGTGTCTGTTACCACTTTTTCTCAGCTCTCACCGAACCGATTTCTTTCAATGATACGTCAAAAGATCACAAATCGTATCTAGTCGAAGACATTACCCTTAAAAATTGAAAAAAATTCCCTCGTTCCCCGTAAATGGGGGAAACCTCCAAAAAAATTACGAATTTAAAAATCGCTAATTTTCGAAATTTTTTCAATTTTTTTTACTTAAAAGTGCCATAACTTTTTCAAAAATAAACATATCAATATAATTCTTTTTTATATAGATGCATAATATCATTACCTTTCATTTGGTATATTTTTTTCATAAATTTAACCCTTAACCTGCCCACAAGGGGGGATTTAAAATGACAACTTTTTCACAAAAAATTAATTTTTTTAACTTAAATTTTGAAAATGTTCCGGAAGGTCTGACACTTTTATATATATCTTAAATTAAAGCTAATGTAATATGCTTTATCATGAAAAAAAAAAATTTCGGACTTTATCTTATCTTCATGGTGAAAATGGCTACCGAATGCTATTTTTGTGTGAAAATTTTCGATTTTGTATTTTCCATTTTTAACTTTATTATGCTATAACTTTTTGAAAAATGTATGAATCATTACAATTTTTTTATGAGAAGTAGTATTTATATAGATCTTTCATTCGACATACTGTTTTTTTAAATCGGACCATTTCCCTAAATACAGGGGGGATTCAAAACATAAAAATGCATATAGAAAGTAGAACTTTTTCAACGTAACTTTTGAAAGTGTTCCGGAAGGTCTGACACTTTTATATATATCTTAAATTAAAGCTAATGTAATATACTTTATAATGGTAAAAAAAAATTTCGGACTTTATTTTATCTTCATGGTGAAAACAGACATTAAACTTAATAAAAAAAATACGATTTTTGTAAAAAAATTCTTTTTTATATTTTTAACTTTATAATGCTATAACTTCTCGAAAGATGTATGGATCAATATAATTCTTTTTTTTGTAGATGCATGATGTCTTTACCTATCATTTGGTATATTTTTTTTATAAATCTGACTTTTTACCTGCCTACAGGGGGGGATTCAAAATGACAACTTTTTCACAAAAAATTGACTTTTTCAACTTAAATTTTGAAAGTGTTCCGGAAAGTCTGACACTTTTATATATATCTTAAATTAAAGCTAATGTAATATACTTTATCATGGAAAAAAAAAATTTCGGACTTTATTTTATCTTCAAGGTGAAAATGGCTACCAAATGCTATTATTGTGTGAAAATTCTCAATTTTATTTTTTACATTTTTAACATTATAATGCTATAACTTATTGAAAAGTGTATTGATCAATATAATTTTTTTATGGGAAATACTATTTTCTAATAATCTCTTTTTTATTCTACATACTTTGTCTTAATCAGGATATTAATAAGGAACTAGCAGTTTATGAAGCTTTTGGAATAATCCACCAATTTTTTAAAATTAAACACTATCTAAAGATTTGCATCGAAGCGTTTTTTTTTTATAGTGATTTTAATCACTGTCAGATATCATTATACTTGATCCAACTATGCCACGTCACCACTGTGCCGCGACCCCCCTGTGCTGGGTTTTTTTGTTCTATTCTATATAGATATTTCATTGTTTGATACCAAAAAATAAACACATGACAATTCAAATTTTTGACAAGTTAATTTTCTCTTGAAACACCGTAGTCCTGCAGTTCTTTAAGTATAGTCAACCAGTATAATCACTCGTTCAAACATTTTTCTAATGATGTTGATTATACTTGTAGTCCTGTAAAACATATAGAAAAATAAAATGTCTTTGAAAACTGACATATTATTTTTCTATACGATCTCCGATTATTGACTTGACTTACGGTTTATTAGTAATTTCAAAATATCTATGTTTGCTTCAATATGAAACTGAAAAGATATTGATTTTGGTAAAACCTAAATATAGGAGGATTTGAATGAAACCATCTACATATGTAATTTTTTTTTTTTGTAAAATACATACAATTTCAATTTTTTTGTTATAAAATCATTTTTTCATAAAAATGTATAGAATTAAATTTGATTTATTTTAATAAATCATAGTAAATAATATGTTAATAATAAGAAAAAATTATTTCTAAATAGATTTTACGGTCAACTTTTAATAGTTCAATGGGAATCCATTTTTTTTTTATTATTAATGAGAGAATATATTAAATTAAATTTGACTAGTCAATAACATTAATTTCTGTGTAGTTTTTCGTGAAGAATTTTAAAGAGACCACCCGCGTATTTAAATTAATTACATTATCTATTAAATTTTTTATTTAAATATTCAAAATTAGTCTAACTTATATAGAAAATGATTAGCAAAGATTCTAAAAAAAATTAGTATATCAAAACGTATGACATCACTATCATAAACAACGTAGGAAAAATCTAAATCTTTTTAATCTTGATGAAATAATATTTTATTTTATCTTAATTACTTTTTAAATGTTTTTCTAAACAGCATCCTTAATAAGTTTTTTATTATGTATATACTTTATTAATCTACATGTAATGAGATGATAAGTAATACTTACAATTTATAGATCTCTTCCAAAAATTATTTTCATTGTATTTTGAACACAATTACATAACAATTTATGATAAAACTATAAATCACAAATGCCTTGGTCAAAGGTTTAAGGAAGGGTGTTCGAAGAATGACGGAGTACCCCTTCTTATTTAAAGTACACTCTAGTGTCTCCTTTAAAGCGAATACTAAAATGACGGGGGGCACTTTAATTTTAAGCACTGAAGAGTGGAAAGCGTTAATGTAAGAAATTAGTTAGTTAGTTCAATTCTTTATACATTATATTACTAAATTTGTCATTTCATATTTATATATGTAGATACCTACCTAAATTGGTTACTGTTAACATTTTTTTTCTCCACCTTTTTTGTGTTATAGTATAATACTTAAAATTTAAATGACTATTTTACATTTATTTTCATAATGAATTTAAATTATGATACTGACTTTGTAATGTTTTGTACAATATTCATTTGTAATTAATTTTTAATGAAATTATAAAAATTATGGTTTGGTATTCATCTATTACTTTAATGAGGTAATTTTTTTTTACTTTTAAGTTAGTATATTTGCTTACTATGATCAATATCACTTTTAGCCTTTGAGGGGAGACAATTCGGTGTAGCTTAGTAACGCTGTTTATTTTTTAGGAACTATAGTCCCACATCCTAGTTTTTCCCACTTTAAAACGTATATAATTTAAATTAATTATCCTGTCTTTTTTTGATAAATCGATATATAAAAACATATTACGGTTTTCATTGTATAATAACTGATTTTCTATATATATGAACACTGTAAAAACTGAATTAATTTTTCAATGATATTTTTGCACAAAATGGTTGAATAAATATTGTATTTTTAATAATAGAAGGATATAAGAAACAGATATTTTATTTATTTTATCAACCTCTTGTGAAATTCCTACAAATATGGAGTGTATTTTTACGAAAACACTAAACAAAAACATTGACATTACATCATTAAGAGTTTAAGTAATAAGTTTAAAAAATTAAGTTTAATAGGGATCTAGTGTAATGGAGTTTTGATTAGTATTGATTAATATTAAATAATGATAACAATCGTTGTCGTTAAACGCTTTGATGTTGGATGTTGCATAAGAATAAATGTAAACGACATCAGTTTAGTAAAATAATAATGAACATAGAGCTGTATAATTTACTGGAAATACAATATTTAAAAATAACGTCGCACAGAATAACTGTCAGTTAGGCACTAAGTCTGGAGAAATAAGTATGCAAAGTAACACTCGGTTTACGGCATTATATTGACAATACGAATACGACAGCACAGTCATATAGAATAGTGTCACAAATATTTCTTCAGCGTATATTTGCGGCGGGTCGTTGTTGTTGTTGTTGGCACTGCTGGACTTAGTACCTTTTGCACACGGTTTTGATCAGTCAAACTATCATGTATTCATAGCAGAACAACGATAGAAAAGGATCGCGACATATTTGAAACAAACTAAATTGATTATATTTACTAAAAATTACATGAGACCAATTACTCATAGCTGATAAGTCGTAGGAACGTTTTTGTTTATTTTTGAATCATATTGTACACAAAAAAAAACATTAATTTATTTTTATAAACCATAATAAATATCAAATTTATTGTAAGAAAAAATTATTCTAACGTTAGATTTTAGAGGTAGATTTTAAAAAATATATAAAAACCTATTATTATTCATTTGCTATTAAATGAAGAATGAAAATAGATTCCCATTGAACTTTTGAAAGTTACTCGTTAAAACTACACTCATAAATAATTGATTAAAGTTATTAATTTTTTTAAATGGATAAGTTGAACTTAAAGAACTCTATTTTGATTGTTAAGTATGTTAAAAATTAATAATTCCAAAAAATAATTTTTATTAAATATTTCATAGCAAGTTCACTTAAAATTGTAGTAGAATGAATTTTATTTAGATAGTCTTTTGAGCAATACTGAGTTTTTTTTTAAATAAAAAAAAGTTTTTTGACCGAATCATAAATGTCGTACATAGTAGTAATAGGTTAAAAGATTAGATATACGCTTGAACGTTGTAATTCAGTATCTATTATTGTAATAAAAGGTGGTTATATTTAGCACATGTCGATTTCATAATGATTACGTATTAAATTATGGTCGTCAATTGAACATATACTTCATTCGACTGACATGATAACATAAAAACATAATCGATGGAAATGTCTATACTTAATGGATTGTCAGATCGCACCATTCTCTTGAAATATTTTGCGTGACCTACAACCTGGTGTACGTACTAGTATTTTGTCCTTTAAATACGCATACATTTTTATATTTGTAACTTAAATATATTTTATAATAGATTTTTTTATAATTTTTTATTTATTCTTAAATTTTTTACAAAACTAGTTAAAAATGTCTTCAAAAAAAACTACATTGATAATAATTTATATAAACAACAAATACTATAAATTTTGGAAATTACATATTAGTATTTTTAGACTTAAGCAACCAATCAGAACTATTACTAAAAAATAAAATCATAGTTATTTCCACGACCAACATGTTTTCAGTATCTATATATATATCAAAACATAATTAATGTTATTATTTTTGTCCTGATTTAATATCGCTATAGATAATTGTACAGTAAAACCAGCACATGCCCTCATTCATTTCATTCTTTGTCGTGAAGCTTGAAATGTATTAGCTACCATAATATTTTTATTTGGAACGACCTATGTGTCTATTGTTACAAAATCTCAGCCCTACTATTCCACCACCATTAATATTGAGATTATCTAGATGAAATTCTCTAAAAAATGTATACGATACACAGATTATTTTTTATAAATTACTTATGTAAGATACTAAAATATTCTGGCATAAAGCAACAAAAATATGTATAATTATGTTTCTTTATGCATATAATTATAATTAGGAAATAACAGACATGAAGTAACATATTCCAAGGATGACAAAAGTGTGAGCTAGCTACTCCTCGATTATTTCAATTTTANTATAAAAATGGTTAGTGTACATATTACCCGGGTAATGTGAACCTCATCCATACGAACAGTGTAATGTATACATTATCCACCTTAAATATGTAGTATCCAATCAATTTATACATTATCCGGTGTGCTGTGGATAATGTATTCGTATAACTATAATCGTAAACTTATAACTTCGGTAAATGGTACAGATTATACAAAGTCTTTCTAGTAGCAAAAACCAAATTATACTAATTCAAAAAAAAATTATTTATTATTATTACGATTAAACTATAAATTATATATTTGAACAATTTTACTATTTACTATTTACTACTTCTGCTTATAGACACTGCTTCTTGTGTTATATTTTTATACTTTTTTTTAACTTCAGCATTCATGCGGTGTTTTCCACCATGCCCAATACTCAAATGTACATCGTGTAGCACATCATAGATATTTTCATTAGTAATATAGTACAAAATGTTTGTATTACCTTCCAACAACGGCAATATTAATTTATCTTCTTCTCCAATAGTAATGAGGTCGTATTTTTTCAAAATTCGATATGCCTTGTTACTTTTTATTCCACTTGATCTCACATTTTTAATTTCCGAAACTATTTCATTATACTTAACTGCCGATAAATAAACTGAATTATTATTTTTTTCATTAACTATTTTATAAAAACATTCATAAAATTTTTCACGTGAAGTCATTTTAAAAACCTATTATATGTACGACGCGTGTATTAAGACGAACTAGCACTGTACTAAATATTATTGCGTGTGTTTCTTCATAAACATTTATCTACAATCGTTATTTTATCATATACATTTTATCAAAGTACTTTACCCACTCAGTCGTAGATAATGTGTAAAATACCCGAGTAAAGTACGAAATAAACGTTTTATAAATAGTATTTTTACTTTATCCAATAGGTACAGGTAGTGTACACATTACCCGGATAATGTGAACACTAACCATATTTTGTACTTTACCCGTAACACATATAATTATAATTAGGAAATAACAGACATGAAGTAACATATTCCAAGGATGACAAAAGTGTGAGCTAGCTACTCCTCGATTATTTCAATTTTAAATATAATAACAAAACTTTATTTTTTTTGAGAAATTAAATATCCTAAAAAATACGTAGACTCTGATTTAAAAAATTTTATGTAAAATATTTTCAGTTTCCTTTTTTTAATATTATTTTTACTTCTGTAACTTTTAATATTTTTCTGAAACAATGATAACTATGAATAACTTAATAATAAGATACGGTAAATCAAAAATTTCTAATTATGAATATATAAACATTGGAATTTTAAAGTAGCTCTCCTATGAAATTATAAAGCATAAAGATAGAACTTTCTTGTTTTTAGGCCGTGGTGAAGAGCAAACTCATATTTTATTACTAAGATGGTTTTACTAAATAAATTTTATAAACCCAACTAAAGATCGTGTTAAAATTGAAATATTATTGTATTTTTGTGATAAACTTATGCAACAAATGTCAACGGTATATTTATTATAAAATATTAACCATTTTATAATTTTTATTAATTTTAATAAGTAAATATTTCCTATATTTTTGTTACACTGATTCCCAAGAAATACTTTTTGTGAGAAACTCTTATGTTGACCAGTGTATAAGTTCATCTGGAATCTGTGATTTACCTTAAGGATCGCCCGAATGACCTAACCTACCGTAAGCGTTGAGGTCGTAGGATCCATTGTCTGGGTCGGATCCCTAGCTTGACGAAGCCTAATATACAGAGTGTTCAGTAAGTCAGGAAACGGGTTTCTATTGTTCTCATTGTTACAAACAATAGAAACCCGTTTCCTGACTTACTGAACACCCTGTATATAAAACAAGGCTACCAGGGGTGGTAATAATTACTATTAGCCACCCTGAATACGTTACTTATTCTGAATATTAAAAACAAATCAATAAATCATACAATTTTTCCGCTAAAATGCAATACTAGAAATAGTCACTAAATCTCTTTAACATGATATCCTGTTTAATTTTTTATTAAATATACTTGTAATTTTAGCTTCGATGTGAAGCTGAAAAGGTATTGGTTTTACTATGATGTGTTTTTTATTTATTTATTTATTTTTTGTGTGTGTTACCACTTTTTCTCAGATCTCACTTGACCGATTTCTTTCAATGATACGTCAAAATATCACAAATCGTATCTAGTCGAAGATATTAATCTCAAAAATTGAAAAATTTCCATCGTTCCCCGTAAATGAGGGAAACCTCCAAAAAAATTACAAATTTAAAATTTACTAATTTTCGAAATTTTTTCAAATTTTTTTACTTAAAACTGCCATAACTTTTTTAAAAATGACCAAATTAATATAATTTTTTTTATAAATGCTTGATTTGGTATATTTTTTTGTAAATTTGACCTTTTATCTGCCCACAGGAAGAAATTTAAAATGACAACTTTTTCACAAAAAATTTACTTTTACACTTAACTTTTGAAAGTGTTCCGGAGAGTCTGACACTTATATATATATATCTTAAATTAAAGCTAATGTCATTACATGACATTAATGTACTTTATCATGGAAAAAAAAATTTCGGATTTTATTTTATCTGCATGTTGAAAATGGCTACCAAATGCTATTTTTGTGTGAAAATTCTCGATTTTATTTTTTACATTTTTAACTTTATAATGCTATAACTTATAGTGTATGGATCAACACAATTTTTAATGAGAAATAATATTTATATCCCTCTTTCATTCGACATACTTTATCTTAATCAGGATATAAATAAGGAAATAGCAGACTATGTAGCTTTTGTAATTTTTTAAGATTAAACACTATAAAGATTTGCATCGAAGCGTTTTTAATGATAGTGATTTTAATCATTGTCAGATATCATTATACGTGATCCAACTATACCACATCATACCAAGCCGCGACCCCCCTGTGCTGGGTTTTTTATTACTATAATTTTTACATAGAATTATGAGAATAGTTTTTATAAGGCTGTGAGGGCTCACATTAACAAAGTATAATTTTTCGACATGCCAATATAAAAATACCTATGCCATAGGTCTATTAATTAAACTTATGAATTGGAGTATGCGACTAGACCCCATACAACATTATTTTAAGCTAGATTCGTACACAGAATAAATAACTAGACATATAGTTCTTATTATTCATAAGTAACACTTTTATAATTTTTTAGATTGAGAAAGATTTCAACGAATTTTGGGAGGACAAATAACTTTCTATTTCTATAGAAAACCGCAATTGCGAAGTGATAAATGTGGCTAATTATGTAAAACTAATAACTAGAAAATTTAAGAACAATACAATTGTTTAAGAAATTGCAGAAAAAACATTTAAATTAGCCTTTTACACGACTTATGATATGTAAGTAAAACAATGCAATAAAATATATACAAAGGTCTCGGGCCTAACTAACAATAATTAACAAACACAAATTTTGTATAATTGTAATTATGTTGAAATTTTTTTTTTAATAGTTATTCCTTCTTAAACTACGTTTAAAACATATTTTTATTATTTATTACTAAAACTAAAGAATATATTTTATAATTATTAATATTTTAAATGAGATATATAAATGCAGATCACACTTAATATTATAATCTACAATACATTAGGATTGAAATTATGATATTACAATGCTGAGTAGTAACTTAACTTTAATTATAAGTTACAGTAATGAAACTACTTATAAAACAATATTAATTTAAATGTACTATTGAAATAAATAATAATTTTATTTTAATTTCAATTAATTATTTAAGGATAATTCTGAAAAATCACTTATTATTTCAATTTGAGTAATTTATTTTAAAAGTTAACACTGCCCATTAGTGGCATATTTAAAATTTATACTGGGGTTTAACAAAAAAAAATTTCAAATGTCCATGTCATTGTATCAAAATTAAGGTATTTTTAAGTCTTTCATCCTTGACTTTTTTTCGCAGCAATTTCCCCATAAATAAAGCTAAAGATATTAAATTTAACTCAAATAATACTATTAATTTAAATTATATTTATTAATTATAATAAATTAGTTTAGATGTGAAGTTTAGAAGCCTAGTAACTTATTTTTGTGCTTGTCACCACATTTTCATAGCTCCCAGTGGAACGATTTTTTTAATAATACATTAAAAAATATCACATATTATATCTAGTTGAAGGCATCNAGTGGAACGATTTTTTTAATAATACATTAAAAAATATCACATATTATATCTAGTTGAAGGCATCACTCACGAAAATTGCATAAAATTAAGATTTTTAAAATCAGTAAATGTCGAAACTTCTTCAACTTTTTTTTTTAACCGTCATAACTTTTTGAAAAATAAACAAATGAAAATAATTTTTTTTTTATTTAATATAGTTTTTTTGAAAACCTGATCCTCTGCCTTCCCACAGAATGTATTCAAAAAAATTACTTTTATACAAAATTGTTCCGGAAATACTGTGATCTTAAGCATATGTTAAATTAAAGCTTACGTTATGTACTATAAGTTAAAAAATAATTTGTGCCAACACCTTTTTCTTGTATATGTAAACGAATATTCAGAAATTAAACAAAAAAATATTATTTTGATGTAAAAAATCACTCGTTTCGAGTCATGATATTTTTATTATTTATGCCTATATTTTAGGTCAAGCGAATTAGTCATATAGGAAGGGAGAAATACCCAATTAAACGGCCCCTTCTTTTATAAAAAAAAAATAATTTAAAAGATTTAAGTGATAAATATGAATATTTTGCAGCTTATAATGTCATTATAATAAGTATATTAATAGGAAGAGCCTTTCATTTCCAAAAAAATGTTCTAGTTACACATAAATTACAATTTTAATTTCTTGACTAAGATAATAATGAATTAACAAAGGTCAGAATAATTGAATTAATAAACCTAACTTTATACATTTATATATATATATATATATAACGATACTTACATTTTTTTTGTTATACGTTTGACATAGAAGTAATGAAATACACAACTACTTTTTTAAAGTTTTCAAGTTTGTATTTTAAAAATTACAATACAAAACATAAAATACTATATATATTAAATTCATACTTCATTTAATTCTTGCAATGTGCATTTATTCATGTATTATACTAATATATCACAAAATTAGTAATCGGAATATAATTAAGGAAATAAATATTGATGTTTCTCTTTCATTTGATATAAATTTTTCGATAACTATTTACCTGACCATACAAGGGGTACAAAAAAGCAAGTTTTCCACCAAAATCAATTTTTTCAACTTAACTTTTGAAAATTATATCCAAAGAAACTTGCTTGACTGTCTGCACGTAGGGTTGGATTAAGCATAAATAAGAATAATAATCAATAATAAATTTTTTTTCATTATCAATTAGAAATTAAGAGTAAAATATTGTTTTGTATTTTAAAATAAAAATGAATTTTTCCATTACAAATAAATTTATTGTTTTTTATCGATTTTATATTTTGAATTTTATATTGCTATAATTTTTTAAAAATATATGGATGAATACAAACATTTTTTTTAAATACTTTATATACATATTTCATCCGATATACTTTTATTTTGAAGCGAAGCTGAGAAAGAAGGTATTAACTTTACTATGATGTGTTTTTTTTTTTTGTGTGTCTGTTGCCACTTTTACTAAGTTCTCGCCGAACCGATTTATTTCAATGATACGTAAAAAGAACACAAATCGTATCTAGTGAAAGACATTGTCCATAAAACTTAAAAAAATTTTCCTCGTTCTCTGTAAGTGGGGCGAATCCCCAAAAATATTACAATTTTTAAAATCAGTGAATTTTTACATTTTTTTTCTTAAAATTGCAATACATTTTTGGAAAATTAACGAACATAAATAACTTTTTTTTTATAAAGAAACCTTAGGCATTTTTCTTTTATTTGATATAAAAATGTTTAATTTATGACCGTTTACTTGCTCATAGGGGAATTCAAAATAGCGACTTTTTTTTATAGTCAACTTTTCCAATGTAAGTTTTGAAAATGTTCTGAAAATACATATGTTAAAATAAAGCTTATGTTATGTACTTTATTTTTTTTCAACCTATATTGTTTGGTTTACAACATATTTAATTTCGCTCTTTATTATCACGATCTTCAGCAAGTCTAAAAAGACTTAAAGAATTAAAAAATTCCGCATAAGTGTAAATTCTTGCGTCATTTTTCAGTTGAGATATGAACGAGTTTCTTGGTTTTTCTGGTGGTATGATGCAATTCTTTGTCATGGCAAAAAACGTGTCCCATCATGTATCAGCATCTTCGCTTTATGACTTTAATTATAGATCTTGTTTCTCCAACTTGAGTCAGTACATCTTCATTTGTTACTCTTTCTGTCGAGTTTATTTTTTCCATTCGTCTCCAACACAACACTTCGAATGCTTCAAGTAATCTTTTTTTCTTTTCATTAATAACTAATGTCTCGCAGCCGTATAAAGCAACACTCCATACAAACGTTTTTAAAAATGTCTTCTTTATTGCTCTGCTAATTTTTCTCGAAAACAAAATTTTCTTTTTCTTAATAAATGCTGTCTTTGCTTGCCCGATTCTTTGTTTATTTCCTGCGAACTTCTCCCGTCTGATGTTATTAAATTTCACAAGTATTTAAAACTAGAAACCTAGGAAATAAGTTGGTATTCTAAATAAATATTTGCTTTATTTGTGGGTTCACAAACACAAACTAAAATTTTTGTTTTACCTGAATTTATACGCATTTAATACTTATTTATAATTATTTGCATTTCTGCCAGTGCTCTCTGAAGGTCGTGCTCTGTTTCTGCTAATATTACGATGTCGTCTGCAAACCGGATCATTGGAATCAATATACCACCCATTTTGATTCCAATCCCAAGTCTGTTTTGTACAATAAATTAAAAAAATTATTTGTCCCGATGACTTTCTTTTACGTGCAAATGGCTGACGTAATTAATACATGTTATTTTTGTGTTAAAGTATTCGTTTTATATTTTCAACTTTAAATTGCTATAACTTTTTGAAAAATGTATGAATCAACACAAATTTTTGTTTCTAAATACTTTATATATAGACCATTCATCCGACATACTTTTTTTTTTAATCGGACAATTTCCTCTTATACAGGAAGCGTTCAAAACTTTAAAATATGAGTAAAAAGTATAATATTTTTAACTTAACTTGTGAAAGTGTTCCGGAAATAATGCATCTTTTATATGTGATCTCTGATGAAAAATCCTTTTAGAACAATAAATTTATTCTTAAGTAACCAATTTTTTTTTTAAGTATTGCATCAAACCCTTCAGTTTTTATACACTTTTTCCATAAAAATACTTTACAACTACTTTATAATTTATCCGTAAAAAGCACAATACTAAATAAGTAAACATCAATTTCATACTGTATTTAATTGCTATAATAAATCATATATTGCAATTATATATCATAAAAGTTGTAATCAGGATATAAATAAGGATATTAAAGTTCATTTTCTTTTAGAATAATCCAACAAATTCTTAAATTTAAAAACTATCTACAGATTTTCATCGAAGCGTTTCTTATGATTATATTGATTTTAATCACTGTCCGACATAATCTATACTTGTACCAACTATGCCACGTCCATACTGATCTACCATTTTTTTTAAAATTTTATACAATAACTAGGCTCCGCCCAGCTGGGGATCCGCCCCAGACCCGGAGCCCTACGAGCCTTACGCGCTTTCGTCGCGTAAGCCTCTTCGGGCCGTCATCATAAGTAGGCCACTGATTCCGGTAGGGGTACCCGGCTACGCTGAACACAATAAGTGTTTTGCAGAAAAAATATTACATCAGAATCAGTGTAACAAAAATATATTAGAAATGTTATTATTAAAATCAGGAAAATTCAAAAAGAGAATATAGTAAAATGTATTGGGTATAAGGTTGACGTTTGTTAATGACGTATTCCCTTTAGGCCTATTCAAAAATTATTTTAAGAGGGTATTTAATATTTTTTACTTTGTTAAACATATTATAGAATTTTTTTTGCTAAAAATTAAAGTAATGATGAAAAAAAAGGACATTAGGTCCTTATTTATTAGAAGTTGCCTAAAAAAATATTGATAGCGCTGGTTCAAGGGGGGCCCATATCTTCCTTAAATACACCCCTGGTATACACAAAAATTATTAATATTCTAATTATGATAATTGTGTTTATATTATAGAATTATTAAAAAAAAATTCAGCAGGTTATTATACGTGGGACTATATAAAAAATTTAATTTTGATAAAAATATTGGTAACTGCGATTTAACGTTGGGTAGCATAGTTGTCATAGATGAATCCCAATTTAAACGATAAACTCATAGATAAATACATCATATATGAGAAAAAAAGGATTATTCATAATGTACTGTTCTGATAATGAAAGTACAAACTTATATAATTATAACCGTCTTGAAATTTATGTATAACATATAATATTTCTCGATAAAATATAGTGTTATGTGCAAATGCAAAATAGTGTCCTAATAATAATACATATTACACTATATAATTAAGGTTCATAATAAACGTATGAGCAGAAATGAATCACTGCGCATATAAAAACCATGCGCGTGGACTTAAAAAAAAAAGCTCGTAAAACGGTAAAAAATGAACGGATTGAATTGATTTTTTTTATCATATCTCAGGAATATCATTGGGCGGGTCTGATGAAAATTTCAAACCTTAGGTCGTAAAACACTGGCTTCAGCGAGCGTTTTTCTCGAAAATGGTCAAAATTTTAAAACGCTCGCGGGCGAGCGGCAAAAATTTTCCGACCTTCGCCAATAATTTTCCTGGAGTCTGGTGACCGAGTACTTTTGTTAAAAAAAAAAAATTTTGAACATCCGAGCACGCTAAGTAATTTTTCCAGAAAATCGTTTTTTTTTCTTGTTCTATTATATAATAAGATAATATACTAGATTAATATGTATATTGACACTCAAAATAAAGTTGGTACCTTTATAAGAATCAAGGGATGGACATAAAAAGTATTTAACCCCTTATAAATTGAGATATAAATACTGAACTAAATCAATACATTTTTTTGAAAATTATTACTTTTTTAAGAGAAATTTTGAGATTAAATATAAATCAATTACTTTGTATAACCCAAAACAACACAATATTTAAATACACATTATTAATACAGATAAATATTTTGTTATTTATTAATCAATCTAGAGTTTTTTGTACACTACAATGAATTATACACACAACGACACAATGTTGTCTTCGGTGGTATTTTTGATCACGTCACTTTGCGTAATTGCCACTCTGTTTCTATATAAAAAAATAACCCATACTTATAGTTATTGGAAAAGGAAGTCCGTAATATTTGCTGAACCATTGCCCTTTTTTGGTAATATCAAAGACGCAGCAATGTTTAAATTGACTCAGGGTCAGTGTCTACAAAATATTTACAAGTACGCTTATTTTAAAATTAAAAGTATATTAAAAAATACTCAATTGAATATATTAATGTACACAACTAAATTATTATATTTTTAACAGTGAATTTCCAAATGAAAAGTATGTTGGAATATATCAATTTTTAAAACCCACACTGTTACTTAGAGATCCAGAAACTATTAAAATCTTCACAGTAAAAAATTTTGCCCATTTTACTGATCGGGGATTCTCTTATGATGGTCATAGAGAACCATTAACAAATCACCTGGTAAACATGGAAGGGGATATGTGGAAAATTCTTCGTCAAAAACTAACACCAGCATTTAGTTCCGGAAAAATAAAAAACATGATGGGAATGCTTAGAAAATGTGGAGAACAGCTCATTGAACACATAGAAGTAAGTCAATTAATAATATTATATACTCAATTATTTTGTTTTAATTAAGGCTTTGAACACCATAGTGCCTTAAAAAATTATTCAATGTCTTCCACAATCTTATTTAAATACATTTGCCTCGTAAGTATAATTATAAATAATAAATAATACTTTACTTCTACAGAAAGGAATATCAGCTGGAGTGACTGATTACGATATGCGAGACTTAACTGCAAAATACACCACTGACGTGATAGGAACATGCGCTTTTGGTTTGAACTGCAATTCTCTCACGGACACAGACTCTGAATTCAGACAAATGGGTAACGCTGTTCTCAATTCGTCGATTTCATTGGCAATAGCTAAAGCTTTTCGGGTTTTTTTCCCAAAAATGTTTAATATACTCAATTTACGTACATTTCCTATAGAAGTTCAAAAGTTCTTTTTAGCTATTGTAAAACAAACCATTGCTTATCGCCGAGACTATAAAATACAACGCGATGACTTTATTCAACTATTGCTTGAAATGAAAAGCAACCAAGAGTTTCAAAATGATGAAAAACAATTTCCTACTATCGAATTAACAGAAGAACTGATCGCTGCTCAGGTATATATTATTTTAATTATACCATAGGTGTTATTATCCAGTATTAGTAAGAACTTTACATTCTTCGATATAAAATTAGTTTAAAAAAGTGCGTCAATAAAATATGTGACCGCAATGATCGTTTATTTCTTTATCACAACGGTGCAAGCAGTAGAAAAAGAATACTTAACGACACCACCCATTTTTAACAAACCGTAATCATCTAAATTAATATCTTTGATTCTACCACATGTTTGGCGTTTAAATAATTGGAATCGAAGATTTTAGATTTAGGCGTCGAGAAGATTCTAAAAGGAACGCTATCTATTACATGGCTGAATTTTCTCAAAGGTCTACTTAGTATACTTGTCTATGGTCTCGACCATTCTATTTGAAAATTTAAAAATCGATTTCGCTCTCATATTGTATATTGTACATTCTTCCTCGAATGATGTTTGCATTTAATTAATACATGCGATTACAAATATTTTTGTGTTGGTAATTATTTAAACAATATCCACAAATTTCGTATTCTTCTACTCTGATATATTGTCAGGATAGAGGAAAGATTTTCATTATTTATTTATTTTTACTTTGAAGTGATATTTTAAACACAAACGTTTGTAATAATTTAGGTCCTGGACAGCAAAAACTTTTATGAGATACTCGTAAAGCATACCAACTGGTAGACTCCAATTAAAAATTTTAGTCGATTGCTATTCCTTAAGTTCTAAGGTTATAAACTTTTACTCTATCTGGTATTACATGAACCAACTTAATCCAATAAACTTAAATCAATCGGGTAGAGCACCATTTGTTGTTTTTGTATATAGTAAATGTTTTGGACTACATTTATAAATAAACATTTTATAATGTATTTTTAAGTAGACTGTATGCATTTTCATTAAATCTCTAATAATTCAAATAAACATCAATTAAAATCAAAGAATAAAAACTTGAACATGATTATTTTTCTTTAGTTTTTCACGCAAAGGATTTAGTGTTTTGAAGTTTACAAGGTCTTTTATTAGCTTTTAGTTGTCCCTGATTCAGTTCTTTCATCTTAGTTTGATCACCAATTTAGAAGAGTACCCACTAAAAAATAAAGTTAACCGATTAAGTAGTCAGTCAAGATTGGCAGTTACTTAGTAACTATTTAACTCGGATAAATATATTAAACCAGATAATTTACTCACGTTAACACGTAAAATCTATCAGTTATATTAGTTGAAAAAATCGCTGTCGAAATAATTTTCAGTTTACTATGCATTTAGATAGAATTCATTTTGAATTTTCTTTTTTATGTAAAACCACATGAGTACTGCTTTTAATTAGTTACAAAAAGCAACAAAAAAAATCTACCGTTTATAATATATAATAATGACGTTCAATCCAAACTTCAAATATTCGTTTAAAATCGGAAATCTAACCAAACTTTTCATTTGTAAATCAGTTTGAAAATCGAACTAATATACTTAAATATCATGCTGAAATAATATAAATAAACTAGTTAGGATAGGACAATAAAAACGAAGTTAATTCGACTAAAATAGTAGTAACGCAATTTGCTAAAAAAAATACAGAATGTTATGTATTTTTAACTTTTTTGTTTTTTTTTTATGAATATTTCTTATTGATTTTTAATCACAGTATTTTGAAAAATGAAATTTAATTATGGAAAAAAATTATTACATATTAAATAAAATTAAAAATATTTAAATAATTAAATTAAAAAAATATTGAATTATTTATTTTAATAATTGTTAATGTAACATATAAAAATAATGTCACATGCACATTGCTTATATGTACATAATAATGAATAAATATATATAATACATGAAGGTGCAGCGAAATGGGATCGCAAAAAGAAGGGATGAAATTGAAAGAAAGAGGGAGAACGAGAAATTTATTAGTGATGGGCGATTTTCAAAAGTAAATCGATTTAAAGCGAAATAAAAATATTTGTCAATTTAAAATCGACAAAATTAGTCAATTTTATTCTTTAAATCAATTTTAATTTTTTTTTATATGTAAATACATTAATATGCCGACAGTTATACAATAATCAACTAGATAGCACTTTTTATTAGTATTGTTATGACGTATATATGTAAAAATGAAGTCCTCTATCATAACATAATAAAGGGCGGGAAAATGTTTAAATATCTATAGGCCGAGAATATGTGAATACGCCCCTGGTGATATATTATACATTGTATATAGGAATGATTATATGTAAAACAACATCATAACTGTTTCGTTATAAAATTTCGTTATTCGACTTATCTAGCATTTTTCTGAGTTGGAGCCCACCGCAAAATCATATCACATCCCAACCCAACCGTAAGGTACTTCTTTCCAAATTTATTTTACTTGAAAATTATTAAAATTGATATTTATTTCGGTTCACATTCGACTGAATAATTGAAAATTTGGTACAAAACCAAAATCAATGTTACGAACATCATTATAATTTCTCTGCTACTAAATATATTTGTAGGTTTATACGGTTGACAGTATTTATCAGGAAAATCATAAAAATTACACATTGCAATCATTAGCATTATTTTAAAATTTTAGTTAAGTAAAAATAGAATAGGTTATGATTATGTAATTCTAAAAAATTTAAATTATATTAAAAATATTTAACTCAAAAACCACAAAAAATTACTAAAAAATCATAGATACGTATTTCGGGGATGATATTACAATTTTACAAACGCTAAACACATACTGATACCCTAACCGAAAAAAAACTCTAGATATATCCTTAGTGACGTTATCACAAGTAATATTATCACATTTTGCGAGTTTACACATGTGTTAATTATGAATATTTCAGTGGACCACTGATGAGATCAAGATCTCAACTAATCAAATTGTTCTTATTTTAAACCATTTCTACTGCTTCATTTATATTTACTTCTTTGTAATTATTTACATTTTTAATTACTTTTATGGTTTTAGTAGAGTGATTATATTTCAATAAATGTTCAGCCTTAGAAGATTTATCTACTTTTAGATTTTTAATGTTTTAAAATGTTCATTAAACCTGATTTTAATCACTGTCAGATATCATTATACTTGATCCAACTATACCACGTCACCACTGTGCCGCGACCCCCTGTGCTGGGTTGTTTAGTTTTGAATTAATATTTTTAATATAATTTAAATTTTTTATAATTACATTACTGAGAAAGGAATATGAGCCTTTTAACCTTGTACTATACTAACATAAGTGAAAATACATTTTAAATGTACCCACTGTATTTTTTAAATTTTTTTGTAAATAAATCTGTTAAGGTGTTTGTTTTTTTTTTGGCTGGTTTTGAAACGTCCTCAACAACCTTAAGTTTTTGCTTACATGAATTAGCACTCAATCCCGATATACAGTTAAAAGTTCAAATGGAAATTGCTGATAAAATCAATAAAGATGGCCTTCCATTTACTTACGAATCTGTTATTTCAATGGAATTCTTAGAACAATGTATTAAAGGTATTATCTTGAATTTTTCGCATGAAGATATTTGTATTGAATAGTTTGAAAGAATTATTACTTAAGTTGACATTTTAACAAATTATTTTTAAACTAACACTAATTTTAGATATAAATCTTATTAGCTTAGTAAAAGGGAATGGAATACTAAAAATCGGTAAGTGAGAAGAAAGGGTATATACATATTATGACTCATATATAGACATATAATTAAAATTATAATATTGTTGAAAAAATTTGACTTTTAGTTATTCTTCATGGTGAAAGAGACACCTAAGTTGAAGAAAAAAGAACGGTTATTGTATAAAAATTCTCAATTTTATATTTTATACTTTTAACTTCTTTTTGCTAGAAATTTTTGAAATTTTCTGGATACATATAGAAATATTTCCATATTTCCATATGTAAAACCCTTTTCAAATGCAAGAACCCATTCTTGACCGAAACCTTAATTTTTAATTTTAAAAGAACCATACCGGATCCTAAATCTAATTAAATAGATGAAATAATAAATTTTAATTTTTTAAGGTTATGACATTGAAGAATATTTTATAACTTTAAATGATATTTTATTAAAATATTCCATTTACTAACTCAATTACATAACACAAATATACAGAATGATTTTTTTATCATAACCCACTCAATTACTTACAGAATAATAATAAATTAAACATTTTTTTTCGATTATCTTTAGTTACACATCATTCTTGAATTATTAACTATGTAATACTTTTTAAGTTCATCCCTTATGCCTGTTAAGGGTGACAACTTGTTTTTTTTAAATGGGAACATATATTTTGAATTTAATAAAATGTTTGAGTTTTTAATTTAATAGTAAATGGCATTTGAATTTTTAGTATAACTTTATTTGTTTATTAGATATAAACATTTAAAGTTTCAAATTTTTGAGTTAATATACATGTATAATACACAAGGGATTACAAATACAGGTAGCTAATTGGTTTTTTATGACATCGATATTAGCAGGTACACAGCATTGTTATTATCAATGGTAGTAAGGTACATTGTTGTGAGTTTATAAATACACTGACTGACAATACAAAAAGTATATTTATTAATAGTCATAATTGATAATAAACAATCCGTGACTGTGACAGCAAATTTAAATTTCCATTTAAAAAAACAAAGTTGACACCCTTACCAGGCATAAGGGATGAACTTAAAAAGTATTACATAGTTAATAATTCAAGAATGATGTGTAACTAAAGATAATCGAAAAAAAATGTTTAATTTATTATTATTCTGTAAGTAATTGAGTGGGTTATGATAAAAAAATCACCCTGTATATTAAAAAGTAATCTATTTCCAATTTTCTTCGTTAACAAGAACTTTCTACTATGTATAGTTTAAAAAGAGTAAATGTATTAAATATCTATTTTTTACCTATGGCGAAATTTCAACATTTTTTTTAGGAGCAAAAATATACATAATTTTATACTTTTTTGATAGCTGAGGATATATTTATGAAGATTATAAGCCCCTTCCGCTTCTCGATCATAAATTTATGTTCGAAATATTTAAATAAACATATGGATTTAACTCCGTATGAATAATATAACTTTATTACATTACATGTTTTTTCGTTAAGAGCAAAGGATTTAACAGAAGATTTTTAGGGACTGCTCTAAACCACACATTTTTACGGGTAATTCAAAACCTGTAGTCACTGAATAACAAAAAAAATATTGGTCATGAATTAGAAAAATTAATAAAAGAAAAATGAACACATAATATCAGGGTCTGATTTATAAGGGTCCTAAGGGACCCGGAACTCTGTAAATGTGAGAGTCATATACGATCAGCGTGTCATTTTTTTTTCGCTTTAATGTTTTATAATTTCATACTAGACATTTAAAATATTAAAAACAATCCATGTAAATGTACCTGCAGCAACAAAAGCATGAAAAATTATATAAAAATCAATTAATTATGCTGAGTTTTTAATTTATAGAATCTGGTGATGATAACGATTTAATTGATATAATTAGATGTCTCTTAACATCAAAACTCTATTTTAACTCGCTTGTATTAGTTTTACCTGTATGTATGTTTGTTTGTAACTCTCCACGCGCCACGTGTTAGTATTCGAGCATATCCCGTCGTCTATGACCTTGAGACTAGACTGTCGTAAGACATTCACCCTACCCCGCTCACCACACGCTGGCAACACTATTACTGTATAATTTTATTTTTGGTTTTCGTGTCCGTACATGCGTGCGTATTATCAATATTATATATACAGGGTGGCCCACCACTCACTGACAACTTAAATAACTTTTGATCCAGTTAATATTTTTAACTGATTTTTTTTTTTTAATAATAGTTATACGTTAGGTCTATAGCTATATCTCAATAATTAATTTTTTTACATTTTATTAAAAATATTAATTATTTTTAAATTTTAAATAAAATGTAAAAAAAAAATCTAAGATAGCTATTTTGTAGAGTAGAATTTAAGAAAAATTTTAGTAAAAAAATATCTTATTAATATTCAGTAGTAAATATTCTGTAGCGTTTTGAAGTTTGTGAAAATTTGAATTTTCATGTACTATTTTACGGTATTAAACATTGAAATACGTATTGAGAAAAGGACAGAAGAAAACGCTATCTTTTCAATATACTTTTGAATGAGAGTGATAAGTAATAATTGCCTTATCTAATTTCTTATCATGGTATTTATGCCAAGTTTGTAATGTATACACATTATCATCATATGTATACACAGTAATCATGAAAAGATAGCGTTTTCTTCTGTCCTTTTCTCAATACGTATTTCAATGTTTAATACCGTAAAATAGTACATGAAAATTCAAATTTTCACAAACTTCAAAACGCTACAGAATATTTACTATTGAATATTAATAAGATATTTTTTTACTAAAATTTTTCTTAATTTCTACTCTACAAAATAGCTATCTTAGATTTTTTTTTTACATTTTATTAAAAATTTAAAAATAATTAATATTTTTAATAAAATGTAAAAAAATTAATTATTGAGATATAGCTATAGACCTAACGTATAACTATTATTAAAAAAAATATATCAGCTAAAAATATTAACTGGATCAAAAGTTATTTAAGTTGTCAGTGGGTGGTGGGCCACTCTGTATATAAAATATATTTGTAATTTTTATTGAAAATTAGGCCTATTTTAATTAAATTTTTTTTTTCAAATAATTAGAAAAAAATAATCCTTTTAATTTTCATTTAAGCATTCGAATAATTTTTATTCAACCGAGTAGTATTTTTTGGGCATTAACTATAACTACAAAAAAATAATGAATTTTTGGGCTAGGTCTTCTATATTTTTTGTTTCATTAAATATATTAAACATTATCCGTAAAAAATATGATAGAACAAAATTACGTGCGGAACGAGGAAATTTTTTCTAAATCCGACCCTGCTTAATATAAGAATTCAAAAAAATATTGAACTTGATTTAATTGCAATGGGTGATATTTAGTTTACGTTACATAAAAATTTTATTAATGTATATTATTTCAACACCATAAAGTATTTATCAATATTTAACATTTTAGAAACAATGAGAAAGTATCCTCCAGTACAAGCATTAGTACGAAAATGTACTAAACCTTTTCAATTACCTGACTCCAAAGCAGTAATCGACGAAGGTACAGGAATCCTCATACCTGTTTACGGCATACATCACGATCCAAAATATTACCCTGAGCCTGAAGTATTTGATCCCAATAGATTTAAAAAAGAAGAAATTACCAAACGACCTACGAGCAGCTATTTGCCGTTTGGCGATGGACCACGTACATGTATAGGTATACAATATTTATAAGCACAGCTATTTTGAAGCTAAAAATATAGATGGGGGAGGTTAAAATTAATTTTATCAATTTAATGATTTTTTTGAATTTGTAAATATCATAGAACTTTTTTTTAGAAGTAACCTTACGAAGTGTCCCGCAAGGTTTAGACATAATTAATAGTTTTTGATCCGTCAAATATTTTGCATGATTTTTTTAAATAATTACAGGTTTGGACTACGTTAAAAATTTTTTTTGTTTGTCGAATAAAATATAATAATAATTTTCTTTATTTCCATAAGGAAACAGCTGGATTTATGAATAACACTGGTTAAAATGCACTTTACCTCTTCCTCACGAATTGAAAATTTTATTTTAATCTACTTGTTTTTTCCCCTATTTAGGAATATAATTTTTTTTTCACGGAAACAATTTTTTTCCGCGGGTTCACAATTTGCCTAATAATGAATCGTGTTTTTAGTAGACATCCTAGTACTTATTATGGTTATTTTAAGTTATATGAACGTAATTTGTATTAAAGAAATAATAACATCTGTTTGATTCGTGTCAGTTAAATTTAACACTTTTTTTACTAGGGTAATATATGTTCATGTCGGCTCTCATTCCTAACTTTTTTTTTTTGCTCATTTTTCTCTTGATAATAAGCTAATTTTAATTGTGTTGTTCATAAATACAGTTATGTTTTCAAATACTAGTTTAAGTAATATTATTATTCGTTATTGTCATAACTAAACGACTACAGCAATAGTTGTGCCAACGGACCATATCAATGATTACTCACAAAACACAACATTTATTAAATTAATTATGGTTATTAATTTTAGAATATATATATATATGTAATTTCATATCTAGCGACAATCTAAAATTAGCTTCCTTATCCAGAGCTTATTGCATTATTTTACTTCTATTTAAAATGTATTTATGGATCGCGTTGGATATAAGTATAAGTAAAATTTAACAGCAATGCCATCGTGTTTTGTTTTTTTTTTTTTTGTGAAAATAGCATCATAAAAATGAGGTTTTCAATGTTTAAACGTTGAATTAACTATAAGTGTAAATTCAGTATATACAATTCGTGAGTAGCCGAAAAAATGCATCATAGCCAGTAATTCATTTAATTGGATGTAATAATGTTGCATAGAATTTATTTTTGTGACTGCAATTGTGTGAGCGCATTCTTGTGGATGCATTTGTGTAAATTCATTTAAGAGAGTACATTTTGTAAATACATTTTTGTGAGTACATTATAGTTACAAAATCATGCCTCAAAACACTCCATAAAATAAGGGAAATAGATCCCTAAAACAAAATTAATTTTATAGTAAAAAGACAATTTTTTTTCATTTGAGGAGGGGGTAATGAAAACTTTTCTTCAATTATCATAGCTTTACATACATGAAATAACTATACGTTTGTCAAAAAAAAAAACCAAATTGTGCTTATTAGAAAATCCTACGTATTCTACTAGCTATTTAACCCAGAGCTATCTGGACACTATTTTTTGATTCTATAAAAAATCATGTTACGATATATTAATAAATTATAATTCTATAATAGGCGCAAAAAAATCTAGAAGTATTCAATGTATTTTCCCTTATTTCAAAATAGTTTTTCAATTTTGAAGTGAATCTTCTTTACAGAGGGCCCGGAATAGAAAGATTATTGCGCATCATGGTCGGCATTACGGTCGGCCGTCACGTTCTGCTGTAACGTTTGGCCTTCATGAACGAAATTCTATTGTTTTACTACGTTTACGGTCAAAATTCTACTGTTCCGCGAACGTAAACGTTTGTTAAACGGATTCTATTGTTCAATTAGGTATACGGTCAACATTTTATTGTTTGATTAACGTGTAAAATTGATAAACATGAATGTCGATAAACGTTTACATTCCACGACCGTTTGCAATTTATAATAATATAAAAAAATATTTTGAATTTTAAATTAATACAACTAGATATTTAATGTTAAAATATTTATTTTATTAATATATTACTTTTTAATAATAATAATTTATTGCTAATAAATATAAATTTATAATTTGTTATGTACTAAATAGCTGAGGAAGTATTGAATAACGTAGATTTTAGTATAATACAAAATTTACAACAGTAGTAAGCATTTTTGAATTCTCAAGCAATATAATAAAAGGGAAATACAGAGTAAGAAAATTAATAATGGTGAGGTAAAACAATATAAAAGGGAAACATGAAAAGTATAGTGAAACTGGACGTTTTGACGAAGAAACGTCGAGTTACGGGTCTGGATGTTCGAATGCGAGTACAGTGGCGTGCTCAGGGGGGGGAGGTTAGGGGTCATATCCCTCCGCATTTACCGAACAGCAATTCCCGAATACCTAACAGCAATAATTGAATAAAGTTGTAATTATTACATTGTATATTTGTATAACAACATTAGATCATATCATACAAAACACAAAATATTAATAAATATTTTAATGAGGCTTGACCTCTAATGCCCCTTATTAATCTTTTTTTAATTCTTTCAACCCCATTAAATGTATTTAGTTGTATTAATACCTATTAGCTATGACATCCCTCCCCATTTAAAATTCCTGGGCATGTCACTGTGCGAGTAACTTTGTATTTTGTTTATTTTGTGTTGCATTTTTATATTAAATTTTGACTTTGTGTTTATTACGTTTCTTAAATAAAATAACTATTTAAAAACCTGCACTTAGCTTAAATATTTTATCTCCACCGTGCTATTAAAATTGTGTGTGTGAAGCAAGAGTCGAGGTTGGACTGCTGGTCCTTTAGTCAATCTTTATTGATAATTAATAACTAGATAATTAGTGTGCGTGCTAGTTAGTTTTTGGGTTTAACCGTTCTTTAGTAAGTATAGTGAAAAAAGGTAGTTGTGCTGGTGGCTGACGAGAAGCCATCCTTCAGTCTGCTACTTAGTACTTTTTCAGTCAGACTGTGCTGACGGGTCTAAACTCTACCCCTTTAGTAGTTCACTAATTGGAGGGATTGGGGATAACTAGTGTATCAAACGGGAGGACTCGAGAAGAGCTTAAAAGACGAACTCATTGTCGAAAACATTAGTTAATTTGTGTACTGCTTTTTGCGTTTACGTCGGGGACTACCGACGTTCGACAGTTAATTTAACTCACTTGATGTGTATTTAAAAAAATGCACTGCATTTTTTATTTTAAACAATTTAATTACACAAAATAAACATTAACAATTACATACAAGTTAAATCAAATTAATTAAAGCACTTTAAACAACAATACTTTAACTTTCGAAAATAAAGTGCTACATATATATATATATATATATGATTTTAATTTTAATTAACTCTATTTGTTTTTATAATTATATTATTTAGAATAAATATAGTTAAATGATAATTATAAAATATAATTTACTTCTTATATTATTGTTAATACAAATAAATATAGATACTATTTATTATTTATATTAATCAATTATTGGTATTTATTTTTATTAATAATGAAATAAGTAAATTGTCAAGAATAAATAATTAATAAAAATTATGATTAAATATAATTTTTTATAACATTATATATAAATAATGCAATTTATAGGTATTACATTTATTTATATAAATGATAAAAAAAAAGAACAATTGTACATACTTTTATTTCCCGAACTTAACATGCTATAAAGGGCGGTGGCCCTCTTTCACATATTAAGAATCAAAGATGGTTCTTGGCTAGGTAAATGATGGACGGGGCTAGTATTTTGGGTGACTTTCACCAGAGAACAGACACCAATATCGAGAAAAATCTTGTTGGCACCCTGGGGATCGAACCCCGAGCGCCAAAATGTACCTTTCTACGTTTTACTAGGCCAGGACGACCCTTTACATTTATTTATATAAATAATTGTAATCGCTATACATTTAATTAATAATGTATATTATCTATACAAATTGATCGGTTTATCATAAATCACTCGATTACTCAAAATAAATAAAATATTAGAAAAAAATAATTTGATTTCTTTTAGTCACATATATTTCTTGATATATCAGCTAATAATTACTTTTTAGGATTATCCCTTATAATGTATAGGGATGTTAACGTTATTTTTTTAAATAATAACATAGTATAAAATATAATTTAAATTATAAAATATTTAATTAACTTATAAAACAGGAAATAATGTAATGAAGACAATGATTGGTCGATAACAACTTTTTTGGTCCAGTTCATTGAAAACGCAACTTATAGTTTAACATCCTTAATACAGACTGCTTACTTGGAAATCTACTCCTACTTTAAAAAACCATCCCACCGAATGACACATCACTTCCCTTATATGCCCGTGACCTGATAGCACTTAAAATAAAGAGCCAGATCTGTGTAGCAAAGCATTAGACTTCCTTCTGACAAACACACATACAATAATTAAATTTAAAAAGTGAAAAAATGCTTTCCGAATTTTGTAAGGTATCCTTTAAAAAGTTCACTTTCTCACTCTCGGTGACAAATAGTTCCTTATGGAAAGCCACGAATTCTATCTTACATAAAAGCGATACTTTATCACACTTAAAAAGTGAGGACTTGAACTGGGCTATAAACGATTATGACAAAGTCGTTCTATTTGGGTCGCATCTTAGACAAATTTTCAACCTCACCCCGAAATTCCAATACACGCGTCACTAAGTATGGTAATGATTTACTCTCTATACCCTTATCTATGAATCTGCCAACTAAATTCTCCTGGCGAAGTTAACAATTGTATTTGTTCTTTTTCTCATAAGAAATCCCCAGGGTACGATTTAGTTACTGTCGGGATTACTCAACAATTCCCTAAAAGAGTAATAATTTTATTGACTTATATTGTTAATGCAATTTTTCGATTTTCATACTTTCCATTCCAATGGAAGTTCTCCTTAATAATCCTTATACGCAAAGATAATAAGCCTCTCGACTTTCCGTTCTCGTATAGACCTATAAGTCTTCTGCCCTTTTTTCAAAAGTTTGTGAAAAACTTATTTTAAAGAGAGTAAATGTAATAGTTAAAGAAAATAACATTATTCCAGACAATAAATTTGTTTTCCGAGGAAAATGCTCCATAATACATCAAGTACACCGTTTGGATGATCTCTAGTCTGAAAAAAAACTTTGCTCTTCTGTAATGTTTGATATCTCGCAAGCAGTTGATAAAGTTTGGTATCCAGGTCTTCTACTCAAAACCTGTAACATTCTTCCTCCTTCCTATTTCCTTTTTTATAAGTCCTATCTGGACATGCGACAAAAGTCGGCACAGAAATTTCCTCTATACATCTAATAAAATCTGGCATTCCCCAAAGTGCAATGTACTCTCTGCTACTATTTAATATTTATACTGCTGACCAATTAACAACTATCAATACCCATGTGAGAGACTATGCACACTAAACTCATAATATTTAAACGCTTTATCAAATGCCTAATGCTTTAATCAAATTATAAGCTTTATGTGGTCGTACGGTACTGAGATATGGGGAATATCAAACAAATCAAATCTTAGCAAAAATCAAGTTTTACAATCCAAGTGCCTTCGACGAATTCTTAACGCCCCACCTTATATATCAAACGAAACAATTCATAAAGACCACCACCTTCCTACTGTAAAATAAACTGCTATTTCTCGACATAAACACTTTCACAACCGTCTCCAAAATCATCGAAACCCTCTTATCTGTCCTCACTCATATTCCCGTAACTCTCTTCGTCACCTAAAAAGATCCATAATACAAAACTTAATAACTTTTAAAAATTCTCCGTAAAAATTATAATACTGATTTTCTATTAAATTTTATTATTATAAAAAGAATTTATACATGTATTATACTTAAAAGCCACAGAACTTGTAATCAGAATATAATAAAGGAAAGAGTTGGTTGCTTTTGGTATAATTAAACAATTTCATCTTAAACACTATCTACAAATTTGCATCGAAGCCTTTTTTTTATTTATTTTAATTGCAGTCATCTATACTTGTCCCAAATAAGTTGCGACCCCACTTTTTTTCAAAACAAAACAAGTTTTTGTTTTTTTATATTTTGCTAAATTATGCGTGTTTAGTATTGATACATTTTGTTTCGTGATAATGCAACAAGTATTTCATTAGCTTTAAAAAACTATTGGATTATTATTCTTAAATGCATTCATTCATATTAAATAGTTACCAATTTTATTATAATTTATTTCGTCTAATGTTATTTTTTTGTAAATTCAAAGTTAAAGTTAAAAAGCTACATTTATCTCATTTACTGATTTACCACAAAAAACTTTAAATAATATTGTAACTTTTATCGAATTATTTCATGATTTTTAACCAATCAAAATTGTTTGTTAAAATAGGGATGCGCTTTGCCATGATTGAAATGAAATTAGCTTTAGCCCAGTTTCTGCAAAATTACTCAGTATCAATTAATGAAAAATCAAGCAGACAAATTCAATTCGAACCTGCGTCTTTCTTATCTACTCCCAAAGGAGGTATATGGCTAAAAGTTAAAAAAAGATAGGACCACTCAAAACTATGCAGAATTTAAAACACCTGTATTGTATAATTATTTTCATATATCATAACAATTAATAATTAAGTTTTAAATTATTATAATGATAAACTAAAAAAATTGGCCACTATTTGTAAACATTAGTCATTTAAGACCACTTGAAAATGTTTTAAAATAAATAAATACAATATAAATATACAATAATATAAAAAAATAAGAAGAAAACAATTATAAGAAATATAGATTATTTTGTTATTTCAACTATTTTTAACAACCTAATAACACACAAAATGTTCTCATTATTATGTTTTAAAACTAAATTATAAATAAAAAATATATGTATAAATAAATACATATATCAATAGAAAGTATCTTTTCTGTAATATATACTTCAATAAATATAATAAAAATATAACAATATAAAAAAGTTATATTTTAGTTGTTATATATTCATGCAAAAATCTATACTTCGCGAACTAAATTAAAAATAATACTGAATTCTAAATTGTTAAAGGAAATAACAAAATAATATTAATATAATTAGTCAATAATAAAATATTTTCCAAATTGTAATATTTTATTTATTTTTATAAATACTATTGTTATGTATTAATATTCATTACTCTTATTAGTTATTATTTTACATTTTTTTTTTTTTTGACATACATCTGTTTCAATATCTTACAAGGATTTTTACAAAAATCATTTAAATATATACAATTTGATTTGGTACTTAAATTGTTATATTATTTACATGAACAAAAATATATAAACTATTTTTGGATGCAAAGTTATCACTCATAATACAAGTATTGATGTAACAAAAATCATTACATATATTTTTATATATGTATATTTATATAATATCCAAATACACATGATCCCAATATTTTTTAAAAATAATTAATCTCAGAACTAATTATAGATTAATTTTTATTTATTATATATCATAATTATTACATATATTTACTTATTAATTTAATTATTTCATTTTTTTTCCTTTTATTTTAGTTTTTTTTTTTTGAGCGTTAAGAACATTACAAATCATATTTTATACACACAAACAAAACATAAAGATCAAGTATTGTTGATTGTGAACAAATACTTACAAAAACATGTTACTTTTAACTACATTATAGTTTTTAACACAAGGAAAAATATCTGAGATATTAAGTCTAGAAAACAAAAGTTAATTTGAGTAAAAACTTCAATGTCTTAACAAAAAAAAAACTGTAACATTATTTCAAATTTGAAATTCATACTTGAATGAATTATTTACACGAAAGGCACACAATTTTTCTATTTACAAAAATTTACATAAACTAGATACATAGGATGAACGGACAGATGGTCTGAAGAGTATGATTTAGCATTTTGAAAGGGATTCAACATAATTGTAGAATTATGGTGCTAAAGTTTGTTCAAATGCAGCCATTAAATCACTTTGACGATTCATGTCAATCTGATTTACCATCTGTAAATTTTAAACACTAATTAATAAAACTTCAGATTAAATAAATAAACTCAGTACACAAGATCAAAATAAAAACTTACAGCTTCTCGGCGTCTCCTTTCTTGCTCTTTTAATCTTTGTCTTTCTCGCCCCTCAGCTCCTCTGTCCTGACTGGGACTCGAACTATCATCAGTATTGCTAGTTGTTTTAACTTCATCCAAACGGGATGATTGTTGTTCAGCAACAATTTTTCTATGATAAATTTGTTGATTTAATATATAAACTTAATAATTAAATACTAATCAAATAAATACCTGGCTTTTTCTAAAGCTTCTTCTTCTTCTTTTTCTCTCCTTTTTTCATTTTCAATGCGAATCCGTTCTTTTTCTGCCTGTTCTTTTTGATGACGTCTCATTTCTTGTTGCTCAATTAAAGCTCGTTGCTAATTATAAATATAAAATATATTTAATTATTGTAATTCTATAATACTTAATATTAAATAAAGAAGAATAAAAATATGAAAGCTATTGAATTTTCTTTGATCTAAGTGAGATTATTTAACTTCAACAAACTTTTTTCGCATTTTCTTTTGCTTGCTTTTTAAATTGTTGAAATGAATCTGCAGTTGATGGTTTAATTGTAGCTGCAGTAGCCTGATTATTAGCTTCTGGTGCAGTTTGTTGAGCTAATGAACTCCATACACTGGTAGCATTTAGAGCTCTCTGATCATTTAGCTAGCAAAATAATATTATTATCATCTTGATATTCTAATTAATAATTAAAAAAATTTTGAAATCAAAATAATTAAACTTAATAACAACTGCGCATTATCAAATTTAAATACTAAATATCAAATTATACAAATTCTTAACTTTTAAGAAATTATCATGCATGAAACAATGAAATATTTGTCAAAACTTAAAAAACCCAAGATGTTCAAAAAACATTGCAATAAAAAAAAATTAATTTTAACAAGAATAACTATGAATTTTGATTTCATGCATTTTGAAAAATATTGTATTAACAAATATTTATTTTTAGTTGAATTGACTTTTTTTTAACTTAAAACAAGAGTCTTTATCATAAAATTATCAGTTTAATATAAAAATATTTAAAGTACCTCATAAGCATAAGCTTAAAAAATTATGTCAGTTAAAAACAAAAATTCAATTTTTTTGAAGATCATTGAAAAAAATATATAGATCCATATAAATATTTAGCAATATTATGAACATAAGGTATTCATTTCAATTCACATTCAAACTGAACTTTATTCTTTGAAATAAATTTGAAAATTGAATTAGTTTATAATTCTAAATTAGTTGAAGAATTAATAAATTAATATAAGATTCATATTAATTAAATATTTGAATCTGATGGCAATCTATTTATTGTGTGTAGATCAATTTATATCACAACTATAATTTTATATTTCATTTTTATTTTATTTTAATATGATATTATAGTTATAATAGTTAGGACCATGTAGTGATAATTAAGATTTAATGGTTAATTAAAATAACTATTTATCTATTACTTAAATTAGACTAAAGAGAAATTTAAGTGCTGGAATTGATAATTATAAGCTTTTCTTTTTAAAATATATGATGGGCTTGTATATATTCTTATCATCGTAACTATCTTATCACCTCAAGATTTATGCTTCTAAATGCTTACTAAATAAAATTTTTAAGAATGTTTTCTACAAAGCTAATAAAAAAATAAAATGCATGACACAGGCTGTAGTATGGGATTAGACCCCCAGTCCAAGAGATTTTAAAGACAAACCTCCTTATCACTAGACCACTGTGGACTAGATTAAAATTTAAATACACTTTCATATAGGTTAACAATGAGATGTGCAGCTGAAGGAAAAACGGTACTGTGTCATGCATTAAAATAAAATATAACACTAATATCATGAAGCTTTTTTTATTTAAGGGTGAACTTAGTAATAATACACAGTATATAAAATCATGATATTAATATTGTATCTATTAACTATAAAAATATTCTATTAAATCAAAATAATTTCTACAAAATAGCTCAATTGATTGTAAAAAATTCTATTTATCAAGCATATTATGTGATAATTACATCAGTTGTTTCATAAGAATGCCCAATGTTTGGGTCCCACGGGACAGGGAGAGAGTGCAGATGATGATGACGTAATGGTCCCATAATGGAGCCTGGAACGTGAGGGGAGGAATCTAAATTGAACTGTGGAAACATCTAAATCCCACAAAAGTTGTTAGTTCAAATATGTTAATTATGTATTAAGTGGAGTCTTATTAATTCAAAAAATTGGATTATACTCATGGTGGCTTCAATGTTGAAATGTATTGCTCATGTTCACATAATTAAGATAAATGATTACAGCATAATTTTAGTAATTTAGAGTCATTTTCATGTAGTTTTTATAATAAAAATTATAATCAAAATAATAGTGGTTTAATACGCAAAGTTAAAATTATATTTTATTAAACTCAAATTAATGACTATGGTTTATTGATTCTTAAAGACTTTTATCCCCTATTTGGATTAAATAATGAGACTCCACTATTAAAATTGTTTTATTAGTATTAAGTCAAAGTAATACATTAATAAATAACAGATAAAATTATCATAATATATTATTAGTTGAAATAATTTAATTAAATAATTTTTTACATAAAATTGTTAACTTTAAAACTTTATGCTTATACAGGGTGATTTTTTTATCATAACCCACTCAATTACTTACAGAATAATAATAATTAAAAATTTTTTTTTTATTACTATCTTTAGTTACACATTATTCTTGAATTATTAACTATGTAATACTTTTTAAGTTCATCCCTTATGCCTGGTAAGGGTGTCAACTTTATTTTTTTAAATGGTAACACATATTTTGAATTTTATAAAATGTTTGAGTTTTTAATTTAATAACAAATGTCATTTGAATTTTTAATATAACTTTATTCGTTTATTAGATATAAACATTTAAAGTTTCAATTTTTTGAGTTAATATACATGTATAATACACTAGGGATTAAAATTACAGGTAGCTAATTGGTTTTTTATGACATCGATATTAGCAGGTACAAAGCATTGTTATTATCAATGGTAGTAAGACACATTGTTATGAGTTTATAAATACACTAACTGACAATACAGAATGTATATCTATTGATAGTCATAATTGATAATAAACAATCCGTAACTGTGATAGCAATATCATAAAAAATCAATTAGCTACCTGTATTTGTAATCCCTTGTGTATTATACCTATATATTAACTCAAAAATTTGAAACTTTAAATGTTTATATCTAATAAACGAATTAAGTTATATTAAAAATTCAAATGCCATTTACTATTAAATTAAAAACTCAAACATTTTATTAAATTAAAAATATGTGTTACCATTTAAAAAAACAAAGTTGACACCCTTGCCAGGCATAAGGGATGAACTTTAAAAGTATTACATAGTTAATAATTCAAGAATAATGTGTAACTAAAGATAATAATAAAAAAAAAATTTTTAATTATTATTATTCTGTAAGTAATTGAGTGGGTTATGATAAAAAAATCACCCTGTATAATAGAACAAAAGTAATTTTTTACTCTTCAAAATACCTATGATAATGTACAAACACATTTTTAAAATGTTAAATTATTATGTTCTAAGAAATTTAATACTTTGAGATTTATAAGGTCATATAAAAATGTCTAAATTTAGTAAACTAAATATATATATATATATATATATATATACACATACTACATTAACTTTAAGGCAACTTCCTGTAACAATAAATATTTAATTTTAGAACTGCAAATAGACAAATATTTAGTTTTGATACAATAAGAATATCTCGAAATAAATCTATTCACTCATTTATCAATTAAAATGAAATTGGAAACAATATTGAGAAACATTAATAACAAAAATAAAGAAATTTCAAGATTTTTTATTATTAGACGACTAATACCTAATATCTCAAAAAAGTCAACTTATCAGGAAAGACAAAAATAATTGAAAAATTATTGACTTATAACAAGAGTACCATTTAACCAAAAACTTATTTAAAAAAATATTTTATGGTATGTCATTTTATCAAAATATAGTATTTCCCCTATATTTTACATGTTTATATCACAAAATGAATTTTTATTGGAGATACAAAGTATTGGTTGTTCATCAATGATGAACTAAATAAAATAAATTAACTCAATAAATATACTATTAAAAACAACATCTAAATATCTATCCATTCATCTTACTTCAAAATTGATATTAAAATATTTTTAACTGTCAAGCATTGATAAAAAATGTGACTTCACATTTTTCTTTATTTTAATGAAGCATAAACAACATTGATTTAAAAACTAACAGCCACTATCTGTAAAATTTTAACCTAATTTCGAATTTCATCAAAATAAACGTTGAAATTCTCAGTAATTTTTAATAAGTTTAATGGGAAAATTTTAAAACATTACTCACATAATATAATGACATTTTTTAGATCGGATATACTTTAGAGGTGTACTTAAAAATAAAATAGTTGTATGATTATTAATTAATGTTTATGATCCTACACTTTAAATTCTTATAAACGTAACATAACAACAAGGTTGTAGTTTTAAAGCAAAAAATATCTAGGAGGCTAGCTAGTAGTGTAATTATACCACATACAGAACATACCAAATTTCAAGAAAACTATTGTTTAAAGGGTTAATTAATAGGAAAATATAATTTATCGTTACAAATAACTAATTCTGATTTGTTATTTTCCAGATCTATCTATATATACGGGAGTACCATTGGTATCTAGATGGCACCACTTCCAGGGTCTGGAGATAGATAGTGGTATCAAGTATTATAAGAAGGGAAAATTAAGTCAAATTGTGAGTCAGTCGTGAGTCGGCTATGTATATTCTTTATTTTATATATGTTCTGTTTTATATATTTTTGTGTTGTGTTAATATTTTTACAGAGTTTTCGTGTGTAATTAAATATATGTGTTATTTTTGTTTGTTAACATTTAACAGAGTTTTTGTGTATTAATTTATATATATATATATAAATTAAATAATAGTATTGCGTCTTCGCTCTGTTCTTGTGGTTGCCTGTTTGCATTTCCCACATATATATCTTCTTCTTACAAATAAATATTAGTAAATACAGTCATGAATTTCAATAATATAAATATTTTTAATAAAATAAAAACCAAAAAAACTCATAAATTTAGATTGTGTAAATTATTATCAACTTACTTGATTTGTATTTTGCATAACTGGAGTAACTGGCGATGGTCGAGCCTTATTTTCAATATTAGAATGACCCATTATAGATGATGTTGTAGTATGATGAATAGCAGCAACAGAGTTCATGACAGGTGTTATATCAACAAGCTGACCTGTGATTCCTACAAAATTCCAAAAAGGTTATTTATAAAAGAAAGAGTAAAATTATTTAAAAAAATTAATTGTTCAAATATAACAAATTCTGTTGTTTAATAGATTTACAAAAGATGAGGTCAAAAGGTTTGAGCATAAGTTATTTTCCTATCCTACAGTAGCAGCACTTCAAATGTATTAAGGCTGCAGATTTTGTTAAAAAATAGTGAAACAAATTTAATAAAACAAAACATTTTATGCTTAATATTCCCTTTTTTTTTTTTTTATAAGATTTCTGTCAATTTTTTTCTAATTTTTAATATAATTTTTAGTTTTGTAAATATTAAATACATGTTTAAAAGGAAGTTGAGAATATTAATAAATTTATTTTTAACAGTTGATGGACAGTTAATGACATGGTATTTTATAAACATTGGTTTTATGAGATGCGTGGGGTCAGAACAACTTCCTCCTTCATAAGAAATCATTGAAAATATTACTACTATATCAGTAATGACATTTTTAGAATAGTTCAGAATATTTTTAGAATAGTCAAATTTTAATATTACTGCTGTAACAGTAATATATGATTTTGTCTATCAACGTGTTAATAAATTTTATATCAATTTTAATAAAAATAATATTCTATAAAGTAAAAAACTTTGTATGATTGAAACATAGTGCTCATTATTATGATAACATACCATCCAAAGTGTTATGCAAGTTGGTTGAAGGTATGTGGCCTGCTTGTTTATCTGGCACACGCAAAGAATTGTTATTTGTTGGCTGACTTCTTGGAGGTGTTAATGGATCAAAAACAGATGCCATATTTGAAAGCACTGCATTATCATTATGAACACTACTTAATGGTACTATTGGCTGTGAATTACTACTAACTGGAACATCTGGTTCTGTTTTAACTTCAACCTTCAATGATTGAGAAACATGACCATTAGAAGTAATATCTTGAGTTATTTTCGTGCTACTTGAGTCTCCATCTTAAAAAAAAAAAAAAAAACAGAAAATACAAAGTTATTTGCAGTACTTAGCATAAACAAAGATATTTTAAATATGATACAAATACACGGTCTCAAAAACTTTCTTCTAACTTTGATTTGGCTAAAACTAAAGTTCAAGGTTTATTTGTAGTAAATTATCCAGCAGAACATGGAATTCCTTAATAATTAATTTAATAACTGTCTCAATAATGATGAAGAGCAGTGACAATATTTATTACAAGTGTAGAGAACAACCACAGCAAATATTCCAATAACAAAATATCAATTTCAATATAATAAAAAAAAATGAAAAACTATTTTAAATTATTATTGTAGAATGCTTATGTTAAGTTTTAAAAAATCATTGTATAATTTGACAACATACTTTTTTATATATACATTGTGTATTTAGCAAATGCTTGAACTACAAAAAAGGTACTAATTTATAATATTAATGAATTTTTTCTCTTTATAATGTACATTATCATAAATCATATTAATCAATAAATATAATTGGACTTTTATGGATTGTACATAATAAATCAATTTTAGACTTAAAATTTTTTTTCTGTGATAAAAATGAAACATTTTAGATATATCAAGTATAATGTTTGATCCAAAATTGAACAGTTAAAGAAGTTTTTGTTTTTTTGGGGTATTTTTACTTGGACTACTAAAATACTTAAAATGTGTTCAATGAACAGACCTTTTTTTTCAATCTAACATTTTTACAAAATGTATATTTTAATATATATAGTTAAGTTAGAATGTATCTCATCAAAATTTTAAAAATCAATATATTTTTTATGCCAACCTAATGGACATATACATATACACACAAACATCAAATTTAAAATAGAAATTGAGCTATTTTTATGGAACCAAATATTTACATATTTTAAATTAAATGATATATAAAAAAAAAATTACTAGATATATTTCCATTTGTAGTGGGAAGATTTGAAGTCATTGATATACCAGATGATTGCTTAGTTACAAGAGATTGATTCGGTTTAGCTGTATTTACAGCTATTGCATTTGTAACAGATGTTTTTTTGGAAGAACTATCTGTAACAAAATAAAAATGGCATTTATCATAACAAGATAAAATTATAAAATTAAAATAAATTTTAAAAGTTAATGACTTACAAAAAAATATTACACTAATATATCTAAAACAAGGTTTGAAATATTCAAAAGAAAACAGTAACTATCGTCATTATACAAAAAATGACAAATTTTTTTTTTAATTTTTGAAATCAGTTTAAGAGTTCAAAAGCTCTTTGAGAAATAAAAAAAAATAGTTATTCTTATTGTTTGATAGAATATTTACATAGAAATTATAATTTTTTTAGTTACTTTATAAGTATTTTTTAAACATTTATTACAATATACATAAAACAAAATTAGACAACAAAATTATGTATATATAATATGTTGTAAAGAATGATATTTATACAATTGACTTACTTTTTTCTCCAAAAATAATAATAATAATTAAATGTTCTAGTTTCATATATTTTCTCCATTTATAAATAACTAAGTGCTTTTTAGGTCCTTAGAAAGTTTTTTATAATCATTAAAAAATTAATTTTAGAGATAAAAAATATTGATACTAATGGTGGTAACATGTATAAAAGCAATGCCTCATATTAAAAAAAAAAAAATTTTTCAATAATGTTATATTTAGGGCAATGGAATTATATGAATTAATAATTTTGTGAAGTTATTCTGAATACATTACGAGTCAATACAAATTTTAATCAATTTAATTGAAACCTAAGTAATGAGTTATAATATGAAATATAATTGTTAAGGGTTTATTCCCTCTAAAGCAAACATTTTTATTTTTGCTTTAGTAGATTGCCTGTAACAAATTTTGAAACTCGCATCTCTTTTAAGTACCTCAAACAAAAATTATAAATACTTGTAATGCCTTACATCAGTTATATTATTACATTATAATATTTAATTAGTTTTATTGAAATAAAATATTTTAAAAAAAAATGTGTGGTGTGGTGACACTATGGACTACTAAATTTTAATTTTTAAGAAAAGATGTAGGAAGTTAAAAAATATACTAACAGAAATTATATGGAAATAGACAACTCATTAATCTTACCTACCTAATAAACTTGATTAACTAATAAATATACATTTTTCATATTATTTATAATGAAATATAAATGAGAAATACAATTTTTACATAAAACTTATATATTAAATAATTTAACACTTTTAATGTTATATGATTTTAGTTTTAATAGAAAACTCTTTAATAAAATGTTTGGTATGTTTAATAAATTAAGTTAATTAAACATACCAATTTGTTTTTTAGTAATAAAATAATAAATAATGAGAAATACAAAGAAATAAATTTCAGTTGATTTCAGGACTATAGAATAAGTCATAAACCCAAAATATTTTTAAAGCTCAGTAAAAGAACCTATTTTGTTTATTACTAAATTATAAAAAATATCATGCATAATTTTCTAAAATTAAATTACTTTTCAAATATATTTTAAATTTAAAGAAAACAATTTGGTTATAATCAAAAACATAACACACACTACTAAATACCACCCTTTAATTAAATAAAATAAAATATACCCAACAAAAGAATCATGCAATTTGTTGTTAATAAGAAATTATAATTCAAAATAAACCTCGAGAAAAAATAAGATAATATTAGCCAATATCAATTTAAAGACGTGCAAAAGTCCAAAAATTTAATTACAGAGATTTCAAGGAAGTGTTTAAATTTAAAATTAGTAAAATACTGACTCGTCTGAACACTGACAGGTGGTTTGTTGATAGAATTGACAGGTACTGAAGTTGAACCAGTTTGTTTCATTATGTTGGTCGATTTTTGGTTGTCAGCTGGTTTCTACAACAGACCAAAAATCGACAAGTGAAGAAAAAAATATTGAGTAAACCAAATGAAAAGAAAATAATACTCACGTTTATCGACACATCGTCGGACAAACGTTTCTTCTTTTTTTGCTTGGTGACACCTTAAAAAAGGAAAATACTTCGTATTCTTTGAACTTTTAATTATTAAAAGTGGTGAAAGACATTAAAGTAAAAGTATTACACAACAAAACAATTTGTCAATTGTTGATTTTTTAAATATAGCCTACTAATCAAATAAAAATAAATTAATAAACTACATGCATATTAGTATCATAACTTTGATCATTATATTGACACCAGTCAATGTACAAATATTGATGGCCACAATGATAACTATATAATAGGTATATAAAACTATTTTTTATTATATATATATATATATATATATATACAGAATGACCCAGAAGTAACTAATAACGCTTATAACTTTTGATACAATTATCATTTTGTTGACATTTTTTTAAAATAATTATTGTCTTCTTATACTATGTTCAAATCATATTTTTTCTTTTTTAAAACCCGTTAAAAAAATAAAATAAAAAATTTGGTTTATTTTTAGTTTTTAATTAGCCATTATTTTTAATTTTCCTAAAAATAAATTTAATACAATGATAAACATTTTAATGCATAAAGTGGGTATGGAACAAGCTATACCCATCTGTGCTACATACACTATGTATTAATGCTATAATTTTTGTAACTCAATGAGAACTTGTTCTTAAAAATTATTAACGAACAATCAAAATTTTTATTAAAGTGTGAAAAAAAAAATAATAATAATAACAATAATGCTTTAAATGTAGTATCAGGCAATAATTATTTTCAAAAGAATTTTAACAAAATGATAATTGGCTCAAAAGATTGGTCAGTTAGATTAGAGACACAACACATATGTTATCACTCACGTGCCAAAAATTTTGAAAGTGTAAAAAATAACCAAATGAGATGATAACATGCATAACCACATCATAATATCCTCCTACTACATGTATGGATTAAATATGAATGCAATAAAATAAATTTGTAAACATTTTAAATGTTAATTAACTATAATTAATAAATAGATTATTTTAGTCGAATTTGTGAAATAAAATTAAACCAAAATATAATATGATCAATTCAAGCAGTCTTGAAAGAATAAAGTTGATACATTTAAGTTTTTTTAAATTTAATTAAGTTATAAAAACTGAGTATTTTGTAACTATAACATCATTATGCCATTGTAATTGTCTTTAAAATATTTTAATGAAAATAAAAATAATTGAAATATTTAAGTGAATCAATAGATATTCTTTATATTCTAAAAAAAGAACCAAAATCCATTAGTAAGGATAACTATAAAACACATATATCAAGATAACCAGTTAACAAATTAACAACACATAATTTAAAAAAATAATCCTATTACCATGTAAAAAATTAACAAAAATTAATGTACCTTAGCATTATTTAGCACTGATGAATTCATTTAACAGAATTAATTTTTGATATAAATAATTATTTTAATATTTTCCAATGAATAACATTTAAGTTATACAAAAATATTTTTCATTCAATTAAATTATTTGTTTAAACACAACGTAATTGAAACCATTAGAATACTAATTTAAAGTTAAAATTTAAATTTGTTTAACTTGAGCTTAATCAAGACCAATAAAACAAACATTATTAATTTCTCACAGAGAGGAAATTATGTAATCAAATTTAATAATTAAATATTTATTAATATCTTAAAACTTTTAATTTGCAGTATTTTGAACATCTACAGTAATATTGGTTTGAGGACATAAAATCAAAACCACAAGGTTCTTCAAATTTTTAAAAAGTTACTGCAATATTTACAAGAAACTAACAAAATGGAATTTCATAAAAAAGTAATATTATGTCTGTGATTTAATATAAATATAATAACAAGAATTTTATAATTATAGTTAGATAAGAAAATAACAGTTATCATTTTTGATAAAATGAGATTTAATTTAAATTCTTTGAAAATAAATGTTTATGCTATCTTGTTCAAAGAGTGTATACAACATTAAAATTAAAAATAATTTGTTCACAAAATTTCAAAAAAAAAAAAATTAAATGCATTAGCGCTTAAAAAGATTTCTACAAGTGATGAAAAATAACAGTAACTACAATAATCAATATATAATCACTAGGTTATAAGAACTTTATGCGCCCTTTTAGAAAATAAAAAAGCTTACATTTAACCAAATGTAGATGACCAAAACTGTATAAATTCAAAGCTAAGATTTATTTATTATAAGAAAAGTGCATTTATGTACAACTTTTCACATTAAATATGTTTTAAATATATACAAAATAATTATTTTTTATTAGCTTCTGAAAAAAAAAACAGAATATTTGTATACAATCTTGGAAGAAGACAGTATCAATAGATAGGCATTCCTCAGAAAAATGGCGTTAATCCTTTTTAATTAAAAGGAAAAAAAAATTTTATAGAACATTTTGTAAAAATGAATGATAATGGTACTTTTAATAACTTAAGTTTTCTGGTTACTATATAGACATAAAGTACTTTTTTAACAACATAAGTCAAACATATATTTCTGTATAAATAAAATAATTTGATAAAAACTTATTTATAAAAGTATTCTGGAAATATTAGAATTTTGACAGTTAGTTATTAATAGCTTAAAATTGCTCTTTTCAACCCTATCAAATAACGAATATGAAATTTAAGTATAAAAAAAATACCATTATTCAAAATGTATTGAAGTTATTATTATTATTTTTTTTTTTAATATAAAATTTTTAAATTCACTTGGATAAATGCAATTTTATAATCTGTATCAACATTAAGCCAAAAATTAAGTTTTTCAACAAATTTAGTAATGATTACCTCTATTTCTCATATAGCCAATTTAAATAGTCTCTGTCTAAGCTATAAAACACTTTGCACCAGACAGAAAAGAGTGCTCTAGCAGACAATGAATTAACACATGTCGGGGCCCATATGTGTATAGTATACAAATACTTTCTAAAACAAAGTATTTCTAAAAGCAAGAGTTTTACAAATTTTTTTACATCAAACATTTTCAGAATAAAAAAACCCAGCATAGTACAGACGTGGCATTATTCAGACAAGTATAGATGATATCAAACAGTGATCAAAAATACTTTGATGCAAATTTGTAGATAATATTTAATTTTTGGAAGGAATTATTAAATTATTCCATAAGCAACATTCTTTTTTATATCCTGTTTTTTTTTTTACATTTTTTATTACATGTTTTAGCATGAATTAATAGTATAATACATGCTTAAATACTTATAATAATAATTATATTTAGTATGAAAATAATATTAAATAATTAATAATCAAATTTTTATGAAAAAATTATGTTAAGTTATTCAGTTGTAGTATACAGGTAATTTTTTTAATATTAGCAATTTGATTACTCTTAAAATAATAATTATATTAAGAAAATTCTTTCTGGTGTTTTTAACTATATATATAATTGAAAGATATTGGTTTAGTACTTAAAAAATAGTAGCAGACAAAAACAGTAAAATTAATATCTCAGCTCATATCTAAGTTAAAAACCAATACGATAAACTTAAAAACAAAATTAAAAACACTTTTTATAGAAAAATTGAATTTTAAATAGCTTGTTTATTATAATAATATATAATTATATATTTATGTTATATTGAATACTATTATATTGCTTATTTACATAATTAGATAGTTTATTATTAAACTATAACTCAAAAATATTTAGTAAGTAACTGTATATAATGGGATTCGCCACTAGTTAACACATTGTTTATCAAAACACTCTTTTCAATTCAGTGGAAAATGTCTATATTTATCGAAATTTCGATAAACAGTTTTAATAACTTGACCTGAGTATTATTAAATACACCACAATAATTATACTACATAAAATAGTTATCATATACACACTACATTATATTTATGTACTTCAAATTTCACTTTATTCTGTCAGAACAGATATTGACTATATTATTTAATAAGACATTCCTAATTACAATGTTAAATTCCCAAATTATAATTTAAATAATAAATGAACTAGAGTGCAAATGTGAGCAATAATCAACAAATCAATTAAAAATATATACATTTTATTATGTTCATTATTGTTTTGTATAAAATATACAAAATTAATATTTCACAAATTCACATAAAGATTTATAATTTAGCATGTCAATTTTTTCTATACAAAATAAATTTAAAAAGATAAAATTTTGGGGGTTGATTTGAACACATTTAGGTAGGTATTTTAACTTTGATGAAAGTCAAGTAATGCATTACTTATAGTGATATAAATCTAATATGGCATCATAGCAATACAATAAAAACTTAAAAAAAAAAAATGTACATAAGAAAAATATATGGACGGGTTTCCAATAAAACAACTTACAAAATAATTGTCTTGAAAATATATAAATATATAAAATGGTAGTTGTTTTTATTAGTTTGGGACAAAGGCTGAGAGTGCAAACAAAAATTAAAAAATTACATTATTTGTTAATTTATCTCAAATTAATGAGAATCTGCATTGTTTGCATTCAATTATAGGGAACTAAAAAAACTGACATGGTACTTAAAATATCATTTTAAACTTTATTATCATTTAACTCTTTCAAAATAAATGCTCACATGTTCTGCACTCTAGCCTAAACCCAGAAATATTTTAATTTAATATAAATCTCCAAAAATCTATCCTTCTGGTTTTTTCAACCCTTTATCGGTTATTGCATCACCTACAAGAGACAAACAAAAATTGTTGATTTCAAAAAGGGACTTTACACATAAAATTCATGACCAAGGTGCGTTTATAAAATCTGTACCAAAAGTCATGTTCATACACTACATAGTATGAAAGAAGAAATATTAACTTTAAGAATATAATTTTTTAATAACTATGCGAGCCATAAATTAAAAATAACAATAAGAAGAAACTGTTATCAGTATGATAATAGTTCTTGATATAATTTTCAATGTTACAGTAGATTTTAACGAACTATTGTACTTACTAAAAAAAACAAATAGAACAGCTTACTTGGCATAATGAAAAATTTTTTTATTTTTTATTCCTAAATAATATTAAGAAATATGCCTAATGTTAAAAAAAAGCTACATGGAATCAGTCAAGATATAAGTTAAAAATAAGTCATTGCCAAGAACTTTAAACAAAATCAGAACTTAAATTTTTTATACAATATTCATATCATAGACTTTTAAATTATTAAACATTAAAGAAATTCTTTTATTTTCATAATAAATAAAAGATTAAAAAATGTTAGCCAAATTATATGATAAAAATAATCAGATTATAAATAACCCACACAAAAATTATTTAAAAACTCAGATTTTCATGACTATTTAAAAAATACCACAACTTTTTGAGACTAATGCAACCATTAAATTATTATTAATTTGTATGACTATTTGCAACATAATTTTCTTTATATACTGATCAGGATTAAAAATGTTTAAAAATCAAAGTATACTGCTAATTTAATTTTTGTAATACTAAGAACAAATAACTTCAGGTATTAAATCCTACTGAATCTCGAAAAAGATCATCAGAAATAAAAATAAAATTACAGAATATATATATAACAAACATTAAGAATTTATCAATGTTATAAAATATTTTTCTTTAGATTATTGGTTCATTAAGTACAATACATCATTTATGAAAACAACACCACCATACACAAAAATTATCTAATTTTCAGTTCAAAATTAAGAAATAACAAAACACAAGTTATATATATATTTTTTTTAGTATAACAATTTAAAAGTTTAATGGATAAAGGGTTTAACAATAATTTTTCATTTCAAAAAAATTGATTTTGTAAAATATTTGTTCAAAATACAAACTTGAACAAAATATTAATTAAATTAATTAAAAGATATTTTTTTAAATATATTATTTTAATAAAATATTAGGGAAAATATTTCCAGAAGTTTTGAAAATATCAACAATAACACCTTTTAATTAAATTATATATATTTATATATAAACAGATTTAGTTAAGAAATTTGCAGTCCAAAACTTAATAGCTTATAATAAGATGAAAATAATAACAATAAGTATCTCATATAAAGTTATAGAAAATCAGAGTACTTACCATGCTCAGAATCACTTGAATCACTAGATGAAGTAGAATAACTGGAAGAACTTGAATCTGAATCTGAACTACTAGAACTAGATGCTGACAAGCGTGAAGGTCCACTGCCACTAATTTCTGTAGCTTTTGCATCTATATAAGAAACGTTAGACTATAAATCTAGATACAATATTAAATGAATGATGCATAGGTATATGGGTACAAAAAAATGTTTGTTTATTTCTGTCTAAATAAAGAAAAATATTTTCATAATGTAAATTTACCTTTTTTTCCTTTTTTACTTGATAACTGTCCACTAACATCTAATCGCTTATCAATTTCATGTTTTTTTTCACTGACATCTTCTTTAGCTTTTCCAGAAACCTTTTTATCTGTAAAATTAGTTATTACATCAATATTAATTATCAATTTTTACTTTGATATTAACAATATACCCCTACAGTTCAAATTTTTCATAGAATAAGCAAAAATCAATTTAACATTTATTTAAAAAGGTTAGAAGTAAAAGAAAATATACCATTTTTACACATATATATTTAAAACATAGAAATGGTAATATAAAAGAAAGCTTAATAAGAAGAACCAGGCCAAAACCCATAACTTACTGTAAGTCTTACGTGGTTTTTTTCTTAAACATGATGCCACATAGGATTCTAATTCTCTAAGTGTTGATGGTTTTAAGGTTTCAAAATCTATTTCTATTTCATCTGGGTTAGAATCTCTTAATGATGGTTCGCGAGATTGAATAATGTGAACTACTCGACCAAGTTTATCTCCTAAAGAAAAAATCATTAATTTGAAATATCTTTTGAAGATTTTACTCATAATAAATTAAAATACCAGGTAACTTGTTAATATCTAAGCTCAATTGGCGTTTTTCATCGTAAGACATTGGTTTAGCATTATCTTCATCTTCAGAGTCAAATGCTGGAGTACTGACAGAATTCTTTTTCTTAGGGTTAGTTGTTTTTGAATTAACTCTAGGACGTTTAGGTTGTGCAGGTGTTTTAGCTGGACCTCTCACGCCTGGACCTTTACCTTTACCAGTTTTGGTAGGTTGACCAACTGAAGTATTTGTTATTGGAGGACGGATTTGCTGTGCTCCCATTTTTGAATTCATTAATGGGTCCATAGGTTGCATTTTAATATCATTACTAAGATTAGAGTTATTCATTACATTCATAGGTGTACTATTAAGAGACACTGCTAATGGTGGTTTGGTTGCATTAACAGCTATTTTGTCATTAGAAATATGTTTTTTCTTCTTTGAATTATTCAGACTATTTTTCTTTTTTTGTTTTTTCTTTCTGGCACTTTCTTCAACCAATTGTTTCATTTGCTCTTGCAGTGCTTTTAACTATAATAAGAGAGGAAATCTCAATATATTTTAAATAAATGTATTAATATTTATATTTCAAACAAGCTTTATTGATTACATTTCAAAAAAAAAAAAAAGGACAAAATAATTTAAATATATTATCATCACCATGACCTCTATCTAAACTACTTGGGTCAGCACTGTCTTATCGGTTTGATCAAATTTTACACAAATTGTCGACTTGTTATAACCACATTATAGTTAAGGGAACCAGTATAGGGGCAAAATGCATGTTACTGTTAAAGTTTCCATATAGTCGCCCATCTGGGAATTAAAAGCAAAGAGCGCTAAGGATGCAACTGAATGATCCACTGTGTCACACCACAAAATAAAACAATTGAAATACATAATTAAATGAAAACATAATATGATAAGTCCAAATTAATATTAATATTAAATAACAGACTGTAACATTTTTTATCATTTTAAAAGACATTTTTAAAATGTTAGAACTATAAAATATGAACTATTAAGTAAACAAATGGCATATCGAATAACACACATGATAATTAATAATTCATCATGAAAATTGCAAAATATAGTTTTGTTATAATCAGAATGTTTACCTTTATATCATTTAAATGTACTTAATATAAATTTTACTATCATAAAACATGAAGAGTAGCATTTACAAAAAGTATTTCAAATGACGCACATGAATTAAACATCATCATAATATGTTTTTAATAATTATAGATAATTGGAGACCTTTCAAAGACTATGGTTTATGTAACAAGAAAAAAATAATTTCAAAAAACATAATGGATTTGTTTATAATTGCTACATTTAGGCTATTAACCAATTTATATTAAAAATACTTTATATACTTCTTATAATAAATGTAAATTAATGTTTTAATAATAAAAATTATAAATTTCAGAAAAATACATTATTTTATAAAAATGTAACATATACTTTATATTAAGGTCTTCAATTGTACTTATAATTTCAAAGAAAAATTGTAGATTTATAATTTTTACTATTGTTTAATGAAATCACAAAATTATCAGAAAATACATTTTTATCATTCAAATTTACCAATGATAAACTCTACATCCATATAACATGAAATATAGAACATATTAAAGGTTTCTCAAATGACGCACATGATAACAAAATCATCATAAAAATTTGATATTTTATAATTATAAGTGTATTATTGTTTAACTTTTCAATGGCTTGAATTTTAATAGCCTAATTTAAATAATCAGATATAAATCTTTATCGATTAGACACAATTGTAAATTTAACAACCATAAAACCTAATTCTAGAATAAATAAATTATTTGTCAAATAGCATAATTAGATATGAATCCAGTAACGTGAGCAACAAACATTGTGGGGATCAAACATTGACATTACCAGTATGAATTTAATTTTAACAGTGATTAAAATCACTATCATTAATAAAAAAAAATTGACTTTTCAAATAATTATTTAACAATTCATCTAAATAATGCACTTTTTTAAATTCATGGATACAAAACATTATTATAAATATGTTTGAAGTATTATACCTTAATGTAAGGATATAAACAAGCACATGTTTTAAGTAGTTTTATGATAAGAAGTTAACACCACTCCTATTACAAATTAAACTTCTATCAAGATGAAACTTTTTAACTACTTACTTGATTTTGAAATTCTTGAATTTTTCGAGTGTTTTCTAAATCTTCAGAATCATCTGAATCACTTGATGAACCCGAACTACCTTCAGAACTACTATCATCCTCATGTTCCATTTTCATTTCTATTAAAGGAGGATCTGGAGGTACTTTGGCCATTCTAACAGAAAATTCATCATACAATAAAAATAAAATATTACTTAAAAATTTTACAATTAGTTATTTCTTTAATTTTATTCCACAAATTACTATATATTGTACTTAAAAATTAAAGCTTATATATTAAATATTTTCATGTCTTTAAAATTTTCTAAAATTAGGAATAAAATAATTTATTGAACTTTAAGAATCTTAAATATTAAATATATATTTGGAAACTAAATTATTCATAGTATAAAGTCTTTTGACTTCAAGTTTCTAGTGTCTTCTTATTATTAAGTCTACCATAATTATGAAAATTATCTAAAATATTTTAAAAATAAACAAATAGGTTTATTATGATGCATTAATTTAATTTAAGTATTGATTCCCCTATCAAATTATTGTTATCCTGGATACTAAATAATATCAAAACAATATAAATGTACTTATTTTAAGTACCAACATAGATGTATATTTTAGGCATTTAAACAAGTTTCATATAAAAAAACTGAAAAGTATTTAAGGTTTCAATGTGTAGTCTACTTTTTGTATAACCTAAAAGATACAGAAAAAAACAACAATTTTAAAATATACTAAATATACACTTATTTTTTTCTCAGACACACATGCAATAACTTGAATTGAAAAATTATATTTTTTTCACAACATAGTTGTTTATTACCAAAATAAAACTGTATAAATAACTTCAATTCATGATTTAAAATCATAAAAAAAACCTAAAACCTGAAAACAGGTTTAATTTTTGTCAAAAAAAAAAAATTATAATTAAATTATTTAAACTTCATAGATATTAAGTATGCATAACAGTAATATATATATATTGAAAATATTAGAATAATATCTTATTAAATATGATAGAAAAAATCATAACAACTCAGTAGTGAATCAGATTTTAACACTTACTTAGATTCAAAAACTGCTTGAAGTTTTTTTGCCATAGCCACCACATCATGATCTTTTGGGTTATACTTATAGCAGTTAGCAAAAATTAAATTAACATCGGCTGCAAATTCTTTTGAATTTTTGTACTCTCTGTTGTCTAATTTTGTCTAAAAAAATAAAATGAGATGTAAAATATTAAAATTATTATAAGGAAATGCTTCCTATAATAATAAAAACATATATCATTAAATGTATTCCTGAGAAAACATTTAATTTTAAACATTATTCATGCATTAAAAAGGAAATCACACATGAGTATTATTACAAACAAAACTTAAATATTTTAAGTTAACTGATAGCATACCACCAGAAGTAAAGGCCTAATGGCAGTTCCATGGTGTTATGTTGTATTATGTATCAACACAGTATTTGTTTTTGTAGCATAACCTAACCATTTTTGAATACACATTATGTTTGTAATTATTAATCATGTTAAGTTTATTGTAAATTAAAGTTCTTCATACTAATTAAGAGATATATAACACATGATAATTTACAAATATATTAATTAAAAAAACTGATAACATAAATATAATATAAATTAAAGAATTATAGCATAATAAAAAAAAACCATAGATTGGTAAAAATAACACTTCTTGTCTCAAGCATAGCTATTGAAATTTGATTATATTCTATCTAGTTATAAAATGTTCTACCTTTTCTATCAGAAGTATTAAATAACTAAGAACACACAAAATTGTGTGGTTCTAATACAAAATAAAATGGATTTTTACAATTCTTTTAAATTTGTACAAAAATTTAAATTTAAATATACAGAAAAATGTTTTCTATAAACATGTACCAAAAAAAAATTCTACTTTTTAAAGTTTTTTTATTTGCAAAAAAAAATTTAATTTGTCTAAGAGACCATTAATTTTAAATTTAAAAACCATTTTTTTTTCTCTAAAAAATTGATAAATTATTTAAAACTATTTATACAAAATTTATTTAATTTTCAATTATAATACTACACTATTAAATTACTTACTGCAAATTAAAAAAAAAATGGTAGCTCATTTCAATGCAAATCTGTAGTTTTAATTTTAATTTCTGATCACATATCAATTTAAAATATTTAAGGATTTTTTTCCAATGTTTGGGGATTATAAATTCAACAAGATTAAAATTGTGTTCTTTTAAATATTGGTCATTAAAATTGGTCAAGTGAGAGCTGAGAAATATTAATAATAGACACAAAAATAAACCATATAGTAATATATTTTAATAGGAAGCCCTTCTCACATGGGGAGACACTAAAGTGATAAGATCCTCGATATTAATTGAATATTTTGACTAAATGTTATTTATTTTTCATTTTGAATTTTTTTCTCCTCTTAAAAAAATAAAAAAAAAAATTCAGAAAAAATTCAGAAAAAATTATTTTGACTGGTGGGATTCAAACTTCGTACCCCGAGCTTGTAACACATTAAAATTTACAACGCAGTCATAGTACCGTTTACATTAATAAATGAAATTATTTAAACTATAGCACTAAGACTCCACCACTTGGGTACGTGCATTATGGATAGCGACACTGTAGAATATGATAAAAACTAAAAGAGATAGACTAGAGTATACTGGGATGTCTCTCAGACAGTATCAAACCTTTTCTTCAAAATAACATTCCCTACAAAGTTGAGATCTTAACACATAAAAAATGGAATATAAACCACCTGGATAGGAAAGGAGAGTTTGTAATTTATACAAAGGCTCCAATAAATCAGGAAAAGTAGGTGCTGGCTTTTGGGGATTAAAACCCTGCATAAACACAGCATGGCAATGGGGACAATACCCTATGTGTTCTATACATAACATTCTTATATAACAGCTTTCTTATATTGAACCTTAATAATTTTAATATTCATCATATAAAAAAAAACTAATATTTCCTAATTTAAAAAACTATTTCAAAACAATACTGATATATTTTATATAAAACCCATTAAGATGGAAATAAAAAAGAAAATCTTGGTAAGTTTATAACCAATATATTAGAATTATTGTTCAACTAAGATCAATATTTAATTAAAACTTCATATTAATTATAAATTGAATACTTTTAAAGAATTTATAAAAGCATAATTTCATTAATAAAGTGTTTACAAAATTAATATATTTTTTTTGATCATATAATAATGAAATGTATTTTTTAAACATTAAATTAATATTAAAAATAAATATTCTCTGTAAAACTCTGTATTCTCTGTTTTTTTTTCAGTCATCTATAACTACTTCAACATTTTCAACAAAATATTAATGTGTTTAAAAAATGTCATTAACTGCAATTAATTTTTTTCACTATTGAGATTGGTTTGCAAAAATTTCTCAATAATTTTTTTAGTGTGTTATTTAAATGTGGTATTCTCTTTAAAGATTTACTTTAGAAAAAGTTATTATAAAATCATTTATAAGTAATTACCTTCACTGTTCCCAAGTCCATGGGTTTCTTAATGATATCATGATAGTCATGTAGACCCAACCAAGCTGCATCAACTGGCTTGTAGAACGGCCATGCGTAAGCCTAAAACCACATTATCATCAAACAGGTATTTTTTTTAACAATCAATAACTATGAATTACAAGCGGGTCATTACCGCATGTTTTTTGGTAAAGAGTTCTTTAAGCACTTCTGTACATGCTTTTAAAGCTTCAGTTGGCTTCTCTTTGGTTTTTCCTTCCTAAAATAACATTGATGATGTTTATTTCAGCTACAATATAAATGTATATATTTATATTTAATTAGTTTTAAAATTTACTAATATAGATCCTGATCCAGATGGTAAAGTAGTGTTTTGAGAATACAAAATACCATCATCGGGTACTCGAGGTTTTTTAATTTGCCTTCCAGATTCTCTTCGAATGGTAGGTTGTAAAGGTTGTACAGGTGTTGATGACGCCATTGGAACATTATAAATAGAATCTATAGAATTAATAGGACTAGGATCTGCTTTTCTCTTAACACCTTTTTTTAATTTTCCACCTGATATTAAATGAGCTCCTAGAGGTGTACCCACAGGTTGTGCAACATAATCACCAGTTGTTGGTGCTAATATCTGAAAAATTATAACAAATTTATCATTATTAACCTATTTCAAAATTTTGAATGTTAAAACAAATTATCAATGAATATTGATAATTCATTAATAAAAAGCAAATAAATAATTGAATTGCTTATTAGAATATAGACTCTATAGCAAAATTTCGTTTTTTTTTTTTAAATTCAAAACATTTTTTATTAAACATTTATTTTGATTATTAAATCAAATAGTTTTTATTTTAAAATTACTACATTATTTTAAGTGGCAACTACTTAAATCAAAGCCTTTGAATCTTTTAATACAATATCAAAAATATAAATTCGAATGAACCTTTAGTTAAAATGATTATAATAATTTACACAGTGCCAGCATTACACATCATTGTAAAAAGAAATGTGAATTATTAAAAAAAAATGGCATATCAAAACTTTCATTTTAACTTCATCTTTTTCTATTGTTTTAAATTAAAATATAAAAATATTTTTATTGAATAAAAAAAATTATTATATATTATTATTTATGATAATTCAGAATAATAATTCAATAGTAATTTCCAAAAAAACTTCTGGTATATTATAGTTAAAAAATATGAACAAGCTGTTCTAGAGTTTTATAAATTCTAGAATAAGACATCAATCATTAAATAATAAATATTAAATCTAAGAAATTAAAACAAAACAAGAAACACACAATAATTTACACAAATACAAATGCAATTTTTCAAATATTGATAACAGAATATTTTTTTTTTTTTTACATAAGAGTTTCTTTTTCAATGTATAATAATCAGTTTTACATGTCTAAAAACATCTATCATATTTTAACTGAACATATATACAGTCTATTTTAGTGGAGTAGACATAAATATATAAAATGTAGTAATAAGTTATCTTTTTTTGAAATTTCAAAGTAAATATCTTTGATTACATACAAATAATTAATTTAGTTGAAACTAAAAACAGTTATGTTTCAACATATAGACAATACATTAAATTCATTTAATGCATTTTACTTTAAAAATATTGAAATTAAATACTTACTTGTTGTGGTAATGAATTGTGTTGAGAATGTGGTGTTGTTCCTAAAGCTGTTGAACCTGGGGTCACAGCTAATGGTGATATTTGACTATGAGGTTTTGGTGTAATAGAATGATTTTTAGTAGCTGGTTTTTGTACTGTAACAACTGTTTCTTCTAGTACAAATTGTCCCATCTAAACAGACAATAATATTATATCATGTTACAAAATAAACCAAAAATATATATAATTGTATGAAAACTACAAGACTTTCTTAATAAAAATGTACATTATTTACTTAGTTTAAGAATGACTGACTATAAATTTAAAGTTAACCAATAAATTTAAGATTAAATAATTTAAAAAAAAAAAAACGATAACACAGTGCTATTGTGGCACAGTGTGGACGTGGCATAGTTGAAACAAGTATAAATGATATCTTTTTTTTTATTCACGGTTGGCATTATTGTGGGCCGAACTGGAACTATCGTTAAGCATTACTTCAGGGTGGCCCACACAGTCTATATAATTCACACCACCATGTTGTGAATTAGGCCGTAATTAATCAAGAGATGATTCGCAACATGGTGTATAGATGATATCTGACAGTGATTAAAATCACTATAATAAGAAATACTATGATAAAAATCTGTAGATAGTGTTTAATTTAAAGAAATTGGTAGATTATTCCAAAAGCAAAATTAAATCCTATTTCTTTCATTATTCCTAATTAGCAGTTCTATGATTCTTAGACATAATATATATATAAATATCTATTATAGCAGTTCAACGGAGTATGAAATTTATATTTAATAATTTAATATTTTAATTTATATGGAGGAATTTTAAAAATAATAGTATAGTTGTATATTTTTTACTTTTAACGTGTATAAAAATTTTAAGAGTTTGATGCAATACATTTCAAAAAAAAATTTTGTTACTTATGAATAAATACTTTGGACTACAAGGAACTTTCATGAAAATCAAAAATATACTTTTATTAATCAACATTTCGCACAGTTTTCAAATCTGCAATCAGACTTTTTCTATCACTTCTTATTTTTGATATTATTACTAATTAGTAAAAAATAAGTATTAAAATCTAATAAGAGCTAAAAGTTATTACCACCATGAATTTTAGCTCAACTTATAATTTTGAAATTGACATTATTAAATAAAAAATTTTAGGAGAAAAAAAGAAGGTAAATTCATTCATGATTAATATGCAGTCAGGAAATTTTATAATTATTATTCATAGCAAATTTATCAGAAAAGCTCAATATTTTTTTGCAAATTTATCATTTTAAATCACTTAAATAGTAAAATGAGATTTGAGAATATTTGATAACAAACACAAAAAAACGTATGATAGTAAAATTAATACCTTCTTAGTTTTAAATCAAAGCTAAAATATATTTTAAATATTATTTTAAAACTAAAAAATATAAAAAAAATGTAGCACAAAAATTACAAAAACATTGATAAAAAATAATAAAACACATACTCTATAAAGCTTTGATAATAATAACTTTGTTCCCAATGTTACTAGTATTTTCAATTTTTTGGTAATTTTTGTGGATTTTGGAATTAAATATTTTTTAGTTTTTTTATTATTTAAAATTTCATATAATATTCGCCGTAAGTGATCAATTATTATTACAATAACTAATTAAACTAAACAAAATTATTTATAAAATTTAATAGTTTTAGTTTACTTCTTCTTGTTTTCTACCAGAAGATTCAGTTAAATCTAACCCAACGATGTTTGTTCAACTATGACTCACTTATAACTTCAAAAATATAAATTTTAATTATTAATTTTCAAATATTAATAGTATCTTACTGTAGTCTAAGATTATCAAACAAAAATTTTCTTTTTCCTTTCCCCTTGAAAAACCTTTTGTTTTTTAAGTGGAAACATATATGTTTAATCAGCTTACAAATAGTAAATGATTGGTCATTAATAACTTTGAACCTTTATTTTGGAAATTATTTTAATACAAAGACTAGAAGTGAAGCATGGCTGTTTTTTTTCTCTAGACATTTATTATTAAATGTACTACCTTTCCAACCAATTATAAAAATTATAATATATTTTAAAATACTGGATCTAAAGTTGTTATTGACCAGTCAACTGCTTATTTAAATCATTTTTTATTTTAAACTGACCAAACATAAAAAAAACTTAAGTTAATACAATTATAAGGAGGAATAGAGGATATTACAAAATATTTTGTTCAAAAATTATAGAAAGTAGAAAAAAATTATATTTTATAATATAAGGTTAGTGCAAGAATCATAATAAAAAAAATGTCTTGTTCAAAAGCTAAATAAAAATGTTTCTCATTTCCTTCTGTACATTATTCTTATGGCTATTAGTAAATTAAATGACATAAAGTGATTATATTGTAAATATACTTTTTTACTTGGTGAACAGAGGCATAACTACATTTTTCCTAGATACTCAAAATAGCTTGCCTATTTTTAAATGAAAATTGTATTAAATCTTTGGTAATACCTTTGTAAGAAGTAGCTTTTCCAATGTTTGTGCCATGACAACAACATCTTCACCAGGTTTATTATAAGTATAGCAGTTGTTAAATAATGTATTAAAATCTTGAAGACATTCATCAGCATTCCAATAATAACAATTTTCCAAACGTTTCTTAATAGTACCCAAATCCATAGGACATTTAATTACTTTATGATAATCCTACATAGATAATAAATTTGTTATTAAAACAAAAAAATCAACAAAAACTAATTATTTACTGGTAAGTTTAATTTCATGGCATCAACTGGCTGGTGAAATGGCCAAGCATGCTGATGCTTCCAAATTGCTTTCATCACATTTTTTTGAATAAAACTTAGTTTGTTTGTAAGCCGACCTGGTCTATTAGGTGGTGGTACAATGGGTGGTTGAACAATGCCATTTACTGGTTCAATATATGATTCATTGCGTGGAGGTGGTACTTCTCCACCTTCAGGCTTAGCATTGACAGTATCCTATAGAATAAACACAAGAATTTAATTGATTAATAATTAACAACAGTAATTATACGTAAAATATATTGAAAATACTTACAGCCGGCACTCCACTGTTGTAAGTTGAAACTGGCACCTGCTGCATGTTGAACCCACTGAAATGTAAACATACAAATACATATAAAATAATAACATATCCTAAATATGATAATTAATATATATCTTCATTAAATTAAAAATACGTAAACCTTATTGATAATAACTTCATTAAATACAGAAAAAATATATAAAATAAAAAAATAATAAAATTAAAATATTATTCAATGAGAAAATCATTAAAATATTCAAGTTTAAAAAATACACAATATTTAAATTGTGTTTTAAAAATTACATTAATAGATAAAAATCAATTTCAATTTAACAGTTTCTACTTTAGTTTACTCTTTACTTTAGTTTCATTACTTTAAAGATAATATACATAATAAACTTACTTATTAATTAGATAATTATCTATTTAAGAAAGTGACTGGTTGGTCACAATTTATAAATCACAATTTCAAAATTTATTAATAATTTAAAGTAATGACAAGATGAGGCACAGGTACTATTTTTATTACTAGATATGTATAATAGATTAACTACTTTTACTGCCTAGGTATATTCTTCTTCCTCGCCTTAATCCCAACTACTTGGGATTGGCCAAGTTTTACCGCCTAGGTATAAAAATGTTAATAACTTTGAAATATCGTTCTAAAGTTATAGTGACTAGTCATTTTCTTAATTAGATTATTAAATAATAAATAAGCAAGTTAATTATGTATGTTGCTATTTCAAATAATAAAGTTTATATAATTTTAAGATATAAGGGATTATAATATAAAATACTTAATGATTGACAAATTGAGAAAAAAATGACTAAATATATATATATATATGAATATTTAAGAACAAAAAACTAATCTTAAGATGTAAAAAATTTCATAGGCCAAAATAGTTTTTAATAATTTTAAAAATAAGTCATTTAATTAATAAAAATATTAATTCTTAAAGAAAATCATAATGTAAATTTCACAAACCTACTAGTATTATATCGAAATTCGTCATAAGCTATATATAAATAAGTAGAAGGCATCTAAAATGAATTAGATATAATTTGACACGAAATATCATATTAGTACCTAACACTATAAAATATTACATATAAATTAGCAGCTAAAAAAGCATAATAACTTATAACGCATGTGATTTTAAGTACTACCAATTTAATTATAAATTTTAATGGAAAGCAATAATTTAACAATATGAATATTAATTAATGAACAATCTTAAGGGAAACAATCGGCAATATTTTTACAAATTCACAACAAAAAAAAGTTATATTACAAAAATACACATCACATGAAACTGAAAATATATATTGAAAGCTAAAATTTCATCATAGCAGTCAAATAATTGGTATCTGCTCAGCGTTGACTAAACGGAAATTGAGCGCGAACAAGAAAGGCGCCAAAGCGAATTCTTCCGTTGTAGTACATAGGTTATACAACGCGTTAGCGGTACCTCCTAGATTAGGCTACCTGTTTGATGGGACGTCGCACAATTACGATTTGGAAATTAGATAATGCAAATTTTCTTCAGCAAATTTCACATAACTTATTGAACTTCAGAAATCAGAAATGTACGTGTACTTTAATACAGTTAGCGTTTTGGCGCTTAGTGATCAACATGGCGGGTAACCCCCGCTCGGGGGACGACGTTTGTAAATAAAAACAGACTAACACGCATATATACATATGCACAAGGCTTATGACCATTATAATTTGCCGGCAATTATCGACTAAATTTTTCACATACCTTTGATCTGTGGCTGAAACATACATAAACGGTACGTTGGACTAACAACGACAGTAATTGTATAGCACAAACGTTTTTCCAACGCTAACGACAAGGGGACCCGACACATCCATCCTGAGCAAACGCGTACTTTGATCACACGCACACACTTACGGGCGCGCACGGGGATTTATTTGCACCACTAATCACGCACCTAATCCAACAATAAATATATTGTTACGCGGTCATTTTTTACATGCCTATTGCACACCGATACATTAATAGTAAATTAATTTTCGTACCAAAAACAGAGAAACTCGCATATACATGAATGCCCGAAAAACTACTGACTGACAGGAGGGACGGGGCGGTGTACTAAGATGCAACGTCCTCATTGGCCGGTATTAGTCACGTGACGCGCATCATTTCTATCCCGATCGATTTTTCAAGCTAAATCTTTTCGATTCATGGATCTAGTTTTGAATATAAGAATATTTTTTTTATTTGGTTACATAATTACTAAATAAAATTATTTTATTTTAGAATAATTGATATTTTATAAATGTAAAATGGGAATGGTTCAATACTAACAACAGAAAATAAAATAAGGAGATTTCAGACAATAAACAGCGCTGTAATAACCCCGCTGCCCACACTTCATCATTATGTGTCCGTGATCTGTTCATGGAATAAACACTAACGTAAACAGTGGCCTCTTGTTTTTATTTCATCAGTGCAGCCAACATAAATAAGTTTAATTTTTAACGAATTTTTGTTGCATCTATCAACAAAGAAAAAATCTTATCATGAATGAATTAACTTTACTAATAAAACCTTGTTTAAATCAGCCCTCTCAAATAGTCTCTAACAAAATTTACTTAAATATTTTATAAGTAAAAATGAGTATATTGCGTTTAATAATTTATTCTCTCTTTAGATACATGGACTATTTTTCTTTAAATTTGTCAAAAATCTTTTTGTTATATTTTACTAATTATCTTGATTTGTCGACATATGTTAGATTTAAGATTATTTTCGACTATATTATTTTCAAAATAAATTACATGGATTATAATTCTTTAGAAAATTTTCATAGTTCAACATATACACACTTACTCGATTATCGATTGTATTGAGAATTATTTTTTTGATTCTTTTAATTATAATTTAAATAATGATTATTATTATTAATTAATAATAGTAATATTTATTAAAATAAAACAAAAATTAGAAAATAAGGTGATTGGTTAATAAAAAATTCATTTTTTTTGCTTTTCAAAAAATTAATAAGATTCTCCCTATAAATTTCAATAACAAATTTATTTATTTATTCTTAAATCATACGGACAATTTGCAATTCACAATATATATTAATATAAATTACCATACTTTATAATATAAGACTAATAGAAGTAATATATGTTTTACATAGTATTTATTAAATTAAATGATTATTGCGTGTGTTCTTGTTATTTACTCCCATCCGACGAACTTAATAAAAATGATTCAACAATCTTATTATTTAGCAATTTAGAGAGATAGGTGTTGTGATCTATATTTCTAGGTATTTTAAATTTCCTAAATTTAACATTTTTTTAAGTATTTGTGAATATGAGAAATTATTATAATAATATGACTTATTAATCTGAACAGTTGTGTAACTAGAGTGAAATTCCAGGGAGAGCTAATATATTTTGTAAGGCTCACAAAGCTCATAATCCCAATTAACCACATTAGTATAGATAGGTTTATAACAGAACAAACACTTATGACTGATCGGTGGCATAATATTGAAATGTCCAAATATGCGCAAAATAATCATCTGAACGCATGACAGTACATTAAACCAATTTCTAGCAATACAAGTGTATGTTTATACGAAACAATTCATACCGAACCGGATATATCTCGGTTTCTACTTAAAATAGAAACATGAAATATGACATAAGGGTAAGTCTTATAATATAAGTAAAGGGAAAAATCTAAAAATGTTTATTTTCTTAAATTTAAAGCCGCTTTAGGCAGTTTCTAAATTCAATATTCAATGAATTTAAAGTTTTATTTGTAACGTATAAATATATATAATTATAATATATTTGTAAATATTATAACGTCCCTATAGACGCTAAAACAAAAAAAAAAAAAATGATACCCCTTAAATACATAACTGTAAAAAAAGGTCAAGTTCTAGAAAACCACTCTCTTATGAAATAACTATAATATTTCTACTGGTGTTGACATTGCACATTGCACGACTTATATTTGTATACAAATTGTAGTCAGTCGTATTGTGACTCTAAAAAAATCAAGTAGCTAAATTATTAATTCTATACTATTAACTAAATTATAATTTTCATTATAATACTAACTCTTAAAGTGACTATGTAACAAAAAAAACCAATTATACAAAAGTGTTGAATTATACTTGTTAAAGTAAACCACCTACTATCATTTTATTTTTATTTTCAACTTCCATAACTAACCTAATCACAGGCAACTACCGAAGAATTCATATCCCTACGGAATGAGCCGAGGGATATAACACCTCTTTTACAAAAAAGTTAGACTATCATAGTAGTGATATTATATCCAAGTCTGTTTTTTCTTTTATTTATAAATTCACTTCAGACGTACTTCCATTATTGTTCGTAAACAAATACTGGCTTAATAATCACTAAAGTATTACGTAGGTATTAGAAAGGAGAAGAAATTAAGAAGTAAAAAGGTTTTCCCCTAAGTTTCATTGAGCATGACGGCTAAGTCTATTTTAGCCCTTAACTAGCAAACACTGGCAGTGTTAAGCAATACAAATAAAGAAACAGTGTTGGCTCATAGAAGTACGTATGAAGTGAGTTTATAAATTTAAGAAAAAACAGACTTCGACAAAATATTTTTAGAAATACTTTTTTTAGAAAGGGGTATTTTAGAATTTAGCACTTTTTTATTACAATTGTTTTTGTAGGGATTATATTGCGTGTAATTTTTGGGGGCACATTTTTCAAATGTGGATTTAAACCCCATAATTACGTCAGTGAGCACTAAGTTTACCACAGTAAACTTTTTATCTCATCTAAATGATCAATTTTTTACATGCTTCTAGGCAAAATATGAAAATAGAGACGAACTTGACTCACCTCCTTCTTTAAATTAATTTCCTTCATTATTATTTTACTAAATATTATTATAAATATTTAATAATTTCTGTATAAGAAATTAAATGATAAAAATAAAACAATCAACACTACTATAGCGCCCTTAAAGTGGTGTTACCATATGTTAAAACCTAAAGTCTTATTTAACCTGCATGAGAAGTAGCTAGGGCACAAAATACATAATATATATATTTTGTGGCTAGATTATGAAGCAACATTTTGGGCTAGATACATTAATGTGCATCAATTCAACAAATTGGTAGAGTTAATCCATAGAATAATATTACTCTATGAGTTGGTGACTATATTTTCAGGAAAAAAGAATAAAATTTGATTACATTACATACCAATTAAAAAATATTCATTTATAATAATTATCAAAGGAATTTCTATAAATATATCAAATTCAAATTAAATTTATTGTGCCTAAGTTCAAGATTGTTTAAAGTTTTTTGTTTTTTTTTTCTATATTCTCATAATTTATAATACTACTTGTATTTATTTATTTTTTACTCATCAAAATATGTAATCAATACTAGCACATTATTATAAATTAATTAACATTTAAAAATTTTTCTTAATATAATTTAATGAATCATATTTAAACTCATTAAAAATATAAAATCTGTCTATTAATTTATAGTAATAATTATTGTTTTTAATTTACCTACACTGGTTATACAATGTTTTTTGCGGTTTTTCTTCGCTTTTTGGATCACTAAGATAGTATACGAAAAGTTCATACAATTTGACTTGTTCTGTTACGAGTGTGATAAGTTAAAGTTTTAAAATATTGTTTTATATCGGATTCCTAAAATAATTTATAATAATTTTTAATAACATGTACATTACTATTGTAAAAATTAAAACATGAAGACTGTATAATTTTTTTGAAACATCGTTTATTTAATGTCATCGATTACAGATACTTCATAGTTAATTTGTTAATTTTTTCTTCACCGTATATCATTATGTACGTTATATTTATAGATTTTTATTTTGTTAAACTTAAATAATCAAAAGTGTTTTTATGATTTTTAAGTAATGATATTAACATTATTTTAGAAACTCATTACATTATATTACTAATTAACATTTATTCAAATAATTATAAAAAAAATCTCTTCAAAATTTTATGTTGCGTTTTATCTTTATGTCTAAAGGATAAAGCTCCGCGTTTTAATTTAGAAATCCTTACTTTTTTTTCTGGAGTTTTAATGCTTTCAGTTTGAATTTCAAACTATGATGTGTTTATTTAAAAATCAATGATCAAAATAACAAATAATATAAATGTTTTAGGTCACCTAATAACTTGTCTCAGGATTCCAAAGATTACCTTTCCCATGAATTACATAAATTTATGTTGTCTGATATCCTAGGTAAATATTATTAATATTGGTTAAATTTTAATTTTCAATATATTTTTGTGTAATTATTATATTATTTTTTTTTTATCGTACTATTGAAATTACAAGTTAATACCTTATTGTACTGAATCATATCAATGGAGATACACTTTTCGTTGGCATTAGAAATTTTAGGATTCTATTTATTATTATTTTTAATTAGTATATATGAAAGATTTAAATTTTTTATAAAGAATAACATTTTACAATTTACAAGCATCTGGTTGATTGAAATTATGAACCAGTAAATTTTCTCTATAACATTGATAATCATTATTCTTTTTTACTTAAAATTCCTCTGAATAATTTTATATTTTATGAGTTCACTAAAATTTTTAAATATAAATATCAATAGAGTTCAATATCTGACATCATACCTAAATGAGTAACTTTTTTTAAGATGTTAAATAGTTTATTTATTTTTAATAAGAAGTTTCATTAGCCTTTTCTATTAATATGAATAGTTTTTCTAATTAAAAATTAATTCTTTAATTTAGTCTAATTTGTAAATAATACTTTAATTAAAATTTATTCTATAATATATTTATGCACCGGATTTGTCTCATATTATTGTCTTTTTCAGGGAGATGTTATAGTTTGGAACTTTAGTGAGAGCTAATCAAAAAATGTTTGATAAATAATAAATAATATTTTTGGTGATAATGGGAAATGGAGAGGAAATCAAATATTTTTTTTTAAACCTATTAAATTTTAAAATATTGCCATTGGGAAAATTTTATTCAAAATTTTTTTTACTCTTACTAAATATAATTATAATTTTTTCAGCATATTATTTTATAATCGATAGTGTTTAAAAAGAAAAAATGCATTTCTTAGGAGAGTTTATTCTTAAATATTACTTTTAAAGAATATTGAATCTAATTTGATTCAATTATCTTTTCTCTTAAAAAGGTCACTAACCAAAATAAAAATAAAAATTGTTAGTGTTTAAAAAGAAATGTTTTAGCTATATATATAATAGTAATTGTTTTATTTGATACGCAATTTTTTTTGGTAAAATATCTAAACTTAAAAAATGATTATAATCTTCAACAAGTAGTCTTAGTTTATTGATCCTATAATTTTATTCGAATAATGTATTTCCTCTAATTAAATTATTCAGACCAGCTATGATGTATGGATCAGTGTTGGGGGTTTGACAAGAAAGTATAGGAGAGATAAGGATGCTTAGATGGGTGGGCAAAGTGACTAGAGAAGATAGGGTAAGGAACAAACATATAAGAGCAGGTATATGTGTAGCGATAATTGTGGATAAGATGAGAGATAATAGATTTAGATGGTTTGACTACGTTATTAGGCGAGAGGAATTGGAAGCTGTAAGAACAGTTATAGAAATAATGTTGAAGAAAGAAGAGGAAGATCATAAAAGAGATAAAAGTATGTTATTGAATGTGATATGAGAACGTTGATGTAAGCATAGATGATGTGGAAGATTGTGTCTAGTGGAAGTTTAGGATAAGGGAGGCCGAACTCAAGTAGTTAGGATTAAGGCGAGAATAAAGAATAAGAAAAATAATATAATTACTTTAATTATGTATAAAATTTTTAAATTATCAAATTTAAATTAATTTATGTTTATTTTATATTATATTATTTTAGAGTACACATTTTCAACTTCATTATCATCAGAAGAGCGCAAATATTTACATATGAAGTGTGCTGATTTTGGATTAAAATCTAAAAGTCATGGGTTAGTTTAGTACATTTGCAGCTTATTTTAAATTTTAGTTTGACATTCAAGAAATATATAAATTAAAATTAAAATCATTATTATAAATTAAAAAACGATTAAATTTAATCTCTAACTATTTTTACCTATAACTCCTATTATTTATGACAATACACACACACACAAATATATATATATATATAGAGAGAGAGTGTGTCATCATATCCTGACACATGAATTAACTTTGATCCACTAAATTTGATTCATTTGTTGAGCTTTAAATCAAGTTTTTCAATTAATATTATTTTTATTATTAATATTATAATTTTTATTAAGAGACAATAAAAAAATAAAACAAAATACACAAATAAATATTTGTTTTGAATAACTTAATATTAAGTAATTACTATGGTTAGGCATACTGTCTATGTTACAATTTAATTTTTAAAAATGAAATTAAAAGATAAGTTCATGTAATTTATAAAATATATGTCTGAAACTAATTATTAAACTTAACTAGTTAAACATTTTGAAAAAGAAATTTTAATATTGAAATGTGAAGTATAAATTTTGAGGTTAACTTGTTTGTTTTATTTATAAAAAATAGAGTACTTATAACTGTAGTTAGTAAGTTAAGCTATAATTTGATAACCATTATTTTATTAATTTAGTTTACCAATTTACGTTTTTAACTAAATAATTTTGAATTAAAAAAAATTAATATTTTAAAGGAATAGAAGAAGATTTATTATACATAATGTGCGTTTTTTATTATTGCATTAATGCAAAAAGATCATTTACATTTATCATATTACATTGAAGTTCTAGCTATTTAAGGCGTTATTTTTCATATGTATATAAATATTTAAAATTGTAATTAATTTTCTAATCAATTAATTAAATTTGTCCTAATTATCTGAGTAATATGAAAGGTAAGAGTAAATTATTATAACATTTATTACAATTAAGGATAAATTAACTTAAACTAACTGAACAATTTCACCCATACTACAGGGAGATTGATTTATCATAAACCACTATATTATTCATAAAATAAATACAATATTGGAAAAAAATGTTTTGCTCTATTTTAGATATGTATATTTTTTGGTAAGGGAGAGGAGGAATGAGTAAATACTTGGACCTTACCCTTATGTACAAAACAACCAAACAATGTTTATATATATATATATACAATATTAAAATACAAACTTTAATTTATTAGATTATAAGTTAGAATATTATTACACTTTTATTTGTAAATCCTACTTTAAATTTATTTACAATTTAATTTATTTGAATTATGTGTAGGAAAGGTAATAATCGTTCCATAACTGTTTACATGAATAAAACAAATATTGATAATAAAGCTGGAAATATCGCAATTTCACCAATATCTAAAGAAATAGTAACCAAAATTTGTCACAGTGTTCCTCTTACAAAAGAAATGTATATTGAATTATTACCAAATCCTATAAAACCATTTCAAAGGATGGCTGGTAAGAATTGTTTTTAGAATATTACATTAAGCTTAATAAATACTGTCACTAGAATATTGATAAGTTAGGGAATATGTTGAAACCCTTGAAAAAAATGTAGTGTGGGTAGGATTTATACCCACAAGCTAAGATACATTATAGTGCTTAAATTCTGTAAAATTGCCAAATAGTTGTTTTTAAAAACCCATTTTATTATATTTATACTGCAATGATATATTGCAGATACTTCAAATTTGTTTTATACATGTACAGGATAAAGAATATCAAGGGTATTATTTTAGTTACTATTGATGCTTTCTTTTTCAAGTAACCACGATATCACAGGCCATTAGTTTACAGTTTATTTATTAGTTTATACATTTATTTATTTACAAGAGTTTTAAAATAGTATGTTTGGTTACATTAAATAAGGTCAGCTATCTGTATTGTCTTTAGGAAGTTCAATAGGTTGCTTGTTATTTTATTTTATGTAAAAAAAAACAAGGTGTTAAGTGACAAGTAGTCATTATTATTGTTAATCTTTTGTGGTAGTCTCATTTATGTTGTCACTCTTAAGCTACAATTATTTCTCTAATGTACCGTGGAAAAGCTAGGGTACAGTAACTTAACTGAAAAATAATATAAATAACTAACATATATACAAAGTATTATTTTTCTCTTATGATTTAACTTAATAAAACTAAACTTAACTAAAGTATTTTAATTTTAATTTGTTATCATTCAAAATTTTTTAACTCGTTACTTGTTATGATATATTTTTCAACAGTTCTTGGCTATCAATATAGCTATTTAATATTTTATACACAAAGAATACATCAATATATTTACGTCTAGATATTAAAGATACCACATTATAACTACACTCTACATCCCCGATACTTTCACCAGTCATGCCAACTTTATGAGCTATAATATGTAAGAAATGACTAACATTTTTAATTTTATTAACTTGACCAACTTGTGTAGGGTTCCAATTAATAGATCCAAATTCAAGATTAGAATTTACTAATGTATAATAAAGTGTCTTTAAACAATGTATCTAATTAAATTCTTTACAATTACATTGAATAAATTCTAATTTCGAAAAGCTTTAGCTTTTAACTGATAAGAAATCATTAGTTTTGAGGTGGGAAGTTCATTGTTTTTTTTTCGATTATTAATAAATTTCTAAAAATAATAAGGATTAACTTTTGAATAATTTTGGGTTTGTCCTAAGTATTTTTTATAGCAAATTTTAGTTTTTCTTTTACATTGAACCTTTAAATAAGAAAATATAGTGTAATAATTAATATTATTTGATTCCTTATACTTTTTGTGGTAATTTTTTTCTCTAATAAGTTTACATGATTCTGAATTAAACTATGCAAAATAACAAATATTTTTTTATAATAATTTCCTAATCATTTTATAACTGTAGCAATTCCAGTAACATCCAATGAGTTAAGAATATAATTTCCAATTGAGGTAGTTTCCAGATAATTTTTGTCACTTTTATCTGGTACATTATAAATAATTATGCGTTTTATCTTAGCGATTGTTTCTCTAACCTCTTTAGCAGTATTAAAAATTAAATTGTGAGATATTGTTTGGTTATTTTCTAATAATATTAATTTTTCATTTAAAACTTTGATATCTGCTTCTAAATTTTTTTTTTTATTTTTTAAAATCAGTTAATTCAGATAACAAAATATCTAAAGTATCATTAAAACAATTTAAATGACTTATGATTACCATATTGTTTTTAAATATATCTGTTTTGAGAGTCTCTTGTTAGATTTCCTTAAGTTATAAACATTATTTAAAGTAACATCAGTTTTAGAGTTTTGCCTTTTAACTGGGGTATCTTAATTCAATTTTTGTGAACTCATTGTAGTAGTGAACCAGGATTAATAAAATAACTCAACAAAATTTAATATCTATGCAAACTTAAAAATAATAAATTTTAATAACAAATTATATGAATTTTTATTAAAAACTAGATGGTAGATATGTTCTATGTAGACAGTTAGTACTAGTACTGACTAATTATTTTGTCACACTAAAGCAATAATTATAACTAGAATTATATAAATTTTCTTGTGATATTATTTAATAAAATGTTACTTTTCGCTTCAATGCAAAGCCGAGAAGATGTTAATTTAACTATGTTGTGTATTTTTTAATCTGACCTTTGACCTGCCCACAAGAATTCAAAATGATAATTTTTCAACTTAACTTTTAAAAATGCTCCATAAATACTGACACTTTTATATATATCTTAAATAAAATTTTATGTAATGTACTTTCATATAGAAAAAAGAAATTTCGAAATTTATTTTGTTTTTATGGCGAAAATAGCTACCATATTCAAAAATATATTATTTTTGTGTTATAATTCTCGATTTTGTATTTTATTTTATTTTTAAATACCTTACAATAGTTTTTGAGTTAAAATAAAAAGTTTAACTCATTTAGATTCAATAACTTCAATGAATATCATGAACCCCTCTATCACTACTGTAGTCTCACCTCGTTTAAAAACTTTTCATATCCATATTAAAATTATTTTACTATGTGATATTTGTTTGAGGCTCTCATTTATTTTCTCAGCTCTCACTTGATCAACTTCTTTTAATGATGCATCAAATAATCACAACTATTATCTAGTTAAAGATATTACCCTCAAAAATTGAAAAAATGTCCACTTTATCAAATAAAAAGTTGCTTAACCAGCTTTCTTCAAACATACAATTAAAATTAGTAAATTCTAATATTTTTAAAGTATTATCAAATTATGCTTGATATGATGAAAAAAACACATAGTAAAATTAATACCTTCTCAGCTTTGCATCGAAGCTAAAAATGAAAATAAATAATAAGTTAAATATATTCATTTATATTTATACTTATTATGTATTATCATCTTTTTTTTTGTATCATGCTATAATTTTTTTAGTGGCCAACTGTAAAAGAAATCTACCTTTAATGTGTAATAAGCCAATGACTATCCCTCACTTGTCAGCTAATGAAGAATTGTTAGCTTTAAGAAAATCTTTACCTATATGGGAAAAACGAGGACAAATAATTCAAGAAATTGAAAACAATCCAGTTGTGATAATAACAGCAGAAACTGGATCTGGGAAAACAACTCAGGTAAATTAGAAGTATGGTTATTTTAAAATAACTAGTTGTTTCAAAATTAAATTATTTGAATTATTATTTTCATATGTGAGGAACAGTGTAGCCGAGTTGGTAACTCAACCGCACTGTCTAGGGTTTGAAACTCAGTCACAGGTGGCTTCATTTGCCGAGTGAGAGATCAATTCGGTAATTTAATCTCCTTCCAGGGTTTAACTAACCACCCGCCCCAAAGTATCAATGATTAAGAAACTTCCATCTTTGTAGGAAGCTGTTATAGCACTTAATGAGCTTATAAAGCATAAAAAAAAAAAATTATTTTTTATGAGATTTTTTTAAATTAACCCTATATAAATTCAAATAAAAAGAATATAAAACCTATTTATATGATTTTATATTTTATAGGTTTATATCATTTATTTTTAACTTAGGAAATTATTAATCATTTGTGACTTATATTGTGTATGTCACAAAAACTAATATATGTTAATGCTTTTCAAGTAAGCTATTTGAAAAAAAAAAAATTAAAAATTAAAATAATTTTTTTTTCCAGATACCACAATTTATTATAGATAGCAGCGCAATAAAAAATAAACCATGTCGTGTAATATGTTGTCAACCTAGGAGAATAGCAGCTATCTCAATGGCTGACAGAGTGTCCAATGAAAGAGGTGAAAATATTGGAATGAGTACTGGGTATCAAGTTCGACTGGAAAGCTGGTACAATTTGCCTTTTTATAATTCAAATTTTTTATTGATAAAATTTTCCAAACATGATTTTTTATCAACTAAAAAGTAGGCCTAATTGGTAATGTGTTGTGCCTATATTATTTGCTACCAAAGCTAAATTTGATTATTTTGAGCTGTTTTCTATAGCACAAGCAAAAGCTTTCAAGAGATACTGTAATACATAAATATTTTTATTATTTTATGAAAACAATTTTCATATTATCAAAACTTTCTAACACATGAAAGCTATATTAAGAGGATTAACTCCAATGTTGAGCTGTATTAATTTTAAAGATTTGAATTTTTCAATATTTATTGTTTTGTATTTTTGTAATATCAAATACATTTTAAGATTAATGTAAATTTTAATTTTTAATTTTTGTAATTCTCCTTTTTTATTTATTTATTTAATTTATAAGCTCTATTGAATTATTTAAATCTATGAGTTAATGGATAGATGAGTTTTGAATAACTGAAAAATATAAGAAAGGGTCTGTCCCTATGCTAACAAAAAAAATTATAAGCTTCACTCACATTTCATTTTAGTGTATAAATGTTTATTTTATTTGATTATATGTTAATAACATACTATTAAAAATTGAAACTATTATTTTTTTGTTATTTTCAGTAATTTAAATGAACACTAAAGGAAAATAAATATTATAGTTATATGAAAATCCCAGTTTCCTGATTTGTTAATCATTCATGTTTTTATCAGTTTTTTGTTTTGACTACTTGATTTTTTCTATAATAACAATATTAAGGATATTTTTTGGTACATATATTTCTCAATTTTTTATTTTTTAAGCCCATTTATTATGTCTTTCAAGGATACTGATATTAATATGTTACATACATACATATTTAACTAGTGAATGTGTTAGAAAATTATCAAATGATGATTAATATCAAATTTTGAATAAGTATTTCACAAATTATTTATAACTTAAAATATAGACTTAGGTGACACATAGATTATCGTTATTTTATTTGGTATTTGTCTCCCTTTTATACAGTTATAATAAAATTCATAAATTTCAAAATACTCATTTGAAAAATGATATTTAATAGTCATCCTCTTAAGTAGATAATTTTTTTATACAAAAGTGTATTGTATATGTTGACCAAAAAAAAAGTTAAGTTTTGAAGACTTAAAAACATTTAGTAATTATTTTAAAAATTAAGATTCATGTTAATATATAAAATTTTCCTATAGTGTAAGCCATGAAACCACTATAATATATTGTACAACTGGTGTTTTGACAAGAACACTTATGGATCGTCAACAAAAAGATAATGAACCTATCAAAGGAATGCTTATGAATGTATCTCATATAATAGTAGATGAAGTTCATGAACGTGATAAGCATGTAGATTTCTTATTGATAGCATTGCGAATGATATTACCTAAATTTCCACATCTTAAATTAGTTTTAATGTCTGCTACTGCAGATATAAAATTATTTTCGACTTATTTTAATAATTGTCCAGTGTTAAAAGGTATGTATATTAAATTTAAAAAAAAAATTTATTATAATACGTTTTTTTATTATAGTAGAAGGAAAAATTTTTCCAGTACGAGATTTTTTTTTAGAAGACATATTGGATATGTAAGTTTTATTTTATTAAAAATTATTTTAGTTTTTATCACTTAATTATTTATAGATTTAAAATTCTAAGTACAATTTCTTGCGGTGTTTTAAAAAGTATATATATATATATATGGTAGGGTTGTTTTTTTAAATACAGCGTGTTTATGACACCAAACATTTCTAAACTTACATTGTTCTTATGGGACATTTTAAACTGTTTACTTAAGATTTAAATAGGATAAAAATAAAAAAGGTTTTCTATCAACCTTGATATATGGGAACAAACAGATGATAAAAGGAATACCAGACACATTTTTTTCTTAAAATGTTTTAATAAAGAAATTATATTATTATTCTATACATACAATATTACACAAATTACATATAAGTTATATTACTTAAAAATAAAAAAATATTAAATTAAAAAGTTGCGTATACATATTTCGGGAACAATGTTACCATCATCAGTGCTAAACACATACTTTTGAATTAAATATGTTACATATTTTTTAGTTTTAAATTAATATTTTAAATATTTTTTTAATTTTAAATAATATTAGTCACAAGTGATCAATTCTTATTATATAAATTATATAACAACAAAAATATAAATAAAAGAGACGGTGTTTAATTTTATTTGAAAATTAATTTATTTATGTGTTGAGATTTATTATTTAAATATTTTCTTGTTCAACATTTTTTAGTATGAAATATGAATCACCATCTATGTTACGTGTTAAAAATAAGACAAAAATTGATTACTGGGATAATGATGTAGCTCTCAATGCAACAACTGAAGCTATTCAGAATATGCATGTTGTTGAACCGGTATGATTTTGAGTAATTACAATAATTTATAATTAAGTTTATAAAAGATTGTGGCAATGTATCATTAATTTGACACACTACTGTGACTGTGTAATAGATACTCACTTTTGTTATCAACTGACAATTGTTATTAACATGACAATTGATAGTGAATTTCCCACTAATGACACTGAGTTTACAAAGTCCACTGAGATGTGAGTTGCCGTTGACGTCGATTGTAGATATATATTCTGTTGCGTTTTCAAAGTACTAATATACACTTACACATAAGTTTATGCACCATTTTCCATTTCTTTATTTGTTAAACACTGTTAAATGGAAAATATAGTTAATATTTGTACTGTTACTACTTTTACTATATATACAAGATGAGTCTTTTAACGTTAGCCGCTCATTTTCACTTAAAATAATAAGTTTTTATAAATAATAAGGATTTTTTTTTTTTTTTTTTTTGTTTTTGTAAGTTACATATGTAACTTCACTGAATATCTCTATTAATCTGTTATAAAAATTAGAAAATAATCTAATTAAGAAAATGACTGGTTCATGACAACTTATGAACCAGTGCTTTGGTTGATAGATATTCCAATTTTTGTATCTAGGTGGGAAGAAAAGTGTGGCCAAAAAATGATAGATGAATAAAATAGTAGCATCTATGCTTTATCTTCAGTATATGTTTTAAAATAATAAATTAAAACATTAAATTAATAGTTTACTGTTTATGATAATATTTTTCTGGTAATACTCTACTTAATATAATTAAGTTTAACTTCATTAAAATAAAGTGATTAAAATATTTTTTTAAGGAGAAGAACAGGTCAGATAACTTGAACTTAACTTAATTTCTTATTATTAAATTGTTTTTAAAAAATGCTGGGGCTTAAAAAATATGTAAGTATTTTAATTTATATGACATTAATAAATTTTAGGCCAGAGAATACTATTTTCACAAACACTACTGTCTATTAATTACAGAACTTTAAATTATAAAAATATAAAATTTACTTAAATATACATATGGACTAATAATAATTTTTATTATGGGAATAAATTAAAATTTATAAAATATATATCATTTAACAGTTGCTGTTTATAAACATAAGTATTTATACAATTATAAATTAATACAATAATAATAAAAAAATTATGTATAAGTTATAATATAATATGTAAAAATTAGAAAAATATTACAATCTAACTTGTTTCAAAATGGAAAAATCTATATTATTCATGGAATGAGCAGTAAAAATTTATAAATAAGAGATAAGGCCATATAATTTTTTTAATATATTTGGTAAGTAAAATAATTTGTTATGTTTAATGTACCAACTAATTTTAAAGTTACAACACAATTAATTTAGGACAATCTATATTGTTACACAAAATTTACTTCTTCTATTAAGTAGCATAATAGTAAAAAAAACCATAAACTAGAACTGTTTTAACTAAAATGAAAAATTGTATGGCTTTACATTAAAATCACAAAAAATATAAAAAAAATTATTTTTTATTTTTGATAGGATCTGTAATTGGTTTATTGAGTTATTTAATATATCCTGTTTTAATTGAGCCTATCCTAGTTTAACGCACATTAATGCAAAATATAGTAATGATTATATATTACAAAAAATATAAATTGTATAAAATACAGGTTGTGTCAAAACCAATATTTCTTTCAGGTTTGGATGTTAAAGGTTTTTGTTGATTAAATTGTATCTTGGTTATTTTCAACAATATAAATTAATGATTATTTGGTTTTAAGGCCTCAATTAAAATTATTTAACATGGTTTTTGATATTTTAAAATAGTATCAAAAATATTATATGGTACATCATTTTTGAAATTAGCCACAAAAATCTTCAGAATATTGATATTATTTTAAAACCCTAATATGTATGATATTTTTATTTAATTTTCCTTACTTAAACGTTTTAACAAATATTAATTACAGGTTAAAATATTGAAACCTGATCAGGAATGGTTAAAACCGGAATTAGATGATTGTATGCATCAAATATGGTTTAATGCAGAAGTTGAACAAATTGATAGAATGATTTATTATATTATGTCCGAAGGCGTGCCTGTTGATTATCAAGTAACAATATTTTTAAAGTCTTTTACTATGTTGATAGGTGGATACTAGTGATTAATGAGAGTATTGTAAATCATGTGAAAAATAGTTTAAAACTTATGGCGTCAGGATGTCTGATCAATGAATAAAATAGCTTATTACCAATAGGTCATTGTATATTTATAATTCACATGATAATACTCTTTTATTTAAGCTAGTGTGCAGCTGAAAGAAACATGTACCATATAAATATTTAGTGATTTTAAACATGAATAATAATTTTCAGCATTCTGATACTGGTGTAACATTGTTGATGTTAGTTGCAGTACATGGCCTGAATGATTATGTTCTTACATTATTAAATATGGGAGCTAATCCAGTAATCACAACTAGAGTTTTGAATAAAGATGCAGCAACTTGGGCAGCTGATTTTAAGCAATATGAAACGAGAGATCTTATTTTAAATTACAAAGGATCTACTACTACTAAAGAACAAAACGAAGAATCTAGAGAGTTTCAAGTTATGGACCGATTGGAGTTATATAAAAAAAGCTTATCCCCAAATATTATTATAGATTCATATTTAATATCTCATCTTATAAAATATATAATTTTAAACAAGAAATCAGGTGAGTATCAAAAATATTTTTAAAAAAAAGAAAAGTTAAACCTAGAAGATAATACATTTTTAAAAAATATATATATTTAGTATTAATTATATTTAACATGTATTATGATTTTCAAACTATGAATGAATTTTATAATTATAACTTATAAATATTATCTATTTAAATTATTTTCAATTAGTGTCATATTTCATTTTTTTCCTAAAAGTGATGAATTGATAAGTAGTTTCTAATAAATAATTAGATATTAGAAATCAGAAACTATAAATATTTAATACCAAAAGTTTATTATTTAAGCATACTCAAATAACTCATTAATTATTTTATGAACATATTTTATAGGTTCTATTTTAGTATTTTTACCAGGATTTGAAGATATGTCAATGGTCAATAAAGTTATAACCGAAGAACTTATTGCTAAAGATGATTTGAAAATTAAGATTTATATGTTGCATTCTATGATGCAGGTTAGCCTATTATAATAAAAATTATAGTTAATTTTTTATATATTATTATTTTATAAACAACAGTGGCATCAAAGTTCTTAGATAATAAATTGTATATAAACATTGTGTAAAATTTATTGTCTATAAACCTAGCAGTGGCATAGAGTGGAGTGGTACTAAAGAAATTTTTGATGTAAAACATCTATTGTGCCAAGTCAGATGGCTATTGGTGTTTACACACATATGGTGTCTATACACTCAGCTTGGCAATCTCCATTCTCACTGGGCTGAATTTGTATATTTATAGGGTATACATAAGTTTTTATTAAGGGGAAGGAAAAGGAGAAAATGTGTCTGAAAACTATGTAAATTTTAAAAAAATGATTCTTTTAACCCATAATACTTGGTTATAGGTCACTATAGTGTCAAGAAATGAGATATGCCTCCCTCTTCCCCAGGAAAATATACGATCCTCAATAAAGTGTTTTTTTCTGCATATCATACACTATAGGTGGGAGTCCATTAGATTGTCAAGGGTGACATGTCCCTTCTAGAAAAAGGTTCGTGGACAAAAAATCACTTTATCAAGCTTTGATAATGTTATCTATCTAGTTAATGTTAGCTATCTAAAGTTTAGGTGTGGTGGTTTAAAATTTCTAATTAAATTTGACACTAGCTACACACAATCAAATGATTTAAATCAAGAATAAGTTAATCTTATTTTTATAATTAAGATATGAATTTACGTATACAGAGAATATAAGTGTGTATATTTTGTGTTATCAACATTTTTTTGAAAATTTAAACTTCATAAATTTTTAGAAATATTTTTTATGACTATGAGTCTATTTATAAACAATTGTTCATATAATTTCTAAACTTTATAATTAAATAGTTAAAAAAAAAAAATGCAGAAAAACACCTTTCCCCTTGAAATCTTAAACAACGATCCCACATAAGACATATGTTCTACCAAGTTTGCCATGCCTGATAGAAAATAAAAAGAGCAATTTAAGCTAGTTAATATTTTAGAAGTTATTTTTCTTTACATTATGAAGGAGGCATAGCTAAAGAATTTTAAATATGTGTAATTTTTTATACTCAATGTTGATGTTGTTTAGATTGATAACTTCAGTGAAAATCATTGAACAATTGTCACAGTAATATCATCAGAGTTAACATTGAATATTACTATTACAGAAAAAACTAATGAAAAGAATGATCTTCGTTATTGGAAATTATTTGTATTATTTTATAATAACAATTATTTTTGGTGACTTTTTCAATCAAAATTCATTAAAAGTACAATTTTTAGCAAGTAATTTGGTCGTAATATTAGGTTTGGGGAAGGCAGTAGTCTTCTTAATTCCTCTGGCTAGACCAGTGATATATAAAATTACTCCTACTCAATTGATTTTATTCTTTAAATGAAATTTTCTCTTGAGACACTCTGGATTTCATGGGAGTAAATAAGTGAAACATATTAGCGATACTGACAAATGTAACTCAGCGACACTGACAACTGTAATCCAGTATATCTTTATACATACTATGTTAAGTTTAATTTAAACCAATAATTAATATTTATTAGTAAGTTTTCACTTCTGTTTCCCAAGACAATAATTTAGGTTGTTTTTATACAATTCTGAAAAAAATTGTGGTTGTTAACATTTTTCTATTGAAAAATAAATGAATTTTTTACATTTAATAAAGAAACTCCTATCTTCCTTTAAATCTAGTTAAATGTATTATAATTTATTCTATTTTTCTTTTTCTGTACAAATTAATAGTAAAAATGTAATTAACTTTTTTTAATATTTTTTTTGTCCTATGATGACTTAAAAAATAACATTGACACCTATGTATCATTACCTTCATCTACAAAGGAAATAATTATACATTTTTATTATTACAATTATCTCGTTTTTCAATAATGCATATTTTTTTATATTCCTCCAAAAATATAATTTTATATAATCCTTATTAGAGTTATAAATCATATTATCTAATAGGCATCTAAAATTACTTACTCAAAAAAAAAAAAAAAAAAAAAAAAATGCAATGCTACTATTAACAAATATTGTCAATTTATATAAAAACCCTATAATTAAAATAACTATTATAAAAAGTAATACAGATTAAGAAGAATTGGTATTTAAAATTTGTGGTTGCTACTCTATTAGTTTACTTAGTATTAGTTAAATGGAAGTATCTATTATTTTGTAATATTTATCATATCTCTTATGAAAAGGATTCTTTTTCATGGAAGATGGCAATATCTTCTTTAACCAAAAATTTTTTATAACGATTACATTATGTAAACACTGATAATTTATTTAATCAAATTCTAAAAATACTTTGGTTATTAATATATTTTATTTGTAGACCTCAGATCAACAACGAGTTTTTTTACCAGTACCTAAAGGATATCAAAAAGTTATACTTGCAACAAATATTGTAGAAACTAGTGTTACAATAAATGATATCGTCTATGTCATTGATTCAGGAAGAGTTAAACAGGTAAAAATGAATACAAAGATATTATACAGGGTGATTTTTTTATCATAACCCACTCAATTACTTGCAGAATAATAATAATTTAAACATTTTTTTTTTTCATTATCTTTAGTTACACATTATTCTTGAATTTTTAACTATGTAATACTTTTTAAGTTCATCCCTTATGCCTTGGAAGGGGGTCAACTTTGTTTTTTTAAATGGTAACACATATTTTTAATTTAATAAAATGTTTGAGTTTTTAATTTAATAGTAAATGGCATTTGAATTTTTAATATAACTTAATTCGTTTATTAGATATAATCATTTAAAGTTTCAAATTTTTGAATTAATATACAGGTATAATACACAAGGGATTACAAATATAGGTAGCTAATTGGTTTTTTATAACATCGATATTAGCAGGTACACAGCATTGTTATTATCAATTGTAGTAAGGCACATTGTTATGAGTTTATAAATACACTAACTGACAATACAGAATGTATATCTATTGATAATCATAATTGATAATAAACAATCCGTGACTGAGACAGCAATGTCATAAAAATCCAATTAGCTACCTGTATTTACAATCCCATGTGTATTATACATGTATATTAACTCAAAATTTTGAAACTTTAAATGTTTATATCTAATAAGCTAATAAAGTTATATTAAAAATTCAAATGCCATTTACTGTTAAATTAAAAAATTAAACATTTTATTAAATTAAAAATATGTGTTACCATTTAAAAAAACAAAGTTGACCCCCCTCCAAGGCATAAGAGATGAACTTAAAAAGTATTACATAGTTAAAAATTCAAGAATAATGTGTAACTAAAGATAATGAAAAAAAAAAATGTTTAAATTATTATTATTCTGCAAGTAATTGAGTGGGTTATGATAAAAAAAATCACCTTGTATAGTCATTGTCAGTTTTTTTTTTTTGAATTATTAAAACTAAGAAGCCAATAAGTCTATTGTCAGACTTATTTAGAAAAAAAAAGTTTAATTATTAAGTTATAAAGCTTTAACAATTTTAGAAATTGAAATATACTCTTTTCTTTTTTGATAATATGGTCATTCATCTGAATGGCGTGATAATTGAAGACCTTCCTAGGTTTTTGTATTCTGTTAGGATCTGTTTAATTTTAATTGTTGTATTACTTGATGAACACAGTGGAGGTTTTTTTTTTCATGAGTTATTTATGAGTATTTATGTATGGTCGATCTTGAGTCAAGTTAATAATACTTTATTTTTCTGACTATGGTTGTTGTTTTTAAAAATATTGGTATTGCTTTAATTTCTCTTAACTTATTGTTTTTGATGTTTCTCTACAATTGTATTTTTGTCTAGAGATGTGTTCCATATTATTTAATTCCGTATTGTGTCTGTTATTACAATTTTGACAGCCCTGTCTGCTCTTTAATTTTCCTCAATATCACAGTTTTCTGATATTCAGAACTTTGACTACTTTGTTTAGAATTAAGAAATTTGTTTCTTTTTTTTTTGCAATGTATTTTTATTGAATGAATTAAATATGTTTAATAAGATATTTAGAAAGTGTTATCATATGAGAGTATCAGAAGAAGTTTTTTTCTTCTGCAGTTTGTATAGCTAAGAGGATAGTAAATGCTTCAGCTATTAAGATACTGTATGATTAGTATATTCTTATTTTGGTTTTGGATGCATTAGTGAAAATAAGAAATGAGTTTTCTGTATCTGTAATTTTTAGATAAACATTTTTAAAAGTTCTGGTATTTGTGTTGCTTTTATCATGCTATATTAATCTCAAATCTATATAATTTTGAAGTTATTTTTTTCCAGCATGGAAAATATGTATTGGTCAACAACCATATCCCCAATGTGGATTTTATAAATTTTATTAATTATTTTCTGTGTCAATAGATTATATTAATAGTAATATTATTTATTTTAAAAATATATTTAGAAAGGCTATAATGCATTCAATGGTATAAGTTGCATGAATGTAAATTGGATATCTCAAAGTTGCGCAAAACAAAGAGCTGGAAGAGCTGGACGTTTATGTGCTGGAGAATGCTATCGTCTTTATTCTCGAGATCACTATAGTTTTATGGGAACACATGATATACCTGAGATTCTAAGAATGCCTTTACAAGTAAAATTACTCATAATAAATTAATGAAGTAAAATCATAAGTATTTTTCTTTTTATATTAATTTAGATTTTCATATTTGTTTTAATTTCACTATTAACATTCATCTTTTCCTTTTATTATATTTTTCTTAATAGTTAATAATTGTTATTCCAATACTTAAAATATTAAAATAATTAATAATTTTAGGAACTATGTATGTTGGCCAAAGTAATAACTAATAATATGAGAGTAATGGACTTTTTAGCATTAGCTATACAACCTCCACCAACATTATCTGTTATTGCAGCTTTGGAGTATTTAAAAGTATTTTTATTCAAATAATCTCATTTTTTTTTTTTTGTATTTTTACTATATAAATTTCAGACTATTGAAGCAATGGATATAAATGAAGATTTAACAGATCTTGGATTTTTCATGCTAGATTTATCAATAGAGCCTCATTATGCTAAAACACTCGTATTTGCTATATTTTTAAAATGTCTTGATCCTGTACTCACTATAATAAGCTGTTTGGCTAATAGGTGTGTAAAAATATTTATTTTCTTAATGTTTAATGTAACTGTACTCTTAAAAATTCTAATGAAATCAATAATTTATAATTAATTTGATTTCAAAAATGTTTTTATACTACAATTATTATGGACCGTCTGAATAGTTTGATTACTTACAATTTACTGGATAGTTCATAGTTATAAGTAGGGCTCTTAACCAGTCATCAATTTTTTCCCCAAAAAATCTGTTAGAAAATAATTTTTTTTAATAATTAAAAAAAATTGAGTACTACTTTTTAATTATTAAAAAGTAGTACTTAGTTTTTTTGACTTAAAAATTTAAATGATAACCTATTATTGGTAACCAACATTTTTTTTGAAAATATTAACGAATATAATTTAATAGGGTAATAAAAATTGTCTAATAATTAGCCTCCTTGATTTTTTTATTTTTATGTGTGTGTACTTAAGTACTTAATAGGTTTTTTTTTATTATAAACCAACTTTTTATTAATTACCGGTGAACAAAAAAAAAACTGGTTTTAGGGAGTTAATGGTTAGGGTTTTTTTTAGAACTTTCTGATATAAATAGTAACAACACAACTCATTAGGTATTTATACACACCCAATAATATTATACCCTCTGCATACATCAATAGTTTTATAATTTTAATTTATACATATTCTATATCTGTATTAATTAATTAATAAAGATTATTAATAAATTCACATACTTGTAAAGCAGAATAAGTGAAAATGGCAGAAGCAAAAAATAAATAATAAAGTAAATATAACAAGTTAGATAGCATATAACAAAAAAAAAAGGACTTTTTACGTCAAGAAATATTAACATATATACCAGGAAAAATCTGAAGAAAAATGCTGTATGCAGCAAAATGTGATGATAGCTAGAGAAGAATAGAAACTTTTAAAATGTGGTGCTACAAAAGAATGCTTAAAATAAGTTGGATGTATATGGTATCTAATGAGGAAGTAATTGAAAAATGTATGAAAGAACTCTATGGAGTAATATCAAGAAAGGAAGACATTTATATGTATGACATGTAATGAGACATGGTGAGTTGCTGGGATTAATTATAGAAGACTACGTAGAAGGTAAAAATTCTAGGAGAAGAGACAAATAGAGTAAATGCAACAAATAAAGAAGGAAGAATTCTTATGAAGAAACAAAAAGTAAGTCAAGTATCAGGGAAGAGAGGAGAATTGCTACAAAGTAATCTCAGGATTGAATTCAAAAAAGAAGAAAGATTATTGAACACTGTATACAACTAGTTGGGTTGGGTTTTCCGATAAAATTCATCAAGAGTTTTTGGTTGTTTGGTCAACTTTGGCAATAAAATGATCAAAATGTATTAAAATGTCTGCATATAATATAATTACATAAATTATATCTTATTATTTAATAAAACAAGGAAAAAACGATTTTTTGGGATAATTACTTAGCATGCTGTGAATTTTAAAAGTTTTTATTTCGATAATTTTACTTAGTTACAAGACTCTGAAAAAATAATTAATGAAGATCAGAAAACTTTTGCTACTTGCCTGCTAGCGTTTTAAAATTTCAACAGTTTTTAAGAAAAATGCTCACTGGCTCCAGTGCTTGCGTTTGTTTGGTTTTATGACTTATGGTCTGTAATTTTCACCAGATCCTCTCAAAAATATTTATGTGATATAAATTAAGTGTTAAATTTTTTATTGTTCCTTGGCACTCTGGGCCACACCTGCCCAATTTTTTTAGAATCAATCTTACACAATAGCTATCTTTATATCCAGAGAAATTTGTAGATCGGACCAAAATCTTAGCCACTATAAGCGTTTGAAATTCTTCAAATTTGAATGAAAAGTAATAATTTTTTTGGAAAATTTACTTAACATGTTTTGATTTTCAAATTTTTTTTTTTGCAAAAACTATTTGATTACAAGACTAACTAAATTTTTAGTAAAAGTCGAAAAATTTCTGATGTTTGCTAACATTAGCAAGTGTATTTATACTGTTTTATGAGCTTTTAATTATTTAACTGTTATGTATCTGCGCATTGCAATATCTTCTTCATCCTCACTTTAATCCCAACTACTTGGGTTCGGTCACCCTTATCCTAAACTTCCACTTGGCATGATTTCCCACATCCTCTCCACTCACATCAGCTATCATCATACCGCATTCAATAGAATCCCTCCATCTCTTTTTTGGTCTTCCTCTACCTCTTCTTCCTACAACATTCATTTCTATAACTATTCTTACAGCTTCCGATTCTTCTCTCCTCATAACATGATCAAACCATCTAAGTCTAATTTCTCTCATCTTATCCACGATTGACGCTATACCTATACTCCCTCTTGTATGCTCATTTCATATCCTATCTTCTCTAGTCACTCCAGTCATCCATCTAAGCATTTTTATCTCTGCTACACTCTACTTTCTTATTCACTGCCTAACACTCTGAACCATACATCATAGCTGGCCTCACTACAGTCTTGTAGAATTTACCTTTCAGCCTTATTGGAATTCTTTAATCTCGTATGTATACGTATTGCAAAATATTTTGTACATTTTATTAATGTTTAACAAATATGCTAAATAATTATTTTATTGAAATAGTGTCAGCGTATCTGTAATTAGATTACACATATTTAATTATTCGCAGTGTTAAAAGAATATAAGTTTATACATACATTATCACGACAGTAATGTTAACTCAATGATATATTCATCTATATAATGATAAAATAAAAAAAACGGTATGACAAGTTGACATATCTTTAATATTTTCTAAATTCATTACAATACAGTTTAACTGTCAAACAAATCAAAGAAACTATTGGATCAATTTTTTGTTCATAATTTATCTAATTTTTAAATCTATTTTTATATACAACAGTATCATTAAATATATTAAAAGTGGTATTTATGGTTAATTATTATTCAATTATATAGTTAAATTAATTTAAAATGAGGACATTTTTTTAATAAATGTGAACATTCTGTAAACATTTTACTGAAAAAGATTAATATAAAATTACTGAATATATTATATGGTTCTATTCTGAATATAAAAAATTTCAAACACTAACATACTATTTTTAGATAATTGATCTAATAATTATGAAATTTTACAGCATGTACATACTACATTGTGCAATCATCCATAAATTTTTACATACGTTATAAAACTTAAATGAATGCAATTATACTGCAGTTATTTTTTGTATCTATAGGCTCACTTTAAAAATAATTTATATTTCAGTTTCATTGGAAGCAATTATTTAAAATAGTAATATTCATTTTTAGAAATTAATAGCTTTTAGTTACAAGTTCTTCTAATAATCTGTAAGTTTAATATAAGTTAATGAAACAATAACATTTTATATGTTTCCCAATTTACTGAACAATATATATATTTATATATATATATATGACTTAGTTATTTTATGATTCTAGAAGTATTAAGATTATCCTTAATCTTAATATTACTATAATTACTTTTTATATTAGTCTGTTTAAATGTGTTATGTGGTTAATTATTACGTCATTTTTTAAATTATTAATTTCATATTTAGGAAATTATATTTATTTATATATTATTTATGTGTAATTATTATATTTTAGTATAGTTTTCTTATTTAGATTTGAAATTGATTATAAAATTTTTTTAAGATGAGAATTTAATTATGTTTTTATATCTAAGAGTCGCATCACTGACAGTTTCAAGTCCTGGTTATAAATAGTATAATAAGATTAGTTAAAATTAAAAATATTAATTGTAACTACAAAATATTCAACTCTAAAAGGCACAAAAGTATACTCAGTAATAAACTCATAAAATAACAATATATATGCAAGTAGATTTTCACTTTAAACGACAAATTATTAATAATTTCCATTATTTTTTTACTAATTTGATTTTTAGATAACAAAAATATTATTTATTTAGAATAATAATTAACAATTTTGGTTCCTTGTAGAAATTTACCACCCTTATTGTACATAATAAAAATAAATACTATCTTGTTTTCAGAGAACCATTTAATTTGACCCTTAATGTAAATATGAAAACCTCACTTGGTTCTATTCGTAAAAAACTAGCTGGTGATTCATTAAGCGATCATATCATTCTTTTACGTTTATACCAAGTAATACAGATTTTTATTCATATTTAAAATAATATACTAAAATACTATTATTACAGGCATTTAATGAAAAAAGTATGGTAGGTAGTGAATTGAATAATCTAGTATCTCAGTCTATAATGGGTTTAATTACTCAAACACGAACACAATTACTTGGTCAGCTAAGAGCTTTAGAATTAATCCAAACACGTCCAGGACCTAATGATATTAGAGATGTTAATTCTAATTCCAATAATTGGGCTGCAGTTAAAGCTTGTTTATTGGCTGGGCTGTACCCAAATATTGCTAAACTTGACAAGACTAGTTCAAGACCTATTTTAAAAACCAAGTTAGTAATTCTTATTAAATTATGACACAGTACCATGTTTTCCTTAGCCACACACTACATTAACCTATATGGAAGTGTAATGGTATCTAAATTATAAGTCTGGGTGCTTAGTGTTAAAGTTTGTTTTTCTTTCTCCTTGGATCGCGGTTTCTAGTCTCTTACTATTTCTCTTTTCACATGATTTCTGGTACACTATTGATGACCACCCGTCAATCTCTGGCGGTCATTTCAACTGTTATATGTTATTATATTATACCATAAATAATATTTGTTATAACTTATTTAAACTAGAACTGAAAAAAGTGTAGTTTACCATGGATCATCTGTTTTACGTGAAAATTGTGTAAAAGATTTACCATCAGAATGGATAGTTTTTGAAGAAATGACTTCATTCAACACAAAAAAATTTATAAAAAATTGCACTGTAGTATCCCCCATGACTGTTGCATTATTTGCTAATGCAATGAGAATACCTCATGATTCAGCCGAAAAGATTGAAGGTAACAAATATTTATATTGCATTTTTTCATAATTTTTGTTACTGTTATGTTTATTTAGATGATAGTGATTGTGACAGTGATGAAGAATTTGTAACACCTTCAGATAAATTGGGAATTTTGAATGTTGATGGCTGGACTAAATTATTAGGGAGCCCAGATGACATTTCAAAAATACTAAATATGCGTTTTTGTCTCACATTAGCATATCGTGAATTTCTCAAGAATAAAATGATAACAAATTACAGTGTAAGTGACTTATATTTTATAGTGCAAAACTATATTATTTTATAATTTTTAAATATATTACCTCTTTCTTATATATTACTTCTTAATAATTTATAGAAATTAATTTAAAGCTAATAAATGAGGTCTATCTTTTATTTACTTGAATTATTACCATAACTATTAGTTTGATGATTATATAATCTTTAAATTAAAAATGATAAAAGATCCATATTTTTTAAAAAAATAACTAGTTGTCCCTCTAGGATTTTAAAAAGAGCTATTTATGAACTTGCGATTGGTTGGGTCGTAAAATGCACTAACTCCAAACAAACAGGGGGTCTATTTTTAGATTGTCCTATCATTAACGTATATGTTCAGATTTTATTTTATATAGGTTTATATGGGGAACGTTGTTCATGAACACGTTTCTTCGCAATTGGAACACATTAAATGTTGAATGGACAACCGTGTAGAACAATAGAAAACGTTTGTAAACGGATATTAGGTACCATCCGATAGTAAATAGTAGGTCAAATGGTCATTTATAACAATAGAAATGATTGACCTTTATACCCACTTTTTAGGTAAACATATTTACCTACAATATAATTTTAAATTAACATCGTATTTAATTAATTAAAATAATCATTTATTCATATCGGGAAATAAGTTTTTCACTAGCGCCACTAATTGACTTAGTCATAAAAACAAATATTTAATGTACATTTTTATCAATTAAATATATTTATTGTAATTAATATTATTATTATGTTGCAAATATAAATTAGTTTAAAAAATTATTTAAAATTTACAAACAAATATTAGTTAAATATTAAAAATTACTTTGACTACTATGGTAGGTAGGTAATATGGTACCAACACTACAATTTATATATATATATACAGTTTTTAAACAATATTAACTACAAGTTGATCATTAAATTTTATTGTTTAAACTTGTTAGATATAATTTGTATTTTATATTATTATATTTAAAAGACTTAATTTTTATTTTCACATTTATTTTTTATATTTTAAAACATTAAATCTATACATAAATTTTATGAGCCTCTCTCATAAAATTCAAGGTTTAGTACAGCTTACCTCTTTGAATATCTATGCTTATAATAATTAAAGCAAATTACATTTTAAATAAATACTAAAAATACATATATAATTATAAAAATATTTATTGCATGACAGATGGTTAGGCCAGCAACAGACTAACCACCTGTTCCAGAGTATCAATAGTTAAGAAACCTCCTCCTTTAGGAAAGGTCTCTATAGCACTTAATGGCTTTATTAAGTGTTAAAAAAAATGCAATAAATAAATATTGATACATTTTATAAATTTATTTATAAAATACGTTTAAAATGCTTTATAAAATTTATTCAATGCAGTTGACAGCACATTAATGATACATAACACTTTTAATCTATACTTTATCTCATTAAGTAAAGTAAGAAATTTTTTATGCGATACTATAGTATTAAAAACAAAAATCACAATTATTTACTAGAATTCTCATAAAAAATGCAACATTAAGTACATTGTGTATACATTTATATAAGACACAAAAAATTGAGTTTTAAATGCTTCACAGCTATTTTAGTACTTCATGTATGTTTAAAATTTAAATTGATTGTTAAGAACCAATTCTTAAAAATAGTTATTTTTTTAATTAATATAGTTGTATTCCAAAATAGTGCATTGAAGAATGAGTTGCAAGCTTTTTACTTAAAATAAATTTGCAAATGAATTTGAAAAGTATAAATAATTGACTGTAATATATTTTTGAACAAACAAAATAATTTCAAATTAAATTATTTTATGCATTTTAAATAATATATTATTTATTTATTTATAACAATGATTAAGAATAAATCAAAAATATGTAATAAATTTTTTCTATATTTATTTTTATATAAAATAATATAATAAATGATATTTAATCATTATTTTTATTAATAATAATATTAAATATTTAAATTAATTTTTATAAGTAAGAATAATATAAGTAATAAATTATAGTTTATATTATCTTTAATTTTAATCAATATAATTTTAAAAATAAATAAATTTAACATAATTATAATATAAAATATATGATGCACTTTATTTTCGAAAATTAAAGTGTTGTTTAAAGTACATTAAATAATGTAATTTTAAATGTATACAATTATTGTGCATTTTATTAAAATTCATATCAAGTGAATTAAATTAATAAATTATATATTTATATGTATTATTAATAGATTAAAAAGTAATATAAAAATAAATATTTTAATATTAAACATCAGTTGTATAAATTTAAAATATTTATATCAGTACAATAAATTGTAAATAATTGTAGAACGTAAACATTTATTTAACATGTATGTTATTTATACTTATACGTTCTTTGAACAATAAAATTTTACTTTATACCTAATAAAACAATAAAATCCCTTTTAAGAAGAATAGAATTTTTACCATATACTTAATAAAACAATAGTATTCATTAGATGAACATATATGATTCAAAAATAGGCCCCTAAAGTAGATAAGGAGTTTTTGATGATTCATGGATGGTTTAGTTGTGATGGGCCACTTTTTTGTCATTCCTAAGTACAATTACGTAACAGGAATGACAAGGATAGAAAATTTGAACAATGGAAACAGTAACCAGAGTGAAAGCATGTTTTGACTATTTTCTTATTACTTTGAAAATGTTTTTTTCCTATTTTTTATTTTTATTTTCTTTATGGTTTGTGTGAAAATTCTATTAAAAAAATTTTCAAGACATTCAACATAAGTTACCTTTTTTATTTACATTCAATAAATGATTGATTGACATCATTATAAGAGTTAAAAATATTTTCAAGGTTATAAGAAAAAATTATTTTTGAAAACTATTCAAGAGATTTAATAGTTTAAATTTAACCTTTTTTTTTTTTTAGTCCTACAATAGTGTTGTTCAATCAGTAGTTAAAGTACTGGCTGCTGAAGATTTAATGGTTGGTCTCGAAGCTCCTGATGATGTTGGAAAACGACCAAAGGAAAATAGCAATAAAGGCAACTATTTTATTATTATTTTATTTATTATTCTTATAAAATAATTTATTTTATTTTATCTGTTAGGTCGCCATGGCAGGTATAGTAATGAAAATCCGTCATTTACATCTTTTCGAAAAATAACCCAAGGACAACATTTATTATCAAAAAGTATGTTTTCAAAAATGTTTATTTCTTTATTCAATATTAATAATAAATATCTTTAGATTATGTGGATACTGGTTCTTTTTCAAGTGGACGTAATCATTATATAGCTGGTAAGAAAAAAAAATTAATTTTTAAACAAAATAATTTTTATTATTAAATTGATTTGTTAACCACTAAAAAAATTAGTATTAAATAAATATAATTATTTTGTAATAACTTCATAATTACTAATACCATAGGAGTTATTTGGAATTAACAACGTATCTTATCATTTTATAAAATACTTTTAACTAATAAACATAATCAATATTAAAAAACATCTATAAAGTAAAATGTTATTATTGAATTAAATTTAATAGTATACTAATTTTATTTGTTCAATTTGTGATGAAATATTAAATTTTTTTTTTCTTGATTAGGTATTAGAGGTTCCTCCAGTTATAGATCTCAAAATAATCATTCATCACCAAGTACATCTCATCATTTAAATAATAATTTTAAGTGTCAACAGTAATATTTAATCAATGTTAATGAAAGACAGTAATTATTTAAAATTTTAAGAACTGACAAATTTTTTCTCTGTATTACTTAGTTTTATTATTATGTTTAATTTATTTTGTATTGTTACTTTGTTTACTAAGGTATAAAAATGAATTGTTATTTAGTTGTTAAATAATTCATTGTTAATTGCTTTCTAATAGTTGTAACAAGTTGTACCAACTAAAGAAACAAGCTAAATAACTAAAAAACTAAATTAGATTTAAAAATTTTATATGTTTTATTTTTTGTTAAAAATAAATTGAGTACTTTGAAAAATGTATTTTATTTATTTATTCAAGTAAGGACACAGGTGGACAGTTGCTCCAAGCAGCACTATTTTAGTGGTAGCAGAATTTAAAAAATGATCATCTAGAATATATAAATTTATAAAAAAAACTATTTCTCAATATGTTTTTTTATGGATTGGACCATATTATGGAGGCCACATGACCTCTTTTAACAAACTTTATGATAATAGGTGTTCGGTTTATACAGGGTGTTCAGTAAGTCAGGAAACGGGTATCTATTGTTCTCATTGTTACAAACAATGAGAACAATAGATACCCGTTTCCTGACTTACTGAACACCCTATATATTGTATTGTTGATAAGGCGCTGTAAAACGTATTGTTATATTTGGTTTTCAGTCAGTTGTCATTTTTCTATCGTTCGATCGTCACCGCAGTGTGGTAAAAATTGTAAATAATCATTATATTTTAATAAAAGGCACCTTTTTATAAGGTATAAACAATTATCGTCGTTCGTCCAAATTTTTTATATTTTTTTTATACAGTCCACATCGAAATCAAAACAATAGGTATAATACAAAACACATAACTATAATAACAATAAGAATTCATTGATTGAGGTTGAACCGTTTTTGTTGATCTATGCATTAAGAAAACCCAAACTTTAATTAGTCGTTCGTCCAATTTTTTTATATTTTTTTATACAGTCCACATCGAAATCAAAACATTAGTCCATTTCGTTCCGGATTAGCATTATTAAAATATAATCGTTTGAGCATAGTTTTATTTCGTTTGCATCGTTTTGTCGTTTCCTATATCGTTAAAGTACTCAGTGTACCGGTGACAAAACAATCGTTTTATATACAAGTTTTGATTAATTATTTATAATCATAGCAACTAATCGTTAAGTGTTTAATTACACTGGTCTGCAAAAAAAAATTTTTTTTTTGTCCTCATTGTTTTTATGCATGATAACATTATATTTGGTGCTCTAAATACGGAATTTAACATGCAAATAAATACAGCACATAGATTTTGAATACAAATGCCCATTTAATTGAAAAGCGATATTATTAAAGTAACAACTATTACAAAAAGTGAAAAATGACTACTGTCTAAGTTTTACAGCGAAAAATACTAATTTTAAAATCACAAGTTATAAAAATATTAGTATATTCATCTTTTTATGGTAATATAATTTAAGTTATTTTGTAGTTTTTTTTCTTTTCATCGTTTCCATCGAAGTTTCTCGGTGAATCGACCAACAAAAATCAGCAAGCATTCCTGCTGACCATTTTCCATTGTAGCGTCTTTCAATATGCTTAATATCCTGATGAAACCTTTCACCATGCTCATCTGATACGGCACCAAGATTTTCCGGAAAGAAATCTATATGCGAGTCCAAAAAATGAATTTTGAGTGACATATTGCATCCTAAATCTTTATAAGCAGAAATAAGCTGTTGAATGATTTGTCGGTAGTTGTCAGCTTTTGTATTACCAAGAAAATTATGACACACTTTTACAAAAGCCACCCAAGCTTTTTTTCAGCTTTTTTCAACTTCGAATTGAAAACTTCATCCATCATAAGCTCTCGTATTTGCGGACCTACAAAAATCCCTTCTTTCAATTTCGCGTCACTAATTCGAGGAAATTTTGTTTTGAGATATTGAAAGCCTGCACTATCCTTGTCCATAGCTTTCACAAAGTTTTTCATAAGTCCCAACTTTATATGGAGTGGTGGCAAAAAAATTTTGTCACTTGGCACTAGAGGTTCTTGAGAAACATTTTTAAGTCCAGGTGTCAAGCTTTTTCTTTGTGGCCAAGTTTTCACTTTGTAATGTTTGTCTCTCGCACGACTGTCCCACTCTCATAAAAAACAGCAAAACTTGGTGTATCCTCCTTGCAATCCAGTAAGTATAGCGACAACTTTTAAATCAGCACAAATATTCCATAGGTATTGAGAGTATTTTATTTTTTCAAGTAATACCTCCAGATTTGCATAATTTTCTTTCATGCTAGTTGCATGCGCTAGAGGAACTGATGGGTATTTATTTCCATTGTGAAGTAAAACGGCTTTCAAACTAATCTCCGACGAATCAATAAAAAGTCTCCATTCATCAGAATTTTCTGGAAAACTCAATTCTTCAAGAAGCCCTGCAGCATCATTACAATATACTAAATCATTTTCTTTGGAAAAGTAACTCGTAAAATCTTCTTGTCTTGTGCGAAAATATGAGACTCTTGTACTTTTATCCAACAAATTCCACTGTTTCAATCTTGATCCGAGTAATTGAGCCTTAGATTTTGATATAGAACGTAAACAATCATAAGACGAGTTTTCAACTAACTGTTGTAAAGTCACAGTGAATACGGCGCAGGCGCATATGTACTACCATAAAAATCACTTTCCGCCCTTTTTTTCTTTCTCTTGCGACTAACAAAAAACTAATTCGTATGTATATACGTTGTTCATAATATTAACACTCAAAACGAATTAAAAAAAAACCTAAATTTATGGTATTTCCGAAAAAAATTCATATCGAAAAATTGAGACGTGATAGAAAAAATCGGCCTTCGAGAACAGATTTAGAGCATCAAAATCTACATATTTATGATATAGTTTTCTGAAGGAGGATTTTGTTGCAGACTTGGTTAATAATTATTAACCAAGTTATCTCCAAACGTAATTATTAATTAGTTAATTAAGTTTAATTACTTAGTCTTAGTGAAGAATTTATCAAAATACATCGGTAAGAGAATCATATTCGTAATTTACGCTTATATATATATATAAAAAAAAAAAAAGTTAAGTCGATAATTTTATCTTGTGTAAATCAATTTTCCCACCGTCAAGGAATTTGCAAGTTATATATATATAACAATAGGGCGATCGTATAATCCCAACCGTTAGAATGACCGATACCATTGATACGCTAAAAGTAGCTCGTGCAGCGCTTAAAGGTCAGCTAACACGCACAATTAATATTATCAAATCAGCACCAGAGAAACTGGATGTTAATCAGCTGTCCGTTCGCGCACAAAGGGCTGAAGGTGCGTAGTGTGAGTTTAATAAACTGCAATTGTACATAGAAATCGCGCTTCCAGAAAGCTCGGACGATAATGAAAAATATCGATCAGAATTTGAGGAACTTTATTATGAGGCAGTTTCCGGGTGTGAAAAGCTTATTAATAAATTGAATGGAAATTTTAACACAGATAATGCTGTAGAGATTAGACCGTTGGATGTCAATGGTGAAAATAGCGCTACCGCGAGTAATATATCAATTGATTCGAATCGCAAAAATCAAGGGGTGCATTCGTTTACAAAATTAGCTCCGATTAACTTACCATCTTTTTCCGGAGATTACGCAGATTGGTCGTCATTTCATGATATGTACATAGCAATTATACACTCAAATTCATCGCTTTCAAAAGTGCAAAAATTTTTCTATTTGAAATCGTCACTATGTGGTAATGCCGCAAACGTAATAAAATCGGTTGAAATAACTGAGGTAAATTATGATTATGCTTGGTCAACATTAATAAATCGATACAACAATAAAAAAATGTTAGTTCAAGCACATACAAAAGCGATTTTCGATATTCAACCAATGATAAAAGAATCCTCTTTTAAATTAAGATATTTAATTGATAATTTAATAAATAATATGAACGCATTAGAAGCTCTCGGTCAAGACCCTAATTTATGGGGTTCATTATTAGTTCATTTGATAACGTCAAAACTTGATCCAAAGACATTAAAAGAATGGGAAACCGAAGCTCCCAAAACGGTTGTACCTTCCGTAGCTACATTAATAGATTTTTTGGATACACGTTTTAAAATATTGGAAGCGGTAGAATCTTCTTCGTTGATAAATGTGCGACAAAACAATTTTAATTCAATTAAGAGAGATAATGTCTTTAAAAGAGAGCAAATTCGTACCACAGCAATGATCACAAATAATAATGTCATTAAATGTTTTTTGTGTAAATCCGATCATACAATTTACAAGTGTCCTAATTTTTTATCACTTTCGATTACTGAACGCATAAGTAAAGTAAATGATTTAAATTTGTGTAAAAATTGTTTACGACAGCATTCTAGTACTAAGTGTTTGTCTCGAAAATGCATTAAATGTGACAAACCACATAATTCCTTGTTGCATTTAAATAATTTCAAAGGCAATAAAAATCATAACGAGAACAATAATGAGTGTCATATCAATAATAGCGAACAACAGTTTACATCAATGAGTGCAAATGTATTCAGAAAAAAAAGCGAACAGGTATTATTATCTACAGCCGTACTTATCGCATATAATCGTAATGGTGAACCAGTTATCTGCCGCGCGCTACTTGACACCGGCTCACAGAGTAATTTTATTACCGATAGTATGGCCCAAACATTAAATTTAAATAGGCGCAGAGTCAATTGTGCCATTACTGGTATTCAACTGTCCACACACACCGCTAGTAATTCAGTGGCAGTAAAGATATCGTCGCGCTTATCCAATTATTCCAGTAATTTAGAATGTTTAGTGTTATCGAAACTCACGAATAACATTCCTTTAAAATCAATTGACCTAGATAATCTAAAATTACCAGCTAACATTGAGCTCGCTGATCCTATGTTTACCACACCACAAAAAATTGACATGATATTGGGATCGGGAGTCTTTTTTGAGTTACTTCGTGGCGAACAAACCAACCGCAGAAGGGATTAGTTTTTTAGAATACAGTACTCGGGTGGATAGTGGCAGGTCGCATTTATGATGACGATAATGCAAATACAAGCCTTGCATTATTTGTAGCAGATGACGTGCAAGTATCAAAGGTCGAAGAGCAAATCGAACTATTTTGGCGCGCTAGAGGAATGCTCCAGCGAAAACGTATATACTTTAGACGAAAATGCATGCAAAAGACATTTTTTTAAAAATGTAAGGTGTAACGATGATGGTAGATTTGTTGTCAAATTACCATTTCGTGAACCACCGTCAGCATTGGGTAATTCGAGATTAACAGCGCTACGCCGATTTAAATCGTTAGAACATCGTTTTAAATATAATTTACAATTTAAAGAAAAATACGTGAAATTTATGCGTGAGTATTTAATATTAGGTCATATGGAATTAATTACAGAATCGGACAACGATGATAAGGATGAATACGTATTTCCGCATCATGCGGTCGAAAAGGAAGACAGCGTAACCACTAAATTGTGAATTGTTTTTTATGGTTCATGCAAAACTAGTATTGCAAAAGTTTGAACGAAATACTATATAAAGGTCCAAGCATTCAACAAGAACTAGTGTGCATTTTGGCGCGTTTTCGGACCCATGCATACGCCCTATCTTCGGACATAGCCAAAATGTACAGACAGATATTAATCGATCCGCCAGACAAATGTTTTCAAAAAATATTTTGGCGTGAAGAAACCGACCAGCCAATAAAGATGTATCAATTAAAAACAGTCACTTATGGCACAACACCCGCTTCATATTTATCAACTGGCTGTCTAGATCACTTAGCCGACGACGATGCTACTGATTACCCGTTAGCTTATAGAGCAATTAAAGAAGATTTTTGCGTAGATGATTTTTTAGGTGGTGCTTCTACAAAAGAAGATGCACTATTATTACGTAATCAATTAATAGATATAACGCGTAGATGTGGTTTTGATTTACGTAAATGGATATCCAATGATCCTGATCTTGTTAAAGACATAGTAGGTAATAATCAAATTGATATGTTAACTTTAGATTTAGAAAATAATATAACCAAAATATTAGGATTATTATGGAATCCAGTAGATGACATTTATCAATATAATGTAAGTAATATTGATCAGAATGTTCAATATGTTACCAAACGCATAATGTTGTCACAAATAACTTCTATTTATGATCCATTAGGTCTCATAGGACCTGTTATAATATTATATAAATTACAAATGCAATATTTATGGACACTAAAAATTAATTGGGACGAAGAACTTCCTAACGAAGTACAAACTAGATGGCGTGATTATTTAAATCAATTAGTTATACCACGATATATATTTATTGATGGCAAAATTGTTTGTAATGAAATACATGATTTTGTTGATTCATCAAAGTTAGCCTATGGAGCTTGTTTATATTTAAAATCCATTAACGATAAAAATGAAACAAAGGTTACGTTAATATGCGCTAAATCTAAAATAGCTCCTTTAAAAACTATTTCAATGCCTAGACTAGAACTTTGTGCGGTCTTATTGTTAGCTCGTTTGGCGCATAAAATTGTACCAAAATTAAACATAAGAGTCTCGCGTAAATATTTTTGGACAGACTCGTCTATTACGTTAGCTTGGATTACATCTCCATCAACCAAGTGGAAGGCCTTTGTGGCTCATCGCGTAGGGGAAATCCAGACTCTAACAGATATTTTAGAATGGCGTCTTGTAAGTACAGTTGATAATCCTGCTGACATATTATCGAGAGGTTGTTACCCGCGTGAAATTCAAAAGAAAACTTTATGGTGGACGGGTCCCACAGTGGCTTTCACTAAATAGCGATCAATGGCCAATCATGACAGAGAAGTGTTCAATTAATCAAGAAGAAATGGTAGAAACAAAACAAGATACTCAAATTTCGTTAAGTATTCAATTAAAGTTAAATCTATTAGAAAATTATTCATCGTACTTTAAATTAAAAAAAA